CTAACCCTAACCCTAACCCTAACCCTGCAAGCGTAGCCCTGTGCGCACAGTACTGACGAGACCGCCGCGCTTCGCGCTAGAGAGCCGAGGCAGACGTCGACTCAAAAGGATCGCGGCGAGCTGCTTTGAGAGCAACCTCAGCCCCTCTCGTTGCGCGCGCTGCCTATCAGCAGCGATAGTCTTACACGCCCATACTCTACAACTCCCTCGGCGGCAGCGGAGGCGGCGCCGGCTTGACCCTCCCAACCTCGCTCCCGTCTCCCGCAATCTTGACCGGCCCTTTCGTCGAGGGGAATCCGCCAGGCCCGTGCAGCACCTCGTCGGGGATATCAGACGCGCGTTGTTGGGCGGCAATGACGGCCGTCTTGCTCTGGTAGACCTTGGTCGGCTTGAGTTCGCCCGCGCGGAAGGCGTGTTGGCGTTTCTCGAGCTGTGAAGAGGCGAGTGAGGTCAGTGAGATTGCGAGTATGAGAGAGACTTGACGCACGTCGTGCGCCCACATTGCCGCGCCGATGCGGTTCGAGATGCTGAAGACGAGGCCGACCAGCGGGATGCGTTCGAGGAGGGCGGCGGCAAAGCCAAACACTGCGGGCGAGCGAGTGTCAGCCGGAATACGACATAACAGGAGCGCAAGACGCACGCCGGTATCCCACTTCTCGCTCCGCAAGCCACAGCTCGACCTCGAACGGCCTGCACAACCGAAAGTCTCGTCAGCGGCGGGAAGACCAAGGCAGGCAAGAATCGCGACCGACGTCATCTTCTTCGCCTCGAAATACTGCGCGAGTCTCCAAGTCAGCGAGAGAAACGGGCGACAAGGTCGACGGAACGCACGGAACGATGCAGGAGGCGACCCATCGTGAGCGACCGGATCGCACTGAGCACGCAGAGTGCGAGGCCGGGGATGAAGCTGAGGGGCGTGAGGAGGACTGCGCGCACGAGAAGCGTTAGCGAGCACCGGATTGGAAGCGTCAGACGACCCACCTCGGAGGAGAACAATCCGCACGAGTGGACTCGACAGGCGCACGTAGAACGACTGCTTCTCTGCCGCTCGCTTCGCTCGATTAACAGGCGGCACAAGCCATTCCTCCGTGTACGGCTGCCACCAATCCGCCGCTGCGTCGAGACGAAGGTCAGGAAGCGAACCTCTGCACGAAGCGAGATACTCGCAAACGCACGCTTCCCCCGACTCCTGACCGTCTGCTCGTACACCTCCTCGCGACTCTTCCGCAGCTCGCGCTTGAGCAAGAACTCGATCAACGCCGACACCTGACCCGCCAGAAGCGCCCAAGTTGTGTAGGCGACAGGCGACACTCCGAAGTAGGCGGCTTCGTGGACGTTCTTTGGGCTGAGCGGCGAGCGCGAGAGGACGAAGGTGACGTAGAGGCGGGTCAAGGGGAGGGCGAGGACGGAGTACGGAACGGCAAAGAGGAGGGCGCGCTGGAGGGACTTGCGGGACCGCGCCCACACCGGTCGGTACAGGTTCGGGTCGGTCGCGAGGCGGTAGGCGCCGACTGTGGGAGCACCTCAGGTCAGCAAGTGCCTTTCGCACGGGTGTGATCGAGAGAGGAGGGCGTACCGACTGTGTAGGCGGGGGTGAGGCCCAGCAGCTCGACGGGCATCGTTGGTAGTCTTTGGCGGGGCTCGATAGCAGCGGGAGAGGTCACACAAAGCTCAGCAAGCCGTCTGACAGTGTGTGGTCGACGCGAGAGAGCCGTGTGGAGCTGCGAGACGAGGAGGAGCGATGACGGAGTGCCCTCGCAAAGCTCTCGTGCGGCTTGTTGAGTGATAAGGATAGAAGCTGCGTTGCGAGAGAGTGCGGTGCGAGGTCTGCGAACATCTACTGGGAGGAGGAAACGACAGAAAAGAGAGGGATTCGGAAAGAGCGGCGAGATTGTCCTTGTTGCGAACGAGAGGCGAGCTTTGCGTATGCCGATGTCAAGATCGAGACGGCGACGACGGTACATTGGCGTCGACCGGAAGTAAGAGGGAGAAGGCGGACGAAGGGGACGAAGCGGAGGGGAAATGATGGGTCGGGTCGTTCAGGCGTGCTTGGCCGGGGCGAAGAAGATGTTGGCGTGGCTGTTTGCGGCGTCGTCGCCGATGTTGAACCCGGCGTACCAGCTGCGCAGGAAGGGAGCTGCGAAAGAGGCGGATCAGCACCGCCTTTCGAGGAAGTGAGGAATCTCTCGAGACGCACTGCCGAGGATGCCGGCCTGGACGCCGCCGTAGTTGATGTCGACGCCGTACGTAGCCGACCTGCACATGCCCGCCTGCCCCGGGACCGTTCCGATGATGAGGTCTTCCGCGGCGAGGAGCAAGTTGCGGCGACGAGAGAGGGAGACGCCGAAAGTCGCCGTGTTGGTGCAAGGGAAGGCGTACGCGTCGACCTCGTAGGTTTGGCCGTTCAAGGACTGGGTCGTGGTGCCGAGCTTGTACGAGCCCGGAATCGCCGAGTGAGCTGCAGCAGGACAAGTTGTCAGCGAGAAGGCGAGGGCGAACGGAGCGCGGGAGACGCACCGGCAGCAGCAGCAGCACGCGGAAGATAGTTCTGGAGTGAGGCGGAACGGTCAGGAACCGCGCAAGAAAGCAGGCAGGCGATGCAGACGCACAGTGCTCGAGCCCGAGTCGATGAAGACAACGGTGTCGGGCGAAGCAGGCATCGTCCAGAGCGGCGTCTGCTTGACGTCGAGGATCTGGAGGAGCTGGATGGCCCACTGAAAGCGAAAAGAAAGGGTTAGCCCGCCCTCTCGGTCGCAGCAAATCGCGACGACGCACCCTTCCGAGCTGGTTCGGCTTGTAGACCTGGTAGACGGTCGCGATGCCCGAGTATCGATCGGTGTTCCAGTCGCCGATGGTAAGCTCGGCGCTACCCTCGCTCTCCTTGCCGAGCCAAAGGCCCATACGGCTGTTGGCGACGTTGCCCGACGCGCGGAGGTTCTCGAGGACCGAGGTACCGCCGAGCTGTACAAGACGACGTCAGGAGTGCGTTAATATGCGAAAAGAGGAAGAACGGCGCACCTGAGCCTGAGCGTTGAGGCTCAAGCCGAGGTTGCCCGACGAAAGAGGCATGTTGGTGTTGGGCGAGAGGACTGCGTACGCAAGCACGTCAGCGCGAGACCATCAATGCACTCCCAGGACGAGTATGCGTACGGAAGGTTTGCTTCGGGATCGAAATGCCGCCGAGGTTGACCGTGTCGGTAACGATGGTGCCCGAGATGCTATCGCTCACATCTGCGGGCGCGAGCAGCTTGTCAGTGTATTAAAGACAAACGTCTAGCTGAGGCCAACCCACAGGCGACGGTGTGATTCACGCCGGTGCTGGCAAAAGTCGACGACTTGCTCGAGTCGAAGACGGCGGTGCCTTCGAACGACTGGCGTGAGCGGGGCACGAGAGACGGCAAAGGAGCAACGACGCACAGACCGGGAGGTTGTTGAAGTTGGCCGGGTCGCAAGCCGATTGGATGACGAGGTCGGACGAGCCAGTGTCGAGGATGACGGCTGGTACGGAAACAAGGTCAGCAGCGTGCAATGCAAGGAGCCAGTAGAGACCAACGCACGCAAGTTCTGGGCGGGCGTACCGACACCGATGTCGATGTTGTACTGCGAAGGGGCGGCGCGGTCAGACACGCCCGGACGAGGAGAAGAGGGAGAGCGACTTACGAGGCCCAGGTTGCCCTCGTAGTCAACCGGGATCGTCTTGGTCGTCGCACGCTTGCACTTAACCTTTCCGTCGCGACGACGGACTTTGAGCGAAGCCGCCTTGGACGACGAGTCGGTCGAACGCTCGGCGAGGTCCTCGTACTTGGCAAACGTCGCCTCCATGTTGGCCTTGAGGAGCTCGTCGTTGACGGACCCGTCGGCGTTCGTGACGGACGGGACGACACCTTCGATGCGAACGGGGGAAGGGAGGGCGTCGACCAGCGACGCGGAAGCCATGAGAGCGAGGGGGGCAAGGGCGGCAAAGGAGCGCATCGTCGGGGTCGTCGAGGAGAGCAGATGAAGAGAGAGGAGAGAAAGGAGAGCGACCTGCACCCTGGGCTTTATACGAGCGTGAGGAAAGAAGCTTTGCGAGCGGGCACCGAGCGAGGAGAAAGGGAAGCGAAGCAGAGGCCAGCTCGGCGAGGGGACGGCGGGTGGAGAAGGTTGGTGCACACCGTCGTCGTCTGCTCGAAACAAGGGAACGTCAACCTTGTCGCCGCCACGAGCGCCTTGGTTCGAGATGGTGAGCAGCGGATGAAACGAGGGGAAGCGAGCTGGACAAACGGCGTGCGCGTTCCCCTGCCCTGTATCATCGCTGCACGCACGCTGCGCTCGAGCTCTGCCCATCCAACTCTGTCCACGGAAGCGGGCGCCGTCGTCACCTCGAGCGAGATGAGAGTTGGGCGACCCTCGTCCTCCCGCCTTTGTCCAGCCTCCGGTCGGCGTGCGCACAGCTCTGCGATGACGGCAAGCAAGATCTGATGCGATCGCGGTGCGAGCTAGCCGAGTGTGGCGGTGAGCAGCGAGGCGTCTTGGGGAGAGGAGCGACGAGGAGGGACAAGGGAGGGTCGAACACTCGCAGGCGACGCCAGACTCTCGCAAACGGCACGAAAGCAATGCGAACGATGCTAGTAATGCACACGAGCGCGCGCTCACTCCAGCTCGACATCCCGCTCGGCGACGAACCTGTAAATCCTCCTCCGGTTCGTCTCGTCCGTCTCTGGCTTGGCACCCTCGTCAAAGAGCCCCTTGAGGACCTTCTTCCCAATCATCTCTGCCTCCTCGCCATCTGCCGCCCCTTCCGCCTCGACAGCCCGCGCAACGATGCCAGGGTATTCGGGTTTCGGCAGCGCAGAGACGCCCTTTCTTCGCTTGGCCGCGGGTTCAGGCTTGGCGGGCAAGAGGGCGTCGCAGAGGGACGTGAAGACGTTCTCCATCAGGCGCGAGTACATGGTCGAGGTGGCGGCGCGGGCGGCGGTCGTGTACATGGGTTGGAGAAGGGCGACGAGGGGGATTGTTCGGCCGGCGTTAGAGTCGGATGATGCGAGGCGTTCGATCTCGTCGACGTAGATGTCGAAGAGGTGGTAGGCGAGGGAATGGGGAATCTTCGGGTCCTCGACGCTACAGGCGGGCGACTTTCGTCAGCGCAACGAAGAGAAAGTGGAAACTGATTCGCTCGAGCTCACTGCAGCGGCCCCTTCGGCCCGACGAGCATCTCGTTGTACTCCTGGATTGCCCGTGCATCCCACTCTTCCCGCTCGAGGAGCCTGAACGCGACAAAGACGAATCGCCGCATCAGGAGCAGGAACTTGTCCATCCTGCAAGAGCCGACGTCGATCTCCATCAGTCTGTCTGCGTGCTAATTTCCGCGCTCGCCAACGGAAGAGCGTCTCGCGGCGACTCACCTCAGCCTGTCAATCCCGCTCCACTCCCTCGTAACCGCATGCCAGAACCCCCTCAAGTACGCCAGCGCACACCTGAACCTCTCGACTCGGCCGTTGCGCGTCTTGGACCGTGTTCGGACGTCGAGCGTGAGGTTGGAGAGGGTGTCGGCGAGGGCTTGTTGGACGAGCGGTTTGTCCGACATCCAGTAGCCTGCGGGGCGGTTCCAGCATCAGCGACAGCGTTCCACATCATAAAGAAGAGTCTGCGCAACGCACAGAAGAAGATCCCCTTCCACAGCTTGTCCATCTCTGGCTCGCTCAACCGCTTGTCGACCTCGTACTCCCTGTCCCAATCCAGATCTCCAACCGGCAGTTCCTCCTCCACTTCTTCCTCGTCGTCCTCGACGTCACGCTTGACCTGCCCGGCAGAGAGGAACTTGGCGAGCGACTGGACTGCCTTGTCGCGGACATGCTTCTCGCCTGCACCAACGCGCGATCAGCCGGGCTACAGACTCGTTCGCTAGGCTTGGAATGTGCACGCACTGCTGGCGAGGAACTTGCCCAGCGGCGGGGCCTGTCCAGACGCTGAACGGGACCCAGACGAAGCGGACTTGATCTTCTTCGCGGGGCGCTCTGAGGCGCTCGGTGCGGGCGCTGAGCGGGTGGACATGTCGAGTGGAGCTGTGGAGAGTGGCAGCAGAGTAGCACGATCGCTGGAACGAGAGCAAGCGGAGGTGAAGGTGTCCAAGCTGGGTGAGGATGCTGGCGGGGCGGTGAAGCGATGTCAAACTCGCCTCGCACGCTCTCGTGGGACGCGCTGGGGGATGTTAGAGCTTACTATTGGCTACAGACGAGTGCATCCCGAAAGAGAACGCGAAAGACGACGAAGAGACCTCTCTTCCTCGTCTCGAACCGCGACAGTCGACGAGGAGAACGCAAATCTATTGCCAGCGAGCACCGCGTGGCAAAAGGGCGAGAGGACGATGCGACGTAGTCTACACAGCAGGTGGACAAACGAGAACGGGAACGGGGAGGGGTGAGGGAGAAAAGCGAGAGAACGGCGGAGGGTATCTTGGCGGGTACAGGGCACACGTCGGGGGTCGTAGGCTGGAAGCGAGGGCGAAGTGTAGAGTGAAGCGTAGGGGAATCATGCGATGCGAGGGGCGGGCGAGAGATGGTCGAGGTAAGGGGAGGTGGGAAAGGAAGAGTAACAGCGAGGAAAGATGCGAGATCTGCAGGACACGAGCCCAGGATGTCAGAAATTTGCGGAGCTGCATCGAGCTCACGCTCCGCGCAGAGTCACGCAAAAGCCAAGCAGCGACTGCGCAGAATCCCGACAAACTCGCCTGATCCCCGACACTCAACCCGCCTACCTCCCAACCCTGACATCATCAAACTGCTCGCTCCCGACGAACCCTCCACGCATCGACTTGGCGACATTCTGCATGAAGCGCTCGCGGTTCTGTCGGAGGTCGTTGGCGGCGTCTGCGTGCGCGAGAGAGGCGAGGAGAGTCAGTTGTTGGCCTTTCTGCGGGAAAAACGCTCTCGGTACAGGGTAGGAAACCCAGCGCGAAGGCGACGATGGCGAACGGGCGCAATACCTGAATACTCACCCTTGTTCAGCGGGTCATCGGCGTTAGGCTCGAGGAACAAGTACTGCAATCCGACCATGACAGCGTTGAGGTTGAGGACGGGCTTCCAGTCTTCGCGGAGGATGTTGAGGCAGACGTTGCCTTCGAGGTCGAGGTTGGGGTGGTAGATCTGCGCGGAGCGAGGGCAGGCGGAATGCGGTGTCAGTCGGGTCGAGTCGGGTCGAGGCTCTTGCTCCCGCACGACGCTACAGCCTTGCACCGCCAAGTTCCGAGCCCAGTGAAGCAAGACCGGGCGCCTTGAAGCAGAAGAGCCCCTCTGCGAGAGAGCGATTCTCGAAACGCACCTTGGGGACACACTTGACCTTGGGCGCATCGTGGGGGTAGTTGTTGTTGATCGCAAACGTGAACTTGAACGTGCCGCCCTTGTACATGCCTGTCCGCGCGCCGAAAACCATCAGCTTGTCTCGTTTGAAACGACGGAAGGAAGCGGAACGCACCCTCGTCCGGCGTGATGGTGAGCTCAAAGTTGAGGAGGTCTTCGGGGTTGGGGAAGTGGGTCTTCATGGTGGGAGGGAGGTCGAGTTCGGTCAAGTCTGCGCGCAGAGAGGGAGCGAGGTGAATGTCAGTATGAAGGACGAGGCCGGATATGAAGTGCGCATGTCGACCGCTCGCCCTGAGCTTCCCACAAGACAGCCCAAATCGCCAACAGCCGAGCAGACCGCTCTCCAGCGCACTCGCTTGCATGACCACCGCTCGCCTCGCGAAAGAACCGCCTCGAAGCGAGAAGTCGCGCGACTGACCTTTCTGCACGCGGATGAGCGCCGCGCTCGTCTTTGGCTTTGACTTGGCGGCCTGGTCCTCGGACCGCTTCAGCGACCAGATCTGCGCGAGTACACGAGCCGATGTCAGCCCGTCGAGGTGGGAGAGGCCCGAGTGGCGCCACTGCCCCGCCCGGCTCGCTGGCTGCACATAGAGACACTCGAGCGCACCTTCATCATGTTGGGCAGTCAGTCAGACCCGTGCGGGCGAGTGTCGAGGTGATGAGGAGAGTGTGGAGGGTGAGCGAGACAACGACGGGACGAGCGGGCGCGGTTCTTTCGCTGGGCGTGATCAGGTGGTCGAGATAGAGCCTTGGAGCTTGTCAGTGAGTCAGCCGAGCGTTGTGAGCGTGAGCAGGCGTGTCCAACTCGCTCGAGAGACTCGTCGCCGTCACTCTGCTCGCGACTGTTCACGCTCGCTCGCCGTGGGATGCTCGCGACGACTCGGACAGCGCCTGCGAGGCTATCGCGTGCGCTCCACGCCGTCCCCGCCGCGAAAGAACCCCTCGCGCGGCCACACACACACTCGTCCGCCCCGCATCCTCCCCTCGACGCCTCGCTCGCCCTCAGGACACTCGTGCGTGCACTTCAGGCGACGTGGGTGTCTTTGTGCTGACATGTTGTGACGGCTCAGGCGCGCGAACGAATCGCCGCGATCGACCAGCTCTCTCCCGCGCCTCCTCGCCTCGTCGACCCTCACCCCGCTATCTCCGCCTCGCACTCGCCTTCTCCAGCCCTGACAGACTCGTTCGGGCGCAAACACGACTACCTGCGAATCAGCCTCACAGAGAAATGCAACCTCCGCTGTCAGTTCTCGCTCGCTTCTCCACCCACGCTTCTCTCCGTGGCGGACTCGCATCCCAAAATACAGATGACCCGCCGTCAACTTCCCGATCACTCGACAGCGCACTGACACCTTGCTGATGCTCGCAGGCACATACTGCATGCCGGAGACGGGCAACCCGAACCTGCTCCCGCCGTCGCACCTCCTCACGACGCCCGAAATTGAGCGGGTCGCGCGCATGTTTGTCCGGCAGGGCGTGCGGAAGATCAGGTTGACGGGTGGAGAGCCGACGGTCAGGAAGGATTTGGTGGACGTCGTGGGTGCGTGTTGAGAGGACTCGCTTTCCAAGGGAGACTCGGAGCTGACCTTCCCACGTTTCGCCGACTTCCTCCTCTACCGCCGCCTCTTCGTCGCACAGAACGCCTCGGCCGCCTCCCCCTGACCTCCCTCGGCATGACCTCGAACGGCGTCGCGCTCCCCCGCAAACTCCCCTCCCTCGTCTCCGCCGGCCTAACCCACCTCAACCTCTCGCTCGACACGCTCGACCCGCTCAAGTACGAGCTCATGACTCGCCGACGAGGGTTCGAGCGCGTAATCGAGTGCTTGGAGATGGCGGAGGAGATGGAGGGGCTGGATGTCAAGCTGAATGTGGTCGTCATTCGAGGTGCGTTCGGGTGTCCGCCCACTTTCGGTGCTCGTCACTTGGCAGACGTAGACGACTGATGGTGGAGTGGGTCATCCGATACAGGCCTGAACGACATGGAGGTGCCGCAGTTTGTCGAGATGACCAAGGACAAGAAGATCACGGTCCGCTTCATCGAGTACATGCCGTTCGAGGGTGCGCGCGACGTCTCCCGGACTCTGCTATCCTTGAGCTGACGCTCTGGCGCGCGCGCAGACAACCGCTGGTCGACCACGAAACTCGTCCCTTCCGCCTCGCTCCTCTCGACCCTCACGGCTCTCCACCCAACCCTGACACACGTCCCGACCCACAAATCCGACACGACGCGCCACTACGCCGTGCCCGGATGGAAGGGCAAGTTTGGGTTCATCAGCTCGATGACGGACCATTTCTGTGGCGGTTGCTCGAGGTTGAGGGTGGGTGCGGATGGGGGGATGAAGGTGCGTTGGCCTCATGTTCGCTCGTCTCGTCGTTCGCTAAGGCTGACAATCCGATGCTTCTTGCATGTTCTTCTTGCGGCGCACAGGTCTGCCTCTTCGGCCCTCCCGTCCTCTCCCTCCGCCCGCTCTTGCGCGCTCCCTCGCCCTCTTCCTCCGCCGAGTCGGACTCTGACGCCCACATCATCCCTCACATCGCCCGCGCAGTCTGGGGCAAAAAGTTCGCGCATGACGGACTCGGCGGGGCCGAGGGGATCAAGGAGAAGGGGCGGATGGGCGCGATGGTGGGCATCGGAGGTTAGTCGCCTCGACTTGCTCTTTTGGCGGAGGAGAAGGAAGGAGGGGACTTGCTGAGAGGATGAGGGCTGACGAGGTTTGAGGGGATCAGGGGAAACAGGTGAGCCCGGTCTTGTCGGGGCGTTTACTCGACCGAGGGCATCTTCCTTCGCGAATTGAGCTGAGTTCGTTCCGACCTTTTGCTCGCAGCGCTGGGCCATACGCTCTCCTCGCTCACCCCGCCCGCCATCCGAGCCCGCCCTTCGATACGAAGAACGCGACTTTCCCCTCCCTCCCAGTCGAGACGAATACAAGTCGTTCCGGTACACCTCCTTGCGTCGATCTGCTCTCCCTTCGCGTCGACTCTAGGCTTGCGAGCATTTTACAGCACTCCACGACGAGCCAGCGACGACTCGTCCCCCTCTTCCCCCGACAAGCGATCTCCCGCACCATCACCCTCCTCATCCTCCTCCACCGCATCTCCTTCCCTCACCCACATTGATCCGACGACTGGCAAAGCTTCGATGGTTTCCGTCTCGCAAAAAGCCTCGACCGTGCGCTCCGCCACAGCCGAAGGCGAGATCTACCTTGGCGCATCCGCGTTCTCCCTCATCGACTTTGGCGGCTCCGCCTCGACGATGAAGACGAAGAAGGGCGACGTGCTTTCGATCGCGCAACTCGCCGGCTTGATGGGCTCGAAGCACACCTCGCTCCTCATTCCACTCTGCCACCCTCTCTCCCTCTCGCACATCCACGTCTCCCTCTCGCCCATCCCTTCGACACACTCTTTACGGATCAGCTGCACAGCCGAATGCGTCGGCCCAACAGGTGTCGAGATGGAAGCTTTGACAGGCGTGAGTATCGCGGCGTTGACTGTGTGGGATATGTGCAAGGCGGTGGCTGGGAAGGAGATGCGGATTGGGAATGTGAGGGTTGTGAGGAAGAGCGGGGGGAAGAGCGGGGATTGGGAGAGGCGGGATTAGGCGCCGCTGACGCTCCGGGCGCGATGTCATATCAGGTTCGTATCGCATCGTAACACGCGGTTGAGGTCTCGTAGCAGAGAAGTGATACGGCGCTCGAAAGCTGGACTTGTTCAAGACGAAGGACAAGCTCACATCGAGACGGCTCGACAACCTCGTCCCGATAGCACCCAAACGAGTCTACAGCTTCGCCTTCTGCTTCTCCGCCTCCTTCGCCTTGCGCTTCTCCGCCCTCTCCCTCTTTCCCCTCACCGCCCTCCCAACACTACTCCCATTCGGCCTCCCAAGCCTCTCGCTCACCCACTCCCCAACCTCACACAACCTCTCAAACCTCTGCTTATCCTCGCCCTCCTGCCATCCCAGCAACGTCCCCGCCCCTGCTTCAGGCGGGGACGGGAAGAACGACGAAGGGATTCCGGAGTGGTACAAGGCGTAGAGGACGTCTTCGGTTGAGACGTTGCCTGTTGCGCCGGGGGAGTAGGGGCAGCCGCCGAGGGAGGCGATTGAGGTGTCGACTGTTGGGATGCCGAGCTGTGGCGCGCGAGTGTGAGCGGAGATGGGAGAAGGAGGAGGAGAGCAGAATGTACCGAAACGCAATGGAGGATGTTAGAGATGGCCGTCCCGTATGTGTCGTGGCAGTGGGCCTGTGCGGGCAGCAAGGATGAAGTCGAAGCAGCGAAGTTGGTCAGCTAGACAGCAACACTCGCTCAGACTGGACGCCCGGACGCACCGCAAGCTTCCCAACCGACACGCCCTCGCGCTCGCATTCGTTCAACAGCTTCTCCCATCCCGCCGGCACGCCGACCCCAATCGTATCCCCGAGCGAGACCTCGTACGCTTTCATCTCAAGCAACTCCTTCGCGACTCGGGCAACCTTCTCCGGCTCGATGCGACCATCGAACGGACAGCCGAGGACGACCGACACATACGCGCGCACTCTCAAGCCGTGTTCCTTGGCCGACTCGAAGATGGGCGGGAGGGAAGCGAGCGAGTCTGCGATTGTCGTGTTGAGGTTGGCGCGGGAGAACCCTTCCGACGCGGCGACGAAGACGGCGATTTCGTTCGTCAGTGGCAGATTGGAGGGGTGTTGTGAGAGGAGGGTGGTGAGGGACGAGAGACCCCGGGCGTTGGGGACGAGGACGGGGAGGGACAGGTCTGGGTAGTCGCGGCGAAGTTGGGCCAGGGTGGGCGAGGTCAAGACTTCGGGCGTCGTCGCCATCTGCGGGACCTGAGGGCGCGTCGCACGAGTCAGTACACGTCGAGACTCGCGCGTAGGAAGCGCCTGGGACGCACCCACTTGGGCGAGACGAACGACCCGGCCTCGACATCCCTCAACCCGCTCCTGACGAGCCTCTCGATCAACTCGACCTTGACCCCGGCGTCCAATGGCGTCTTTTCGTTCTGGAGGCCGTCGCGCGGTCCGACTTCGACGAGTTTGATGGGTTGCCGGGGTGAGGAAGAGGAGAGCGAGCGGGAGGAAGGGGGGAGGCCGCGCGGGTGTCGCAGGGTGCGTCTGAGCATTGTAACGGTGTGTACCAGTCGCTGTAAGCTGTCGTTGAGCGTGTGAGCGAGTGAGAGAGAGAAGAAGCGAAGTGGGGGCGAGGAGAGGCAAGCCGCCGTCACGTGACCAGGCGACCTTCTCAACTTCGACCTCGACGACCAACTCGCTCAATACAACGACGCTGCTATTGCTACTGCTATTGCGAGAGCACTACATCCGGAAGACGCCAAAGTTGCCAACCTTGTCCCGCTGCTCGGGCTTCCACGCCTTGGTCACGACTCCGAGCGCCAGTCCGACAACCGTCCTCGTATCCTGGGGCAGGATGACCCCGTCATCCCACAACCTCGCACTGCCAAACACCGCCTCGCTCTCCTTCTCGATCTGCGCCTTGAGGACCTGCGTCTTGGCCGTGTCGGACGAGACAGTCTCCATCACGCTCTGGAGCTGGTCGGGGCCCATAACGCTCACGCGCGACGACGGCCAGGCGAAGAGGAAGTGCGGCGAGTACGCTCGACCGGCCATACCGTAGTTGCCCGCGCCGTATGAGCCACCGACGTTGATGGTGATCTTGGGGCAGGTCGTCGCGGCGACGGCGCGGACCAGCTTGGCGCCGTTCTTGGCGATGCCCTGCGCGCGCACGAGCACGAGCGTCAGCGAGTGCGCTTGATCGTACATACGCACTCTCACGCACTCCCTTCTCGGCCGCGGTGCCGACCATGAAACCCGTGATGTTGACGAGGAAGAGGAGCGGGACGCCGCGCTGTTCGCACAGCTGGATGAACTGGGTCGCCTTGAGCGCTGAGGGAGAGAGGAGGACGCCGTTGTTGGCGATCTGCGTGCGAGCGAGAAGGTGAGCGAGCGAGAACCGAAGCGAAGTGAGCGAGAGAGAACGTACGATGCCGACTTGGTGGCCGTGGATGTGGGCTGTGCGATTCGGCCGGCATGCATGAACGTCAGCTCCCACTCTTGACGAGTGCGTAAACGAGAAAGGGATCGACCGGAACGCACCGAATCCCGTCACGACCGTCTGCCCCCACTCGCTCTTCCACTCTGCAAACCTGCTCCCATCCACCGTGCGCGCAATGACCTCCCTCATATCCCAACTCTTCTTCAAATTGGTTCCCGTGATCCCTCCGAGCTCATTCGGATCATACACCGGCTCGTCCACCTCTTCCACCTGCTGGGGTTGCGAAACACCGACCCTTCCGCTCGCCGCAAACCCCGCAACCGCCTGCCTCGTAAGCGCAATCGCATGTTCGTCGCTCGTCGCAAGGTGGTCTACGACGCCCGACTCGCGCGCGTGCATCGCGCCGCCGCCGAGCGTCTCGGAGTCGACTTCTTCGCCGAGCGCGGCTTTGACGAGCGGAGGGCCGGCGAGGAAGATGGAGCCTTGGTTTGCGACGATGATGTTTTCTGCGAGAGCGAGAGGGCGGGTGAGTAACTGACTCTCGACCAATTAAACCTGCGCAAGCTCCGCTGGGCAGGAACCGCGGAATTCGAGCGAGAGCCAGAAGCTCACCGTCTGCCATCGCAGGGACGTAGCTGCGAGCACGATAGCCGTCAGCTCCACATATATCGCTCGGAAGAGAAAGAAGGCTGCGAAACTCACGCTCCGCCGGCGACCGAAATCCCATGCACGACCGCAAGTTGCCTGTCCTCCGCGACCTCAACCTTCGTCAGCTCGTCCCAGAGAGCCTCGCGTGAGAGATTGGACGCACGGGATCCCCTCTGCGCTCATCCTAGCCATGTTGTAAAAGATCCTCCCAAAGTGGTCGCGGTCCGGGAAGACATCCTTCTGATACGGAAGTGCCGCTCCGCCCGATTCGACTGCAGCCCATCATCAGCTTGAGCTCAAAGGAAGGAGGGAGTGGACGAACCGATGTAGATGCAGGGAAGCTTGTTCTGCTGTGCGATTTCTTGCGCCCGGAGGTGCTTCTTGACTGTGACGGGGTGGTAGGAGCCGCCTTTGACCGTTGCCTGGGGCGAGAGGGTCAGAGCGAGCATCTTGAGGGGAAGAAGAGGACTCACGTCGTTCGCGACGATCATGCACTCGACGCTGTCGACGGAAGGAGTTCAGCGAGCGCTCGAAAGACTGGGTTCACGGCGACTGACCCGTTCACGCGTCCGATTCCCGTTACAATCCCTCCAGCGGGCACCTTGCCATCGTACATCCCTTCGCCAGCGAGGGACGACAACTCGAGGAAGGGCGAGAACGGGTCGAGGAGGGCGTCAATCCTGTCGTTCCAACCCATCAGCCCCGCGCTGGTTCTCGTAGGTAGACAGAGAGAGCTGACCGTTCCCTGACGAGCAACTTTCCCGCCTTCTTCGCCTTGCCCTGCGCCTTTTCTCCTCCTCCCATCAACACCTTGCCCCACATCGCTCTCAGCTCGCGCTCCTTCTCCCTCATCTGCTCCGCGCGCTCTACAAACTCCTCCGACGAGGGATCCACGAGCGAGGGGAGGACAGGGAAGGCATGCGAGGACGAGACGGGTGGCCGTAGGGCGGCGAGCGGCGAGGAGAGTGAGCGGGTGGACGAGAGTGCGCGGTGAGCGTGCGAGTGGGTGCGCTGGATCAGCCGCGTGGTTCGTGAGAGCATTGTAGCTGTCAATAGCTTGTCAGGAGAGTGCAAGAGCGCAAGAAGCGAACGGGCGACGACGAGAAAGGCGAGCCGAATGGGTGGGGACCAACGGGACTCCGCGACGACGGCGGCGAGGTCAACGACTCGAGATTGACATTCGACGAGTAAGAGGGTATGACTACAGAGCGAGCGGCGAGCGCGGTACACGGGCGGGAGAGGCGGAACTTGACAGAGTCGCGAGGGGGCGGGTCACCGGAGGGGCGAGAACGGCAAGGGCTTGAGGATGTTGGTGTGCATCGCGTTGCACAGCTTGGTCGTCCGCGCCACCGTCGACGCCCACTGCTGGTGCTCCCACGACCGAGAACGCCGGTCCCGGCGCTGCTCGAGCGAGTCGTAGTGCCACATCATGTGCACCTGGTGCAGCTGGCCGACTTGGCTGTGTGCGTGTCGACCTTGGTTCGTGTAAGCACACCGCCGCTGTCGCTCAAGACGAAAGCAAGTCGCGCAGGACCGGTTCGCTCACGCACCTGAACCACGCTCCAGCGGGCGAATGACCCGCCTTGATCCTCGCCTCCAACCCAACCCTCCACGACTCTTCCCACTCGAGCAAAGATCCGGGCTTGAGGTCGTAAGTGCGCAGCTCGTAGACCCCGCCACGCTCTTGCGGGCCCATCGCGGGCAGGAACTTGAATTCGCTGTTGAGTTGCGAGGTGCGCGACTGGATGAGAGGGAGGATCTCCTTGTTGAAGAACTGGAGGTGGCCCTGCGCGATGCGGCGGTACGTACAAGCTTGTCAGTACCGCCCGCTGGAGCGGCAGAGCGCAAACCGAAAGCTGCTTCAAACGTCCGCTTGGAACGCACCTTGCTTTCCCTGATCGCCTGCTTCTGCCTCTCAAACCCCTCAAATCCCTGGTACTCAAACACATGCACAATCGTATCGACCTCTCCGACGACGACCTCGAAGCTGCCCGTCAGGCGGGCGTCGAACTCTGGCGACTCGTGGATCCCTTTGTAGTAGCCGGCGATGAGCTCTTTGTATTGCTCGACGTGTTGAGGGAGGATCTTGTGCTCTGCGCGATGTGGATGGCGAGGTGAAAGGCGTCGAAACGGAGGGGCGGAAGGGAGAGTTGGCCGAGGAGAAAGAGGGAGGAGGACAAGATCAGTCGCGGGAACGGGGTGCTGGATTCGGGCTGCGCCGCTCACTCTGGAACTCGTGGACGTATTTCTGCAGGAGATGAACGAGTCGTCAGCATCCACGCTCCAAGCGTGACCCGCCTCTTCGTTGTCCGGGGGAATGCAGAAGGGAGTGGGTGGGCTGAAACAGGACGCGACCCTTAGCTGTACGCAGGCCTCGCCAGACCCGCTTACAGCATGGCCAAACGCCCGCCCAGCCCACTCATCCCTCTAGAAGCGAGCGGACTCACGTTCCTCCCCACCAGCTTGGAATGCTGCGCCCTCGCCTCCTCCTTCAACTCCTCGCTGCCATGCAGAAAGGCACTCGCAAAGTCCTTTACAGCCTGTGAGGGGGTCGAGGTGCCCAGCGCGCGGGTCCGGAGGAGGGAGAGAGACGAGGAGGGGAAGGTGGGGGACGGGGAGGGGACCCGGACGACGGGGAGAGAAGGGCGAAGTAGGGAGGGGCGGAGGGTGGTGAGAGCTGCTCGAGGGGTGTGCATGCTTGGTGAGAAGAGTCCAGCGACGAGGTGAAGCGGAGCGAGGTGAACAGAGCGGGGACAAGGAGGACGGCGGCGGGGAGAACGGTGACGACAGCTCTCGTGAGGGGCTTGAGCTGGCTCGCTGGGACGATGGAGACTCGTATAGAGGTATACGATCACTGGGAATGCAAAAGACGGCGATGCGATGCGGCGAGGACAAGTTCGAGAGGCAAAGGGGGACAGAGAGGGCTTTGACGGCGCTAGGCTGGGTGTCTTGGACGGGTTAGGTGACGGCGAGGAGACCGTGACGTTTGCGTCTACTTGCTGGCGGCAAACGAGACCGAGGGCGAGTTGCCGTCGGCGCCGAACGAGTAGACGGATGTGAACGACTTGAGCCAGGGCACTGCGTAGGAGGGAAAAAGCGCAAAGTTAGCTTCGAGTCAGCTAGACGTTGAGTGAGAGCGGCACGCACGTCCAAGGAGAGCGGCAGGCGTCTCGGTGAAGGGGTAGTTGATGTCGACGCCGACGAAAGCTCCCTCGCACGTCCCCTTCGACTTGCTCGGCAAGCGCGAGTACGTGAACCACGCGACGTCCTGAGGCTTCATGTATATCGGGCTGGTCGACGACGCATCGGCGAAGGAGAAGCCGACGGGGAGTGACGAGTTGCACGGGAAGGTGTAGAAGTCGACGTCGTAGACTCCGCCCATGACCGCTTGTTGATCCGTGTTCTGGAGCGTGCCGTTGAGTTGGGCATAGATCGAAGCGGCGACGGCGCGAGGGAAGTAGTTGACTTCGGTGCCAGAGTCGACAACCGCGACCATGCCGGTCGAGTCGACCTCCTTGCCATTGACGAAAGTGCCGGCGACGTTGGCGCCCCACTGCACGGAACGCCGCTGTCAGTCATTCGTTCGGCCGAGCCCGGTGCTTCGATCGAGACAGAGAGAGCGAGTCGCAACTCACGGTGAAAGCCCCCTCCGGCGCACTCGGCATCGACACGACCTCTCCCTCAACATGCGCAGCGTCGACTCCGCCGAGCACAAGCTCCGACACCGCTCCAGCCGTACGGCCGAAGTAGAGCGAGAACTCGTTGCTGGGGAGCGAGCCAGCTGCGACGGCGGCTTGGAGCCAGTTCGAGTCGCCGCCGACCTGTGTGAGGGGGCGATCAGTGACTGGGGCACATGAATGAGTCTGTAGAAGAGGGGACTAACGCCTGCGTAAGGGTTGACGATCGGAGCGAGACCCATCACGCCCGCAGCGTTGGTCGTGCCAGTGAGCTCGCCAACCGTGGCAGCCACTGCGCGCGCTCGTGTGTCAGCCGCATGTTGTTGGCGAACTTCAGAGGATTGACGTACGGAAGCGCTGGTTCTTGACGGTGATGTCGCCAATCTGGACGGTCTCGTACGCGGCGTTTCCGTACAGGACCGCGCCGCCGCCGTCTGTGGACAGGAGAGGTCAGCCTCGAGACTGAAGGGAAAGCAGGGATGGCACGCACACGCATCGGCGGTCTCGTCAGTCGTGTTCACGAAGGACGAGGAAGCGTCCGCCTTGAAGTAGCCGTTCGGGCCTGAGCAAGGCGCAGCGTCAGCGACGAACAATCGCGAAGATGAGTGGTATGAACGCACATCCGTCGAGGCAAGCGGACAGGAGGACGAGGTCGGACGAGCCTGTGTCGAAGAGGACGGCTGCGTAGAGGGAGGAAGGTCAGCTCGAGCGACGGCGTTTCGGACTGGTTTCCTTGACTCACGAAGCTGCTGGGCGGGAGTGCCAACCTTCAGCGGTCCCGCGAACTGCTCGAGATCCGCCCGTCAGGTTGCATTTCACGGAAGAAGAGGAAACCCGACGCACCGTCTGCAACCTCTGGAGTCCGTTCGCGATGACATTCGTGATGGGCACGGTGTTACTCCGCTTCTTGTTCGACGAGGCCTCGATGACAGGCTGGCGAGCGCTGAGGAGCTTGGTCAAGTCCCGCTTGACGAGCTGCTCGAGAGGGAGGTTCGACGAGGGCGACGAGCCGGCGAGGTGAACGGCCTGTGGCGAGGGCTGGACGGGCGCGGCAAAGGCGGCGGGCAGAAGAGCGAGCGGAAGGAGTGCTGAGAGGGCAGGCATGGTCGCGGGTCGTTGTGCGGCGAGGAAGGCGAGTGTGGGAAGGAAAGGAGAGAAGCTGAAGCGGCGACGGGCTTTATAGCGGTGCGTTGAGTGGGTCCCCTGGCCGCTGGAGAAAGGGAACTCTGTTCGAGGGTGGGAGCGGCAGAAGCAGCGTCACCGAGAGAAGCGGAGCAGGCGGACGACAAGGGGCGGAAGGCTCGCCGGAACACGGCTGATGCTGGATCGCCGAGTGTGCGGCGCCATGCGAGGGTCAACAGGAGCCGACAAAGCCAACCTTCGCTAGTCGTTCCGATCGGGGGAGCGGTCTCCGAGGGGAAAAAGGTGAGCGAGCGAGGTCGAGGAGTGGGTCGTCGACGGCAGGAATTTGGGCTAGAGTTGCGAGCTGCAGGCGTTCGTGGGTCACTCTGCCAGCGGATCAGCGATCCAATCCTGCCCTTCAGCCGCTGGACCACCCTGCTGCTCCTCATCAGTCGGCCAAACAAACGCCTTCCTCGCCCGCCCTGCTTCGCTCCGAGATCGCGCAGATAGAGTTGCCGAGATCCTGGATCAGACATCGAGACCGGATGAAGCGTTCCCTTTGTCCGCCGTTCCCCTTGTCGAGCGCGCGGGGTTCCCTTTGTCCTCGAGCGTCGAAGAACGGGCTGCACACACCGAACGAGGCTGCGGGGTAGGCTCAGAACGCGCGCAGGAGCCTGCAGCGTAAGCAGCGTGTGACAGCGAGTCAAAGCGAGACGTCGGCGCCAAACAGAGGCGAGCGAGCGGTGGAAGACAGCGAGGAAAAGGTTGGGCGTTGTAAACGTAGCTTTGCGTTTTTGTGCGTCCGGGCCTCAGGAATAGACACAGCAGAGACGGCGTGTGCGCTTGCGAGCGAGACTGCGAGTAAGGAGACAGGATTAGAGGAACGGATGAGGAGGAGATGTTCCACTCGTCTCCCTCGGTCTGTCGCTAAGAGCATAGCATTCCAACGAGAGATTGTTCATGAAGTCCGCAGGACCGGAAAGTAGGGGCGAGAGAGAAGGGGAGGAGAGGAAGGAGGACAGGAGGGAGAGAAGAGGTTTACCAACCGAAAGTCTCGCCGCAGACGACGATGCCGCCGCTGTTGACGAGACGCTAGCGTCAGCGAGAACTCCACCATAGCGTACAGAAGGCGAAGACTCACACTGCGACGGCCTTGGCGACCGGGACCTGCCCAACCGCGCGCCTGACCTCCTCGATCAAATGCCTCGGTCCGCACGAACCGACGACGATGCCGCCGCCGCATGCGAGGTTCATCCGAGTAGTCATGCTGACCACGTCGGACGCGATGTCGTCGAGGACGTAGGAGATCGAGGGGCGGGCGAGGGAGAGAGTAGAGTGTGGGACGGGCGAAGGGAGAGTTGCGTTGACGCGAGTGTCGGGTGGGACGTTGAGCGGGGCACGGGTAACTTCGAGAGAAGCGGTCAATGAAAGAGCGGTTCAAGAACGAGATGCGGACGCACCGTGCAGCGAGATCTTGACCTCGAGCGCCGTCCTTTCCCTCGCAACCTCGACAAGTCCGCCCAAGAAAGCCTGATACGACTCGATAAGTTCCGCCTCACGCATCGTCCAGACGAGCGTCACAGAGCGGACGGAGGTCTTGCCGACCGTGGCGAGGTAGACGAGTTCTTCGAGGATTGGCGCGCAGAAGGTAATGCCGGACCCGCCGGCGACGAGGAGAACAGACTGAGCATCGGCAAAGTCGGTGAGCATCGGCCCGCCGTAGGGTCCTGCGCGCGATGTAGGTCAGTCGCTGGGGGGAAGAAGCCGAGATTTCGCGACTCACCCTCGAAAGCGCACCCGATAACCTTGGCAGATGAGTCACCAAGCGAGACCTCCGCCGCCTTCTTGAGCGCTGTCGTATAGTCGCCCGCCGCCTTGACCAGCAACGTCAACCTGTGCGACCCCTGCAATGGCGACGCACCCTCCGGCGCACTCGCAATCGTAAACGGGTGCGTCTCCCAGCCTCGCCACCAACCGCCCGCTTTCCAAGTACGAAGCCAGACGTGCTGGCCGGGGCGGAAACCGGACGAGATGGTGTGCGACTGGATCATGAGTGTGTTGGCGGGGAGTGCGACAATCGAGGCTTTGCCGAAGCGGGTTTTGGCGACGCGGAGGACGACCTACATGTCGAGCGAGGTCAGCGACACTTTAACCCGAACATCAAGAGCGTTTCAAGGGAGGAAACCGACGCACGTCGAGGCCGTAGACAACGAAACAGAAGATGAGGTACGGCGTCGCGAAGTCCGGGGCGTGGTAGTAGAGGCCGACGAGGAAGGTGATCCAACCGGCGATGTGCGAGAGAAGGAAGAACTGGTAGAAGGTGTTGCGGACGTAGGAGACGCTCGGGATGAGGAGCAAGCCGCTGCGATCAAAGCAAGTCGGCTTCGGCATGCGACGGAAGTATAGGAAATGTAGACGCACCAAGCGATGACACAAGCCGTTCCAGATTGCTGCATCGGCTCGGACAGGTCGAACGGGTGCTTGACAAGGTAAAAGACTGCGTGCAAGAGACCGCAAAGAACGACGAGGCGGCCAGCGACTCGGTGAAGGTAGTTCATCTTCTCGTAGCCCTGCCCGAGAGCCGAAAGCGCAGAGTTCTTGCTGGCGAAAAGGAAGAGGGCGGGGAGTTGGCCGACACCGACTGCCGCGGTGCGGTTGAAGTTGGAGAGGTGGTCCAGGCATTCAAAGAAGAGGCAGAAGACGACGACGGCTCCGTAGACGATGCAGAGGGCGATCTGGCCGAGGGTGAGATGGAAGATCGGGAAGGGGCGGAGGAGGATGCGGTTGTAGAGCGTGCGAAGACTGCCAGTGCGAGTGTTGGCGAAACTGGCGGGCGAAGTAGAGAGCGTGCGACTCACTAAGCAGTAAGCGCGCTCGTCGGAACAACCTGAAGCAGGGCCGGCCTGTCAAACACGTCCATCACAACCGCATCCCTGACCTTCTCCGTCCCCTTCTCGCCCTTCTCGTTCACCGCAACAGGCGCGTCCTTCTCCGCCGCCGACGAGCGCAACATCCATCCGCTCTTCCAGCGCCCGTTCGCGGCCCAGCCGGCGATGAGAGGCGTGACGAAGAGGAGGAAGACGACGACTGCGAGCCCGAAGGCGTACTGGAAGTCGCGGGCGATGGCAGCGTTCCCTGCGCGCTAGACGATCCTTTCAGTACGTAGTCAAGAGACGAGAGGAAGGATAATACGCACAGGCTGAAACGGAGGAAACGCCATGCGAACCCGCTCCTCCTCCTCCTCCCTTCGCCGCCGGGCCACCCGCCTGAACCGCACCCGTTGCACTTGCCACCACCGCACGTGCCGTCGCTGCCACACTCGCCACGACACTCGAACTGGCGTTCGCGCCGCTGTGACCGCGCCCATGCTCCGCCGCCAGTTCGACGACGAGTGCTCGCGCGAAAAGGAGTGGGTCCATCGCTGGGACCGACATCGTACACTGCGCCAGGCAGTCACCTTGAAACGAGACGTTCAGAGCGAAGGGTGAAAGAGTAACCACGAGGACGACTGACAGAAGCGGGGCAGACGTCTGTCGTTGCGATCGCTCGCTCGCGTGCGTGGTGTGGTCGGGAGGCTCGGAACTTCCTGATCACTCGGGCTCGAGGGAGAGGAGGTAGAGAAGGCAGAGGAAGAAGCGGACTGACGCCGCGCGAGAGGTTCGTCCGTCGACCTGCGACGGGGGCGTCTGCGCAGCAGATTGAGGGAAAGCACAGCTGCGATCTGCACACTGAGAGTAGCAGCGGCAGCAACAGTGGGCGCAGCGCGACGAGGGAAGAACAAGGCTGCGCACGAGGCGCGCAGCGCTCAGTGCGCCTCGATTGACCTTCGCAAACGACGTGCGTTCGTCCGTCGTCCTGTTCCTCTACCTCGTGATAGCCGGTGCTCGTAGCGAATACCGTCGTTGCGTGTTGGTGAACACCGTGTCTACAACCCATCAGAAGTTCTGAACCTGCGCGCAGCAACTCACGCTCTCGTCAGCTTCTCTCTCCAACTCACCGCTACGCAGCCTGAAGACGCCGCATCCCGTGCGACCGGTGCGAAGAGAGAGAGAATTGAAAGAGCGCGCACAGTCTTGATCCCACCGACAGACTCGGGCTCGAGTTCGTTCTTGGACGGCTCGTCCGTCTTTGCGCCGAAGCCGGTGTCGCGGGCGTGTTCCTTGCGCTGCACGTCCCAGGTTTCGGTGATCAGCATTACTCTCGTGAGAGAAGAGGAGCTGAGAGACGGTGAGCTGGACGCACCCCGGTGAAAGGCTGAAGTCCCGCTGCGAGACGCGGGCCTGCGACGAGGGAAGACCAGTCGAGGTCTCCGCCGCCGTTCGCGAGGGAGGTGACGAGGTCTACGAGGTGCGCAAGTCAGTTTGATGTCGAGGGTTTGGGGTGAGCAAGGAGATGGACGAACGGCGGTGGGCCTGTCAGGAACCTCGTCAGCAATCCAACCAGTCCAAAGCAGTAGAGATCCGTCGCACGCACCGCATCCAAAGCCGGCATTGTCGCTCCAACGCTCTGCGCCAAGTTCCTCACGTGCGTAACATCCTTCAGTCCGCCCTTGACCGTAAAGCCCGTCTCGCCCTCAAAGGTGTTGTTGAGGATCTTGCCGCCGTAGCCGATGAAGGAGGGGGCGGCTGCGAGCGGGAGACATCAGTAAGGGAGGGGAAGGGAGGGGAGGGGAGGGACGCACGGAGGAACTCTTTGACAAACTCGAAGAGGAGGTCGGAGCCGACGCCGGTGCGGTCCGCGAGCGTCATCGCTATAGAACGTCAATAGCACCCATGCAGACGAGCGTCAGCTACACGCATCGCCGACAAGAAGCGCAACGCAGACGCACCCTCCGCAAGCAATTCAATGATGCTCGCGATCATCCCGTTCCCACAAAGCTTGAACGCCGCAGCGCGCTCGACGTTGTTTCCGACGTCGATGACGCGGCGACCCATCGAGGGCGAGAGGAATTTGACGACTTTCTTTTTGGCGAAGGTGTCGCCGGAGAGGACGAAGACGAGCTTGGCGTCCTTTGCCATGGGAGGGCTGTGGGTGCGAGTGGGTGAGCGCTGAAGGCAAGCGTGTCATGAGGGACAGGATTGCGGTCTTACGGGCCAAAGACGGGCGAGCAGAGGTAGACGGCGCCCGGAATAGACTGCGCCGTGCGCTCGAGTTCGCCTGCGAATCCGACAAGTCAGCCGACGACAGATACAACGTCACAGGCGCCCACGCACCGCAGGTCAAGGGGTACAGAGTCGACGTGTCGATGAAGATGATCCCCCTTCCATCCTTCTTCTCCTTCGCGCCCTCAAACAACTCCTTGTACACGCTCTTGGCGGCCTCGTCGTGCGCCAAGCTCGTCACGATCACGTCGCACGTCTTGGCAAGCTCCTTCGCACTCTGGACGTGCTTGAACTGCGCCGACTCGGCAGGGAGTTTCGAGGTCGTGCGGTTGTAGACGTGGAGGGGGGCGAGGGATTCGGTCTCGAGGTAGGCGGCGAGGTTGCGCGCCATTGGGAGACCCATGTTGCCCTGCGAGCGAGGCATGTTAGTCCCTGAGTACGTTATTTTCCCGTCCTAGGTATCCCTCGGTCGTCTCCACTCGAGTCCGCTGCCCACCTAAGCCTCGCCGGGCCTCGCGTCCGCCGCAGAGACCCTCGCACTCACCATCCCGATGAACCCAAACTTCTCTGGCGTGAAAGTCGGCATGGTTGCGTGAAGCGAAAGGTTGAACTGATGAGGGCGTGGATATGGACGAAGAGAGGGTGTGGGAGGTTCGCTGGTACGCTCGTGGGGTCTTATGGGCTGTCTGAGAGCTTCTAATCTGTCAAGCGGGTGCAAGAAGAGCTGTAACAGCGAGTGATTGAGGGGAGAAGTGATGACGGTGTGAAGTCGAACTCGGTAAATCGGCAACAGCTCGCAATGGGCAGGGAGCAGGCCAGTAGACCCATTCAAGTAGTACTACATCACTTGCACGTTGTCCCGAAGCAGACAGCGCTGGTTGAGGAGCACTTGCTCCTCCTCGCCGACCTCTCACACCACGACTTGACTCTGCAAACTCAGGCTGAGCTCGAGCGACCATGGCAGCCGACCCATTCGCATCGTACCAGCGGGAATACCTCGCCCTGCGCACCGCACTCCAGCCCAAACTCGACACCGACATCCCATCCCTCCGAGGCGGTCCGTCCCCTCTCCCTCGTCTCTCACGCCTTCGCTGGACTGACTGACTTCGTGTGCGCGAGCAGAGGAGAGGAAGGCGGCGATCAGGCGGGCCAACATGGAGCTGGACGAGGTCGACGAGATTGTCAGTCCTCGCTCGCCCCCACCTGACGCTCTCCTCGTCACTCAGAGGACTGGCAAGGGGAAGCGTTGTTGAGTCGGATGCGATACTGACGCTGGACATTGTACAACCAGGTCGACCAGCTGGAACACGAGGCGCGGGGCAAGGCCAAGCTCATGGCGCAGGTCCGGGCCTACCGCCAGGAAGTCAAGGGGTGGAAGACTCGCGTGGTGCGTTGCGGGTCACTCGAGGCTGTCAGAAGGTGCGCTTCGTCAGGAGCGAGCAAGCTGACTAGGGTCCTGCGCCAATCCGCACGCAGTCCTCCCTCTCGGCCGTCTCGGACCGCGACATCCTGCTCTCCTCTCGCCCCTCTCACCAATCCTACCCCCTCGGTTCAGACGACGACGACTCCGACGCCGAAGCCTCTCTCTCGCACACCGCCGCCCAACGCTCGCGCCTCCTCCGCTCGACGCAAACCCTCACCTCCTCCTCCTCGCGGCTCGACAACGCGCACCGACTTGCGCTCGAGAACGAGGAGATTGGACAGGGTGTGTTGGGAAGCTTGGTCGGGCAGCGGATGCAGCTGGTGAATGCGAACGAGCACTTGGAGGAGGCGGATGTCAGTGTCGGCAGGGCGCAGGGGACGATTGGGAAGATGATCAGGCTGTGAGTCGGCGTGACGCTGAGCTGTCGGCCCGAGATTCGTCCTCCGAACGAGGGGCTGATCTGCGCAAATACTCCTTCGCACAGCGCCTACCGCCAACGGATCGTCATCTGGCTCTTCATCGTCGTCCTCACCGCGCTCATGTGCTTTCGACTGTCCTTCCTCCTCAGCCACGAGTATGCTGACGTTCCGCATGCTTGCAGCGGCCTCATCCTATACCTCAAGTTGCGCTAGCCTCACCCTCTGTCCCTCTCCCTCCTCTGTCCTGTTGTAGCGATCCCCGTCCGTCCGTCCTCGGTGCTGCTGGTTCAGTTCTCCTGTTGCTATTCTCTCCGTCTCAACGTCGATACAGCACCACGAGAGGATGCGAAGAAGAGAACGACAAATGCGAGGAAATACACCGGAAGACAAGTCTATCAATCTACGCACGCTTCTCCTCCTTCTCGTCCTCGCCCGGGATCCTCGCCCTCTCCTCCTCCCTCTTCCTCCTCTTCTCCTCCGCCTCCCTCTTGACCCTCTCCTCATTCTCCCTCACGCGCTGCTCCCCCCTCTCCCTCTTGAGCCTACTCAACTCCCTCCGTCTCTCCTTCTCCGCCTCCTCTTTCCGCTCCTTCTCCTCATGAAACTCACACCCCTTGCCCGCCTCGCCAGAAGATCGGGAGAGCGCGCAACACGCCTTGCACAGCCCGTGCGAGCACTTTGTGCTGAGCACGTTGGAGCACGAGTAGTGGGCGGGGACGCCGGGGCAGGAGGTGGTTGCGGGTCGGGGAGGGGCGGAGGTCGTGGGTGCTGTTGGGTCGATTGAGGCGGGTGCGGGTGAGGGAGGGGAGGGCTTGAGGCGCTTCGAGGCGTCGTCGAGCGGGCCGTCTGTCGCGCCACTAGCTGATGAGCACGTTGCGAAAGGAGTTGAACAGGAGCGCACGTACCGATGACCAGTCCCTCCTCCGCGTCCCTCTTCCTCTTCGCCTCACCATCAACCTTCTTCAACTCGTCCTCCTCCTTTCCCTCGACGGGCTTCGTCACCCTCAGATACGGCTGACAATGCGAGTAGGGTACGACGCCGTTGAAGAGTGTGAGGACTTCGGGGTGGGTGAGTGGGCGGTTTGTGTCGGGCGGGAGGAGGCCGGATGCGCGGTCCATCTGTGGGACGAGTGTCAGCGTGTGCGACGGAAGAAAGGGAAGCGCTCGCAGACGTACCTTGATCAGTTCCCGGAAGTCGTCGACCCAAGCCTGGTACTGCGTGACCCGCTCGGCATACTCGAGGACGCCCGCTCCTCCGCCTGCCCGCCCAAGCTTCTCCCTCATCTCGAGGTGCCTGCCCGCCGCCCACACGGGCCTGAACAGCTTGTAGAGATGCGCCTTGATCGCACTCGTAGCCGTTTTGGTCGACGGCAGCGTCCGCACGATCGCGAGGTACTCGGACGCGACGAACGTCGCTGGAGCGTACGCGGCGTTGTCCCGATCCCACCCTGCGCCAGTCAAATCCAGCTCGTCCTCGCACGCCTTGAAGGCCGACTGCATTGGCTCAGGAAGCTTCTCGACGTACGCCCCTCCTTCCGCTGCGTTGTCGCGGAAGAGGCCGAACGGGTTGTAGAGGTTCCCCTCGGCCGACATGACCGCATACGCGCCGGTCTGATCCAAACAAGGCTGGACCTCCTCCGCGCTCGGGCACCCGCCGTTCGCGAGCACCGGCACCTTGGGCGAGACAAGCTTAACGACTTCGCGGATCTTGTCCCACGAGGCGAGCCCGGTCTGCTGGCCTTTCATGTCGCGCGTCCGGCCGTGGATGGTGAGTAGCTGGGCGCCGGAGGAGTAGACGTGGGAGGCGTAGTGGAGGGTTTTGGCGAGCGTTGGGTAGACCCGCATCTTGGCGATGATGGGGGTTGCGAGGTTCTTGTGGAGGTGCGAGACTGCGCGGAGCGACGAGTTAGCACACGTGCAAAGGTGAGAGAATACCGCACGCACTGAGATCGCGGATGAGGTTCCACTCCTCCATCAAGAACGCGCCGTACCGCCCTCGCTTGGCGATCCCCTGCGGACATCCCAAGTTGAGGTCTACCGCATCGCACTTGCCCTCGACCTTCCTCGCCGCCGCCAGGAACTGATCCTTGTCGTTCGCGCAGAACTGGACGACAAGCGGGCGGTCGTAGGGCGCAACACCTTCGAGCGAGTCAGGCGAGAGGTCAAACATTTCTTGCTGGTAGCGGTCGGTGCTGGAGAAGAGGGCGGCGTGGAACATGGGGGTGTAGCAGAGGTTGGCGCCGTGTGCTCGGGAGAGAATTCGCCAGGCCTGCGAGACAGAAAGGGGATGAGTACGCATACTGGCCAGACATGAGGCAGGCAACCCCCTCGAGCGGAGGGATGCGCACCACTCGACAGATGCGTACTCACCAGCTCGCTCTGGTCTACCATGGGCGCAACGACATACTTCGGCCTGCCCACGCTGTCCCACAATGCATGCCCCTCGAGCTTCCCTGCTACGCCCTTTGGCTGCTCAGCGAGCTGTGCCGTCAGGGGCACTGTCTCATAGACCAACTCTGACGGATCCTGCGCCTTTCCCGCAGCCCCCTTCGCCGTTGTCGTCATCATCGGGCGGTTCAAAGTGGCGGTGAAGGAAAGTTGGGAGAACGGCGTGAGCGTGCGCGGGCGGACGAATGAGCGAGCGAGTGCGGTCAAGCGAGACGCCAGCGTAGCCTTGCACCTTGTTGCGAGCCAGTCGCAGGAGTCGAGCGTGCTCAAGCGAGATGTCAATGCTTGAGAGCGATGAGAAAGCGAGTTGACCTTGAACCGCTCACTCCTCCTCGCTAGACTGGCTGTTTAGTCTTTCAGACGACTACTCGACGGCTAGATGGCGGGTACAGCGATCCACGACCTGCCAGAGGAGCTGCTCGCCGAGATCTTATCCCACTTTGCCTCGGAACAACACGACGTCGACTTTGACACGCTCAAGGCGTGCGCGCTCGTGCACTCGAGTTGGCGGGATTCCGCACACAAGATCATATGCGAGGCCGGCGTCGAGCTGGAGACAGAGGCGGACGTTGCGCAGTGGACGAGGACGAGGCGTTTGCGGCGGTATGCGCCGAAGGAGCTGAGCGTACGGGCGTACAAATCAAGGACGGCGTTGGGCAAGCTGCTCGACGGCTGCGACGGCCTACGATGGCTCATGCTGGCGACGCCGACTCGCAACTTTGACCCGGCCGTCCTCGCGCATCCCGCTTTGTCAGGTGAGTTCCGCCCTCTTTCCGTGTCTTTGAGCTTTATACTGACACCCGTCCTCTACTGCAGACCTGCGCACCCTCATCCTGCAAGGCGAGATCCTCCGCGCACCGCTGGACCTCGTCTACCCGTTCCGCCTTCGCTCGCTCGTCGTGGCCGACACCGCCTTTCGATCCCCTCACCTCGCCTCCTTCCTCGACACCATTGCCAAAACGTCCTCCAACACACTCAAGACCCTATCTTTATCCGGCTTCTCGTCAAACGCGCATCCAGCAGTCGCCTGCTCACTCCTCTCCTTCGCCTCATCCCTCACGCACCTCGGCCTCTCACTGGCCTCGTCCGACCCATCAGACCCCTACCACCCGCTGCTCGCCTCTTGCACCACCCTCGAATCCTTCGAATGCACCTCCCTCCCCGCCTCCTTACTCTCGCACCTGCCGCCAACTCTCGCAGGCCTCGCAACAACCGAAGATGCACCGTGCATACCTATCTCTGCGCTTGCTGCGGCGCTCGAACGGCTCAAGGGTATCAAGAGGCTGTATTTCGCCTGCTTGAGGGAGGATTTTTGCTTGCTTCCAGGCGCGGCGAAGTTGGTCAACGAGACGGAGGCGAGAGGGGTCAAGTGGTGGTTTGCGGATGATAGAGACTGATGAGGGGGCTAGGTGATTAGTTGTCGCGGTAGCTACGGCTCTCCTTCCTCCCTTGCGAAACTCGATGCCTCCTGCAACTACACTTGCCCAAGCTTGATCTCCTCGTTGTCTTCTAGGTTGAAGACGTGGTCGGTGCGCTTCTGGAGTGTGTAGAGAGGGTGGACGACGCTGCAGGGCGGAGAAAGCCGATCAGTCGGGAGCAACGACGAGACGACGAGACAGCGGAGGGAACGCACTTGAAGATGTAGGTGACGGCGAGCATGGGGATGCAGTCTCCGAGGATGAGGCCGGCCTCTGTTGTCGAGGGAACATTCAGCTGGGCGAGATGGATGATAGAGCGGCGGGCAGAACGCACGAGAGTGCGCGATCGGTCCGAACATGCCTTCGCTCAGCTCCGCAGTCCGGTACGCGCCGCTGTCAAGTGAGCGACAGTTCAGCGAGTAGCCCACGACCGAGACACGGCGAGAATGCACCGGATGACGATGAGCGACGAAATAGCGATGATGCCCCAGAAGACCACCTTGAGGTGCGAGTCGGCGTAGCGGATGTCGACGTTGTGGCGGGATCGCAGGCGGGAGAAGTAGACCCCAAAGACGGCGAGGAAGATGAGGGTGACGACGAGCTGCGCGACGATGCCGCCGAGCATGATCCAGCTGCCGACGTTGAAAGTCGAGGCGTCCTCGGCGCCTGCTGCTGTAGCCTGCGCAAAGACCGGAGGGGTGAATTGGCGAGCAGTGCGGACCAGTAGGTAGGGGTGGTACGCACTCCGCCGCCGACTTGGACGACTACATGGGACGAGCGTCAGCTCGAGGTCAACGTGGGATAGATCACGAGGACGCACGCAGGGTGAAGAACTCGACGCCAAACAACCACCACGTGAGCCTGTAGGATGGTAAGGTCAGACGGTCTCGAGCGGCAGGAGAGGAGAGAGGGAGAGACTCGCTTCTTCGAGCCGATGGGCAAGAGCGAGGGGTTCATCGATCTTGCCAGACTGCCGAAGAGCGAGTCTGTCGCGCTTTCGTGGATCAGTACTGCGTCTTCGAGTGCGGGAGAGCATCGCGGATTCATGGGAGACGCACAGAGAGCGCCCGAGAAGACGATTGGCGACACTGTCAGCGCCGCAAGCTGCTCGCCGTACCTGTGATTGTATCAAGCTCGTCAGCAGAGCGAGCGCGACTCGTCATTCGGTCCCAGCAGAGGAGGACGAAGGGCACGCACCCTCGCAACAAGTTCTGTCCGCCAATCCACCGCATCGACCAGCCGTACATCTCGCCTCCGCAGCCCATCACGACCATCACGAAGCTCCAGTATCGGGAGCGGAGGATTTGGTAGATGTGCAGGAGGGCGGACAGGCCGAAGGCGACGAGCGTGAACATCGCCCATCCGTTGTTTGGCCAGTCTGGGGGCGATGCGTACGTCAGCATCAACAAGAGCGTCCAGAGAACAGAGGCGCGAGCCACGCACACCCCCAGTTGTTGTACGCGACCCAGATCCGGTTCGCCTCCCTCGTCAAAGTCGCGTTGCCAGTCTCGCGGCAGTAATAGCTCGATATGAAAGCGTCGTATGCCATGTCAAGCTTGTGTCGTTGCCAGTTCGCATCGATGAGCGCCTTCATCGTCGAGTTGCAGTGCAGAACCTGCCGAAAGTCCCAGTCGGACATGGTTGAGGGCGAGTGTTGCGGCTCGAGGGAGGAGCGAGGAGTCTGTCGTTGTCGATGAGAATGCTAGCGGATGGACAGCGAAGGAAGCTGGGGAGAGCGAGAGGAAACGGCAGCACAAGGTGAGAAGGACCTGGGACTCGACGTGAACTTGACTTGGACACCCCCGCCCAGCATGACTGGCTGTGCGCGTCCCGGATCTCCGGTCGCGAGCGCTGTCGTCGCGCGGAGGCATCGTCCGCTGAGAAAGGAGGTCAAAGATATCGTGGAAAGGCGAGGCGGTGCAAGCCGGCGGGACGGCGGAAGCGGCGGAGGTCGAGCGTGCGGCGAAAGAAAGTTTCTCCCAAGTCACGAAGAACTCGCCGTCGACGATGACGGACCAGCGGGGTGACGGAGGAAGAGCGCGGCGAGTTGCGCTTGTCGCGACGAACGTGCGCACAACGTCCGGCGATACGCTAGCGGTGGGCGTGACACCTCGTCGTGCTGGACGAGGACGGACGTGTGACTCGCCCTCGGCGACCAGTACGAGGACGAAGATCTGCTGGCAAGCCGCCGGCTGTCGAGCGAGCGAATGAGGCGAGGTGAAGCAGAGGCGAGGACCCGACGAGCGAGAGACCCGGCGGCATCGAGGTGTGGACGAGACGACGTGTTTGCCGTGCCCCCAATGCCGCTGCACGACTGCGTTGCGCCGTTCGCCCGCCCCAACTCATGCGCCCGTCACCGAGAGCGCCCACTCCTCGAGGTCGAACCCAGAAATCTCCGCAAACTTCACGCATTCCCTCCTACTCAGCTGCGCGCATCGCACTCCGAGCTGTGCATTGAGCGAATCTCGTCGATCAGGCCATGCAGTCATGTCCATCGCGGTCGGCAGGTGTAGTACGGTGATGCTGGAGAGCGAGTCGGGGAGGGAGTCGTCGGTGACGAGGTCGTCGTAGCTCCTGACCGATATCCCGACAACTGCGAGGTGCTCGACCGCTGGCCAGGTGCCCTCGAGGCAGGAGAATAAGTGGCCAAAGTCGGCTTTTGCGCCAAGAACGCGTAGCGATTTGAGTGATCCAAGGTTGCTGAAGACAGAGCGCGGGCCGACATCGTTCAGTAGGAGCGTATGTAAGGTGGGCATGGCGGCGTCATGCCAGTCGGGCGGAAGGATCATGTGCGAGATGGAGAGGAAGCGGAGGAAGGGGAAGGCGCCGGAGGAAAGGAAGCGCAGGGAGGGCACGGCGTTATGAGCGTGCCAGTCGTTCGTCTCGTAGAGCACTGCGACGTGACTCGTCAGCCTACGAAGCCTGCGCGAAGAGACGAGGAAACCCTCGCACGCTTGTAGTCGCAGGCGGGACAGAGGTCCGCCGACCTCGCAAAGGACAGCTCCTCGATAGCTTCCATCTGCTCCTTGAGTCCTTCCGCCAGATCCTCCTCCAGTCCTCCTAGCCGATGCGCAATCCGGATGTCCAACCGTTTGAGTCGGCGAGCAGGGTGGGTCCGTCTGAACAGCATGGCGGCGTCGTGATGGCCCGTCCACTGCTCGACGTTGAAGCGTGCTTGCTCCTCGAGTAGTCCACGGGCGTGCGCGGTCCACGATCGGTGTACGAGCGAGCAGGCGAGGAGGAGGTCGCGGCGAGCGGGGAAGTTGGCAGACGTGCGCGGCGGGAGTGCAAGGTCGATGATGCGTAGCTGGATCTCAATGGGTAGTGTGGAAGGCATTCCAAAGCAGTTCGCGGTCCAGCAGCGGAGTCGGGTGAAGGGGAGGAGACGAAGAGCAGGTTGGCGTCTTCCTCGTCGGACACGACCGGCTCTAGCGTACTGGGCAGCTTCGAGTGGTTGCTACATGTGCTTTGAGCTGATCTCAGTGCTCGCAGCCTGCCCCGAAGGATTCTCCCTCCCCTGCTCCTCGCTTTCCTCCTCATCAGTCGAACTCGCTCCAGCGCCAACCAGGCCTCCCTGGAGCGGACAGCGACGTGCGACCTGCTGCTGAATCCATACGAAAGCCCTACGCCAAAATCGGAACCGACATGACCGCCGAAGCAGCGAGTGCGTTCTCCCTCGCCGCCTCGATACCTTCTTCCTGCGCCGTCGCTCCTCCGTACTGCGCTCGTCTGCGCGAGAAGCCACCCACGATCAGCCTAGGGTCCGCAGCAGCAGGGAGGTGGGGAATGGAACGCACACTTTCGCCGCCGCCTCGGGGAAGCGCGCAATCGCAACCGCCGTCGCATCATGCGCGAACAGCTCCGGCGTCTGAGGCAACTTGACCGACTCGGGATCGATGTTGTCCCAGTCGCGCGGGCGGTGCCAGGTGTTTCGGACCCTTTTCACGAGCTTCATTAGCCGAGGAGCGAGGAGGAGGAGGAGAGAGAGGACGAACTGCACGCCTAGCTGCTGCGTCATGACGGTGCGGTCGTAGCGGATCTCTTGGTATGCGCGGGTGGCGGTCGGGATGTCGTGCTTGCCTGCGAGGCGGAGGAGGGTTGCGATAGTCGTTGCGTCTTCGACTCCTTGCGAGGCGCCTCTGCAAAATGCGCGTTCGGGTCAGGGCTTGACGTAGCGCTCTTAGACGAGTGGCTACGGACTGGATACTGGTGGGAAGGTGCGGGTCTGCGCAGCGTCGGAGACAAGATTAGCAAGCCGGACTTTCTTGCGAGACGACAAGGGAAACTCACGAGCTGCGTCGCCGAGGAGACAGATGCGACCCTTCGGCGAGACCCAGGTCGGCAGCGGGTCACGGAAGACCTGCATGAGCGAGTGAAAGCGTCAGAGAGACTTTTGGGCTGAGGAAGACCCGCGCACTCACCAACTTCCAGTCGAGGAGGTTCTCGGCAGGCGTGCACGAGATGACCGCCTTGACGACCGGGTCCCAGTTGTCAACGACCTTAATCGCGTCCTCGACTTTCCCTCGCGCGACCCAACTCTCCTCAACATCCGCCTGGTCAAGGTGCGTCAAGACCCACGAGAACTCCTTTGTGCCCTTGACGCCGGCAGCGATGAAGTGCACGTCTGGGCCAATCCAGCAGTTGCGCTGGTCGACGCCGTCGGCGACAAGGTGAGCGCAAGCAGGGTTCTCGCGGATGCGGTCTCCGTCGAAGAAAGCGCGGTAGATGGCGTAGCCGGAAGATTTGGGCTTGTCGACGTATCCGAGGACAATCTCGCGCGCTTTGGACTTGACGCCGTCCGCGGCGATGACGACGTCTGCGGTGTGAGGGACGCCGTCGATGAGGACGGAGGCGCCGGTGTCGGTCTCTTCGTAGGCTGTGACGGCGATGCCTTGCTTAGCTTCGACGCCGACGGACTTGGCGTAGTCGAGCAAGGTCTGGTGCTGCGAGGGGAGCGAGCCAAGTCAGCCAGCGAGTCTAAGGAAAGCATCGTAGAGGAGAAACTCACCAAGTCTCCGCGGTGCGCATCAAACATCGGGTTCTCCCTCGTGTACTTCTCTTCAGCCTCACGTCTCTGGCGGTCCTCGTCCGTCTCCTGATCCCGCGGAACGAGGGGAGGCGGCTTCTGGTCGACGATCCACTTGCCGTCGTAGCGGAGGATGGAGAGGCCGCGCGAGTGTCCGCAGAGCGGGTCGAGCTGCGGCGTCAGGAGATTTTGAGTACATGGACCGTGACTGACGAGAGCCAGCAGACGAAGAAGGGAGAGAACGCACAGTGTCGAAGAGTTTCGGCCAGCGTCCGAGGATCCTCCCGGCGTTCGGCATGATCCCAATCGTGCTATTCGTACGGCTCGTCAGCAACAAGTACTCGCTCAAGAGCGACTCGTGGACGCACTCGCCGAGACGAGCGAACTTGGGTACGCTGTCGTAGACGGTAACCGGCGAGTGGCCGTTCAGCTTGAGCTCCACGGCGCATGCGAGTCCGGCGATTCCTGCGGGCGTCTTTGTGAGCTTAATCTCGACGTCGGTGAGGGAAGAAACGTACCTGCGCCCACTACGATCGCAGAGATGCCCGTCTCTCGCTGGGCGGCGACTGCGTCCATCCCCGTCTCGTATCCGGCATAGGGACCGTGCTGGACCATCTCGCTAGGCTCTTTGAGTGTGTACAAAGCAGAGAAGAAGCCTGTAAAGCTTGTGGAAGCGGAAGCGAGTCGCCCGGATCCAGGAAACCGTTCACCAGCCGACGAAGTGGGGCGTCTGGTGGGGAGGAAGCGACGCGCTCTGGAGGCCCTGGTGCACGCGCAGGCTAAGATAAGCGCTGTGGCGGCATTGAGAAGCGTCGAAAGAAGGAGAGAAGCCGGCAGCGCAGCGAGAGAGGTAAGGTTGAGAAGGTCAAGCCAGGTGCGTACACTCGCTGCTCAAGGCTGCTACAACTCGACAGGGCTCGATACGCTCGCATGACCGTGCGCAAGGAGTAGGACACGAACGAGAATTGACCAAATGCAAGGGAAACGACGAACGGGAAGCGAGGGATCCTACAAAATGAGACCTAGGGAACAACAGTAGTGCAACTGAATCTAGTGGCCGTTCGCGTGCTCTTCCGAACCCTCCATCGCCGACTCGCCAGCGACCGTTCGACGGGGCAGGCCCTGGTTTCCGCGAGTCGCATTTCCTGCCGAGAGCGCGGGCAAGCCGTGCTTGGCCAAGTGCTCGTTGACCTCCGACAGGCGCTCGATAAACTCGGCCTCGAGAGGGTCCCCTGTGGACGCGAAGGGGTCAGGAAGGCGTGAGGAGCAAGGAGAGGAGCGGGACGTACACATCTTCGGCTCGTGGTAGTGGATCGTGCCGGCGCGCTCGGTCGCGTAGTCGGTCAAGAGGAGCATGCGGCTCGTCTCGAACATGACGGCTGAGAAGCGGGGCGCGCATCGTCAGCACGGGAGGAAGGGAAATCTCGACGACGAGGAGACGCACCGTAGGTTCCGTCGCTGATCCACTGCGCGCCTTCCTGCGACATTTCCGTAGCGGCCTTCCAGGTCTCGTAGTCAACACCGTGGGGGCTGTGTGCGAGGCTAGCATCAGTTTTGGCACTAGGGATGAAGGAGGGGGAGAAAGCGACTGACGTGAAGCCGCACTCGTACGACATGCCGCCGGGCTGGAAGTCGTCCGAGCGTCCTCCGTAGCCGCCCTTGATGAGCGCCATGACCTCACTAGCCGAGTTGCGGTGCATGTAAGGCGGGCGGAACTGTGCGAACAAGGCGTGTCAGCGACGGAAGGAGGGGACGGGCAGGTGGGGGTGACTCACAGTGTGCGAGGCCACGTCCCAGCGGGGGTGGAAGAGGAGGAAGTCGGCGAGAGGGGTTCCGGGCGTGTCCGAGTCGGCGGTGAGGACGCAGACTACCAAGTCATCTCTCGTCAGTCAATGTGCAGGATCGGGATGAACGACTCAACGCACAGATGGAGGGGTCGATGTGGTCGAAGGTGATGGAGCCGACGCCGCAGAAGCGCGAGAGGTCGTCTGCGCAGCGAAGCAGGTCAGCATCGTCCTCGCACGGAATGGGCGACGACAACTCACACTTGTACGGGACGTAGTTGCCGTGCCACGCTGCAGATTGAGAGGGGTCAGCGTTGTGGAGAGCAATGGTGCAAAGAGACAGGACGCACCGACAACGTCGAACGGCGAATGCTCCTGCGAGCAAGCCCAGAGGGTGCCCATCAACTTGTAGGTGATCTGCGCGCCAAATCGTCAATCGTTTTCTTAGTGTGCGAGTCATAAGCGAGCCTTACGAGCCAGCCGGACTGGTCGATCTCGAACGAGGCAACGGGGTGCTCGAAGTCGCGGGGGTTGGCGAGACCGTTGGCGCCGAGCGGGCCGAGCTCGGGGAGCTTGTAGTGGGTGCCGAATATCTGTGCGGACAAGGATCGATCAGTGAGAGAGCGAGGGCAAAGAGGACAGCGGGCGCACCTCCTGGATGTAGCCGCGCGAAGGGCCGTCCGGGAGCTTGACCTTGAAGCGGAGACCGCGCTGAATGACGCAGATCTCGCCGGGAGAGACCATGAGGTGGCCGAGCTCGGTCTGGATGTCGAGGCGACCCTGCTGGGGGACAATGAGCCTGAGGAGTCGAAGAAAGAGGGTCAGCTCGGCTCGAGACAAGGCAGCTCGTCGAACGCACATATCACCGTCGTTGTTGATAAACGCCTCCTTGTCCATCGACGCGTTGGCGAGGTACATGTGGATAGCGAGTCCGGAAGCGGATTCCGGCGAGCCCTGGCCGGCGACGGTCTTCATGCCCTGGACAAAGTTGACCTTCTCGCTGTCCTTGGGGAGAGGGAAAGGACGCCATGCGATCTGGGTAGGCGAGACGGAGCAGCGCGGGTTGGAGGTCGAGAACTCGGAGCAGAGCTGCGGGACGAGGCGAAGGTCAGCGGGCGTATCGCGGAGGAAGCGGAACGCAAGCGGCTCACGTCCTTGTTGTCGGGGATGCGAACAAAGCCCTGGTGGGCGACCGAAGGGCGCATGCGGTAGAGCCAGAGCTTCTGGTTCGAGTGACGGGGAGCTACGAAGGACTGGGCGCAACGAACGTAATCGTCAGCCGCGCGTTCGTTTCCCGTCCACGGTCTAGACTGGACTCACAGTCGCCGTGACCTGCTCAGCATAGAGGCCGAACTTGTCTGCGTACCGCGGAACAAGCGAAAACGTCAGCCGGGCGCAACGAAGCGGAAGAGCCAACTCTCGCGACGCACTCTTCTGGGGCGAATTTTGGCCGACAGGGAGGGTCTCCGGGACAGCCTCGCTGGCAAAGGCGTTTCCGAAGCCGACCTGGTAGGTGTACGGGTCGGCGGCGCGGCCGGCCTTGAGAGGGTGGATGGCGTAGGCGCCCTGGGCGGTAGCGGTGGTCGACATCGCTGTTGAGAGGGTCTCGTGTAGACTTGTTTGAGGGTGTCGGTTGAGCGACAGGAGTGCAGGAGGACGAGGGAGAGGGCGCCGGGAAGATGCAGGCGGGGTGCGGAGGAAAGCAGTGGAGTGCGCGCCGGATCTGTTGTCCCGAAGGGTGATGCGCTCCGGATACAGGGGGCCGACGACGCGAGAGAAGGGCACGGCTGATGCGGCTCGTCGACAGCTTGTTTCGCTGCTGAGCTGTCTGTGTACATGACGGATGGCGAAGAAGAAAGTCAGCCGGCGCCCGCGGACCTCTCCCGCTAGCGCCAACCCGCTCCTCCCCTCATCACTTGCCGCCAAGCCCCACCGCCCCCCATCGCTTCATGCTGGAAAGGACCTCACTCACCAGCAGTCTCACCACCGCGCACCAACACTCGCAGCCCGCAGCGCCTCTACCGTCTTCTCACCCGCTGGCGAGACGAGCGCGCGGTGCAGTGCCGGAAAGGTCTTGAGGTCGGCGATGACGGGCTTGGGGACGGCGAACGGCGGCGTGACAGGGTCGACGAGGACCTGTTGTCTGCGTGGTGAGTCCGGAGAAGGAGCGTAGGGCGAATGGAAGGCGAGACGCACGACGACTCCGTAAGGCATCAACTCGGCGGTCGTGATGGGCGGGATGTGCGACGTCTTGGTCATTGTGAAGTGCAGGGAGCGTAGCAAAAAGTCGTTGAGCTGGGTGCGAAGACCTGCGGACCGCGAGGGGGATCAGCGGCGTAAAAGAAGCACGAGAGGGTACGGTTGCTCACGCTCTTCCGTCGCCGTAGACCTTCTAGACCTCGTTCCGCCCATTCCAACGGCGTCGCTGAGAACCTCAAACTCGACGCACCATCCCTCCCACGCGGTCCGACCCTGCGCCTTCAAAGCCTCGACCATGCGAACCTCCTCCTCCTGCGCTTCATCTTTCGCTCCTTCCGCTTCGCCCGCTGCTTCTCCGCCACCCAGCGCGGCCCTTGCAGACGCAGAGAACCATCCGAGGGCAGACGTGACGGCCGCTGGAGCCGCCTGCGCGATTGACGAGGCGTGTCTTCGAGCTGCAGAAGCCGAGGCAGGGCGCGTAGGACTGCGAGAGGAGGAGGGGGCGTCTGCTGTACTTGGTGATGCAGAGCGGGAAGTAGCAGAGGGAGTTGAGGGGCGCTGGCGAGGTCGTTGAGAGGGAGGAAGGGCGGGAAGCGGAGTCGGGTAGAGCGTGACGAAGAGCTGCCGGGACGAGGGGGTTAGCTGCGGCTTGTGCTGTGTCAATAATCCTGCGGCGCACCTTTGCGGTCCTCCCTTCGCCCGACAGTGCCTTGACAAGCAAGTCAACCTTCCTTTCGACCAGTTCCTCCAACTCGCGCTCCGCTGGTGCGGGCTGTTCCCGGAGAGCCAGTGCAGCGTCAGCAAGTATGGCTGGATGAACAGGCACGAAGCGACGCACGAAAGTCACGCCACAGACCTCGAGAGTTGACGGTTTCGAGAGGGTCCCGAGCACTCGATGAAAGAGGATGGTGAAGAGGACGGCTGCCGAGGCGGATTCAGCCGGGGTTTGAAAGATCTAGAGATGCTTTATACGCACCCCGCGCGACCTCGCGGACGTAGGAACGTTCGACAGCCTGTCGAGCGATGAGGATGTGGGGAAGGAGAACGGGTCAGTCGTAGGGGCGGCGAGCGCGACTAGCAGCTTGAGAGCGCACGATAGACGCCTGGAAGACCTCCAGCTTGGCGGCAGGAGCAGCGGAAGCCATTGTGGTGTGAGGAGAAGGAGGAAGAGCGTGAACGTGTGGGCTCGCCAACGTAGGAACAACTGGAAAGGCGTATGCGATGTTGCAGAGAGCGAGCGTATAGAGTAAACAACAAGCAAGGCAATGCGAGCGGAACGGAACAAGCGGTGGGTATCTGGATCAAGGGGAGCCAAGTCTCCCTCCTCCTCGTTCACTTGCGACCGCGCTTCTTCGAGTTGCCGGAAGACGAGGACGAGGTCTTGGGCTTGGTGATACCGCGCGCCGAGTGGGGGTAGATGTCGGCGAGCCACTGCTGCCAGTTGGCGAGTTGTGCGGGCGTCCCGTCGAACTTGAAGTTGATGCGCTTCAGCTCGTCAAAGCCTGTGACGAGGCCCGTCATATGAAGGCAGAGCGTCAGCGACTGCGACAGTTCAGCCAAGACGAGGACGCCCGCACGCACCTTCAGCGAGCGTCGGCATCTCAAACCTGCTCCTGAACGAGCTGAACGCAATCTCCGGCAACACCTCCCTCTTCTTCCCGTTCCCCTTGTCAGCCGCATCATACAACGCTCTGTACACGCTGTTATGCATCGCAAGCTCGACGCCAGCCGTGAAGTGGAAGCAGCGAATCTTGACGTCGGGAAATTCGGAGCGGATGAGCGAGATGTACTCGGCGCGGGTAGACGAGGCGGGAGAGGTGTTGTCGACGACGCAGTTCTTGGGCGGAGTCGAAGAGAGGCATTTGCGGACGAGGCGGACGCAGGCATCGCGCGTCTTGAGCGTGTCCTGGTTCTGTAGAACGACGCGTCAATGTCAAGCGGGGACAAGACCGTCAGCACAGATCATGGCGCGCATTACAACGACACGAACGTACGACATGGATGTAACCCTTCGGCTCGAAATGCTTCTTGAAGAAGCTGGTCTTGCCCGAGCCAGGGTATCCAACGAAGACGATGACTTCAGGCGGCTGCTCCTGGTCGAATTCGGACAGGCGGCGGGGGAGGAGCGGCGAAGAGGCGGGCGAGTAGAGCGGGGCTGCGGAGCGAGAGACGGGTCAGGCGGGGTAACAGGGAGAATGAGGTTGAGACGCACCGTTGTGGTCGTAGGTCGAGGGGTCCCAGCCGGTGAGCGACCAGTTCTGGCTCACCGGCGCGCCGAGAAAAAACTCCTCGGGCGTGAAAAAGCGCAGGCCGCAGTTGATGGCGAGCTCTGCGGAACGAAGAAGCGGTCAGATGGCGCGAAGGAGGACAAGGGTGGACGAGACTCACTCCGGTCCGAGTCGTTATGGTCGCCGGGCCTGCCAGCCGCGTCGCCAACGAAGAACGAGTCGGTATAGTCTGTGCAAGCGAGGAGAGGTCAAACTCGCTGTCCGGCAAGCGAAAACGGAACGCGCGCTCACCGATCGCGATGCCCTCGTTGAATTGCTCGACATACGCTTTCCACATGCCCGGCGCCGGCTTCCTGTATTCGTCGCGACCCCAGGCTGCGAAAGTGTGCAGCGGGACGTCCAGCGCGCTGCAGATGAGCGGGAGCTTGGCTTTGAAGACGATCTTGCTCGACTCGTTCAGCGCTTGGTTCGTGAGGATGACGATGGCGTATCTGCGGCGAGGAATGAGTGAGCTGGGCAGGTGAAGGAGAGAGGAGGAACAAGACGAGGACGCACCCTTGCTGGTGAAGCTCGCGGATCCTGCGCGAGACTTGTGTCGCCCAAAAGCCCCAGTCATTCTGATCCTTCGCAACGACACGTCCGCTCGGAGTCTTGATCACCACGCCGTCCAAGTCTGCTCGAAGATGTGGTCGAAGAGGTCAACCGGCAGAACAGCTCCGTCATGCCGCGACGAACGCACCGAAGGCTGCCACCTTTGCACTGCCCTTTGGCTGGCCCCACACGTAGTGCCCGCAACCCATCTTGCCCTTATCGCTTCCTCCGAGGTTCTTGCACCACTTGCCCTTGCTCGGCGCGGACGGAGCGAAGATAGATGCGAGTCTGGGCGCTGGAGAGGTAGCAGTAGCGGTTACGGTCGTGCTGGCGGTGCTCGTGCGCGCGCTCGTCGTCGTCCTCGAGCTGTGTCGCGTCGTCGAGGTTGTGAGCGATGAGGAGGCGACGGTGAGGTCGAGGTCGACCTTGAGGCGTTTTGCCGCGTCTGTACATCCTCAAAGAGTGTCAGTAGAGCCTACTAACACGTTCACGCGCACTCACGCTGAGCCATGGCGAGCATTCGTGAGCGAACCCGCCAAATTGACCTCTTCGCCATTGACATTCACTTCGACTCGCTCAAATCCGCTGTGTTGTGCTTGCTACGATGCCCAAAGTGACTGTCATTAAGCTCGACGACGCGCCCGACTCGCTCGAACCGCCGACATTGGCTGCCACCTCCCCCTCGTCCGGCAAGCATCCTCGCGTTAAACAAGTCCCCCTCGACGCGCTGCTGCCGTACAACAAGGTGGAGCGTGATGAGCGCAGTGCTAGGGTCAAGGCAGAGAAGCAGGGGGCCTCAAAGCGGGATGAGGATGCGGATGCGGCGACGTTCGTGATTGGGAGGGTTCCTCCGCCGTTCCCGCTCTCGGCGGCAGACAGGCTGGCTTTCGTTCGTCCTGCGGCACGAGAAGGGGAGCGCAAGGCGGCGGAGAAAGTGACGGCGTTCCAATGGAAGGTGCGCCGCTCGTCTGTAGCGGTTTCCGGGCTCGTTTGGCTGACGCTTCTCCCGACATGTTTGTCCTTCCGAAACCTCTTGCTGCGCACAGCTCTACGATCTCCTCTTGACCATCCCGGAAGGCCGCGTCTCGACCTACGGCCAACTCGCGTCGCTCCTCGCCTCCTCCCCTCGCGCAGGTCCGCAATCTTCCCCTTTTCTTCTCCCTTCCTCGCTGATCCCCTATCCTGCAGTCGGCTCCGCCCTCCGCTCGAACCCCTTCGCACCCTACGTCCCCTGCCACCGCATAATCGCCTCGACGCTCTTCATCGGCGGGTTCTGCGGCGAATGGACGGGCAAGAACAAGAGTGCGGGCGCGAAGCAGGCGGGAGAGGGCAAGAAGACGGGCGAGAAGATTGAGTTGCTAAGGAGGGAGGGGGTCGAGTTTGATTCGAAGGGGTACCTGAAGGACAAGTCGAAGCTTTGGGATGGGAAGAAGGCGTGAGTGCGCGGTCTCGCTCTTTCTCTGACTCAGTACTTGCGTTCGAGCTGTTGTTCCGTGCTATTAATCTTGTCGTTGTGAACTAAGATAAGATAGCACCGAGAGTACAGCACAAACAGCGTACAGACCAAGACTTCCTCCCCTCAAATCGCCTTGCCCGACTTTGGGCAGATCCACTCGCACCCGCTGGGCAGCTTCTCGTCCCCAGTCCGCCTCCACTCCATCGCGAGCCCCTTGCCCTCCTGCACGCCCTTGACCCTGCGGTCGACCTCGTCCCTCCAAGCCTGCGCAGCCTCCAACAACAAGCGTCCCTCGCCCAGCAAGTTGGCGCGATCGCTCGACGACGCCCTCCATCCCTCGCGTTCAACCATGTCCATCTGCGACTTCTGCACCCTGAGCCCGATGTCGCTCTCGACGATGTCAAGGAGGTGGGCAATGTTCTCCGCGCGGGTGACGAGGTATGCGTTACCCGTCAAGCCGAATGCGCCGCCGCGGACAATCTTCGAGTCGGCGAGCTGGGCAAGGCGGGCCATCACTTCGGGCACAGAGGCGTTGCGAGGGTTGAAGTCGTCGGTCGAGGACGAGGCGGTGGCAGACTCGGACGTCGAGGTGTGCTTCGACAAGCGCGAGGCGGTGCGTTCGGGCAATTCAAACGTGAAAGAATGCGTGTTGGCCTTGTCCGACGGCGCGCTGCTTGCGGCCTTGCCGGACTTGACCTTGCGGTACTTTTTCGCCTTGAGGAGGTCGTCGACGTTGAACCACATGCCGGCTGCGCGCGAAAAATGCTGGGCGCAGCGAGGATTGTACGGATCGTCGTCGGTGGAGTGCGGGACGAATTGCTGCGGGACGACGAGTCAGGCGGGAGAAGGTGTTCTGCGAAAGAACCGGACGCACCATTGGCCAGACCTTCTTCTCCCGCCGCTTGCTCTTCCGCTTGCCCTTCTTCTTCGCGCTCGCCGAGACACTGCCCGCCTCGCTCTCTATGTCCTCCTCATCGCTGTTGTGTTCAAAGTGCGGCTCGAACGCGAACGCCGTCCGAACGTACGGGACCTGCGGTACGCCGTCCCTCCCGCCGTGGAGTCTCAGCGGTCGCTCCTCGTCTTCGAAGGGCGAGATGGCCGAGACGCCGAAAAAGTAGGGCGGGACCTGCGTCTGGGAGTGGAAGGCGTGTCTTGAGGTGGAGGTCGGGGTCGAGAGGGCGGGGACAGCGTAGCCTGAGGGCGTCAAGTTGATGAGGGTGTCGGTGCGGTATGGGCAAAGAGGATGAGGGGAGGTGTCGCCGTTAGGCGGTTCGGCTGGGTACGAGTCGTCGAAAAGGTAGACGCTGCGTGAGCGAAAGTGTTGGTTCGCGCGCACGAACCGGCGCGATTGAGTCGAAGGCGTACAGTTCCGAGTCTACGCGAAGGGCATGACACGTCAGTACGGCTCAAGCGCGGAAAGAGGGTCGGGACGCACTTCAAGACTTCAGCCAAGTGTGGTGGTACCAGTCCTTGTGGCTCGTCTTGACGCGCTCGCTCGGGCCCATGATCGCACTTGGTACTTGCCAGGCGTCCGCGCTGAACGGTAAAGAGGCGTCAGCGCAGAACAGCCGCAATCGCGAGCAGCACGAGCTGGCTCACTTGGGCAGGTTCAACCCGAGAAGGTCTTCTCTCGAGTAGAGCCACGAGATCTGCAGCGACACGCCGGTAGCCTGCGGACGCCCGCCGGTCAGCGAGAGGTCGCTTGTGAGGGCTCTGTTGGTGCGCCTCCGTCAGCTGGCGTAAAGACGACGAAGGAGCGTAGCTGGACTGACCGAATCTGTTCGACAGCGCCCAGCCAGCGCCCGCTCGTCCGCTGCAGCTCGATGATCTCGCCAATCCTGATGGACGCGTTATAACCCACTGCGCGCGAGATTGACGGTTAGCTTGAGGCGAGAGTACGGAATCGAAGAGCGAACGCACAGCTGAGCTTCTTGTAGTCGCGACTCAAGTGCGGGTTCTGCAAGTCCTTGATGTCCTTCGCCCTTAAGTCGACCGGTTCCTCCGGTTCCGCGTCCGACTCCTCGCTTCTGGGAGGCGTTACGAGCAGCGCCTGCTGCGGGTCACTTCCGCCAGCGACCCGCTCACTGCGCCGGCCCTTGGTAGCGAGATTCCCTCCCTTGCCCTTTCCCTTTCCAGAACCGCCGGCCGCGTCTGCCCGCTCCTCCTCGCTCGCCAGTCCGTCCTCCGCCTTCTTGCGCTTCGCAGGTCTCGGCGAATCGTCGCTGGCGAATTCGGGAGTAACCGACTTGCGCGGGCGTTTCTTGCGCAAGGACGACAGTCGCGCGCCGGAAGGGGTGTTTGGCGAGGTCAAGCGGATCAGTAGCGAGCGTCGGTTCGGCAGCTTGCGCTCCTCCTCCGAGTCGTCTTTGCAGTCGCTGTCGTCTGAAGCGGAGGGGAGCTCGCCGATATCCAAGATTCCGTCCTCCTCAACCTGCATCTCCTCGCCATTCTGTTCAAGCGCAGCCTGCTTTTTCATCTTCCGCTCCGCCTTCCTTTTCTTCCGTCTTTCCTTCTTCAAACGCCCCTCCGTGTCGTCCCCCGATCCAGCTCCAGGCAAAGCGAGGGTGTCTGCGGGGTTGACCGTTCCCTCCAGTTCAAGCGAGTTCCTTGCCGCCCCGCCGTCACTGCCGCTGCCTCCAGCAGTCCTATTCGCGCGCCCAGACCCGCTCGCACCAGCCATCTGCGCAGTCGTCGTCGAAGTCGCCCCGAGGTTGATTGAAGCGGGAGAGTCGGCGTCGGGCTGGCGTGCGGGCGAGGACGAGCCGAATGCGCCTCCTAACAGGCGTCCTGCAACCCTGCCGAACATGCAAGCGCAGCCGAACGCGCGACTGGAGCGACAAGGATGAGCGAGGTCAGCGATGCGAGGGTTGGTCTCTCCACCTTGACAACCTCGCGCTTGTACGCGCTAGATTGGCCGTTGACCGTGCCCAGGCGACCCTCTCAAAGCTTCAGCGCCCGTTCGACCAACCCGCAACTCTCCTGATCCTCTCCCCATCCCTTCGCCCATTCTCATCATGTCAACGTCGGGCACGGCGCTCGAGGCCAAGCTGCAGGCCGCGAGCTCAGCGTACTCGAAGCTGGAGACTGGTACGTCTGATGAGTGGCTCACTGGAGGAATGCGGGGGACTTGAGGACGAGTAATTGACCCGCTCGTTCCCTTGCCCTTTTCGACCGGTGCTCACCCTCGCCCGACATCCATTCGCGCAACCTGTAGACTACGCAAAAGCTGTCGAGGCGCGGCAACGGCTCGACGCCCAGAAGACGGAGAACGAGAGCGTCAAGAAGGTGCGCTCTCGCTCTCTTCTTTTCTTCCTTCCTGCTCTACCCATTCAGCAGTCGCGCTGATGTGAGAGAAGTCTGCGTGCACAGGAACTCGCGGCCCTGACGCTCAAGAACAACGTCTTCAAGCTTGTCGGGCCGATACTGATGAAGCAGGAGCCGGACGAGGCGAAGCAGAATGTGGACAAGCGATTGGAATGGATCGGTGGCGAGATGTGAGTTGCTGCCTCTCCCTCCGACGCAATGTCACGTTGCAGAGAAGCTTTCGCGTCCTCACACCGTTCAACGCGTTGGGGAATGGTAGCTTGCTGACATCGCCAACTGCCCGCACAGCAAACGCGTCGAGACGAACCTGAAAGACCTCGAGACCAAGCTAGAAACTCGAAAGGTCGAGGTACGTCCAGTCTCATGCGGTTGTTCCGACCTTTGCCCCTCCTCGAAGGCTGCAGACTCGGATCGTCGAGTTTAGCGCAAAGACTGACACGCTCGACGTTACACAGATCGTCAACCTCCAAGGCCAATACCAACAACAACTACAAGCCTCAGGCGCCGCGCCCTCGGCCGGTCCCGCAGCAATCGCAGCCTGACCTCACCGCCTCGCCCTTCGAACTCCTCCTTCGTTTCGCATCTTGTTGTACATCACGCAACCTCCTTTTCTCCCATTCTCTCAGCGTCTCGCGCGAGAGAAAGAGCGTGGAAGCGAGAGCGCAGCGGCAGTTTTACACGTCAAAGCAGCGGAGCAAAAGAAAAAGCTAGGTCTAAACCATCCCTCCCTTCATCCCTACCTTTCTCACAAAGGTTCCTCTCCTCGCTCATCGGTTGATCTACGCATCCCCATGCGCCGAATCCGGCGGCGTCGCCAACCCGCTCATCTTCCTCGCGAGTGCATCGACGTCCCCCAAATCCGTCGCGACCGAGTGGGACTTGTCTGCGGTGGCGGTGGGCGAGTCGTCGTTGAGCCAGGAGGAGGTGATGTAGTTACGGATCCTGCTCATCGCCCTACGTCAGCCCCGACCCCGACGGGAGGAAGAGAGGGAAGAAGAGAAGCCAACTCACGAATCCGGCAAAACAACAACCACGTTTTTCCCCTCCTTCCCACCCGCAACCCTCCACCCTTCCTCGCTCTTCAACCACCTCAACGCCGCATGCACCGAAGCGCCCGACGAGCCGCCTACCAACAAGCCTTCCGTTCGGATGAGGCGCTTGCAGGTGGCGAAGGAGTCGGTGTCAGTTGATTTGAGCCAGTGGGTTACGTTGGGGTGGGAGAGGACGGCGGGGACCTGCGCGAAGGGAGACCAGTTAGCTGGGGAGGCGGGGAGAGGGAAGAGAGGAGAGCGCACAAAGTCGTAGCCGGTTCCTTCGACCTGTGGGCGACAAACGGCGCCTGCAGCGTCAGCACGCCGCACTACCGGCAGAGCCGCGCACATCAGTCGCCCTGCCACGCACCTTATAAATCGCGCTCTCCCCCTCCTTGAGAACATTCAGACTCTCCGGTCTCGCCAGCACACTGCCCACCGGATCCACTCCCAAACTGACCAACTCCGGATTCGCCTCCCTCAAGCGCCTCGAGAGACCAGTGAGGGTCCCGCCTGTCCCGGCGCCGGCGACGAGGACGTCTACTGTGCCGCTGGAGGGGCGCGAGGGGGTCGAGGGGACGAGAGAGAGGGAGGTGAGGATCTCGAGGGCGGTGGTGTGGTAGTGGGCGTCCGGGTCTGCGGGCGGACGAGAGCGTAGTCGACGAGTTGGGGAAGCAGGCGAGGTTAGGAAGGTTGGCAAGCGTAAACATCGCATCAGCGCCCGCTTCTCGAGGCTGCTCGCACGCGAGAGTTGTCGAACGCACTGGCAGGGTTATTGTACTGGTCGAGCATGACCGCGTTCGGCGTCTCCTCGACAATTCTCTTCGCGAGGCTGATGTGCGATTCAGGCGAGTCCCACGCCGCTTCTGTCGGTGTCCGGTAGATCTCGGCCCCTACTCGCGCTCCTGATCAGCTTTCAGGCTTACCTGACCGAGAGGGAAGGGGAACGCACCGAGCGCTTTGAGCGTGTTAGACTTCTCCTTGCTCATCTTCTCCGGCTGCGCGACCCTCACAGCGTCAGCCTCGACCTCCCCCGAGCTCAGAAACTCGAACTCGCCATCGTAATGATGCACCTGTAGCCCTTGACAGCCGCAACAAGCGCCAGTCCAATCCCCGTATTCCCACTCGCTTCGCACGGCGTCCCGCACCAGGTCAGCTCGCGGTCCTTCGAGGAAAGTGAGAGGGAAACGCACTGGGTTCGACGAGCACCGAGACGCCAGGGATCAAGCGGCCTTGTTTCTCTGCTTCTTCGACCATCCGGAGGGCGATACGGTCCTGCGCGAGAGAGAGGGGAATGGCGCAAGGTGAGCGACCCATTGCGCGAGCGTCCAACCTCCTCCTTCGCTGTCCTGGGTGCACGGACGAGCTGAGAACGACGACTGGATACGCACCTTGACGCTCCCGCCTGCGCTGAATCCCTCGACCTTTGCCAACAAGTTACACCTGAGGCCTTCCTCGCGCGCGATACGGTCGAGTCTGACGAGCGGCGTGTGTCCGATAAGGCTGAGTGCCGAGTCGTGAATGGGGACTGTCTGCATCGTTCAGGACGTTTCTAGGGCGTGTGAGAGCGCGAGGTTGGTCGGGACGAGATGAGGAGATGTGGGGTGCGTGCGGCGATGGACGAGCTGGCGTGTTCGATGGCGTGCAGCACTGTGCGAACTTGTGTCTCTACCGTAACCCTAGCAAGCTTATGAACGCGGTCAACAAGAGCAGCAAAGGAGAAAGAGCGACGCCGCAAGCTCGTTCCCGAGAAGGTCAAGCGAAGCGGCACGCCGTCGACGAGTAGCAACGATCCATGGAAAATGTTGGACGACAGCCATTACAACTTGGAACGATACCACACACGAGTATATAGAGCGGGAGAGGCTGGCTGGGGAACGCGAGAGGAGAGCATCTCCGGAGAAAGAACCGCCAAACAACATGAGGTGCCGAGGGACGTCTTGAGGAGAGAGCGATGGACAGGCGTGATGCGGGTGCGGGTGCGAGAGGAGTCGGATGGAAGAGGGGAAAGACCCGGCGAGGCGAGTCGTTTTGAGGGAGGAGGCGAGCGGATGGGTTTAGGCGGCGACGGCCTCGACCTGGACGGGCTGCTGGGGCTGCTTGTTGGTGTACTTGGCGGGCGCAAACGAGCGGACCTTGATCGACCCAGCAAGAGGCAGGCGCGTGTCGCCCGTGAGGAACCTGTCGACCTCGGCCGCCGCCGACCGTCCCTCGTTGATACCCCAAACGACAAGCGACTGACCGCGCCTGCAGTCTCCGGCCGCAAAGACGCCCTCGACGCTCGTCGCGTACTTGCCCGCGGGAGTCTTGACGTTCGACCTGCCGTCCTGCGCGATCCCAAGGGCCTTGATCGCCGCCTCTTCGGGTCCGAGGAACCCGAGCGCGAGGAAGATGAGGTCGGCGGGGAAGAACTGCTCCGACCCGGGGATCTCGCTCATCTGCCACTGGCCAAGCGCGTTCTTCGTCCACTCGACCCGGACCGTGTTGACACCCTTGATCTTGCCGTTCCCGTCCGAGATGAACTCCTTCGTCGAGATCGAGTACTCGCGAGGGTCCTTGCCAAAGTGGGCGGCGACCTCGGTGTGCCCGTAGTCGACGCGGAACACCTTGGGCCCTGGGGGAGCGGCAGAGGGTTAGCGGGGAATCGAGCCGTGCTTTCAGGCGGCGGAACTCACACTGTGGCCAGGGGTTGTCTCCCGCACGCACCGAAGGCGGCTGAGGAAGCAGCTCAAAGTTGGTGACCGACTTGGCGCCGTGACGAAGCGAAGTGCCGCTGCGACGCATCCCAACCCGTCAGCAAACCCTCTCCTCCTGCTCCTCTACGCTCGAGCACGACTCACATGCAGTCATTGCCCGTGTCACCTCCTCCGATAACAAGCACGTCCTTGCCGCGCGCATCGATGTACCGCCCGTCCTCGAGGTTCGAGTCGAGCAGGCTGCGCGTGTTCTGCGTGAGGAACTCCATCGCAAAGTGGATGCCGTCGAGGTCGCGGTTCTGCGGGCGAGCGGACGAGCGTTAGCGGGAGCGTGGAAGAGGTGGAGCGGGGAGAAGGAGCGCACCTTCATCTTGAGGTCGCGAGGCCAGGTCGCGCCAGTAGCCATGATCAACGCATCGCTCTCGGCGCGAATGTTGTTGATGTCGTGCGTGACGCCGACTGCAGGTTGAGAAACGGTTCAGCAAGCGCAGCAGAAAGCGGAGGCGAGCGCAACTGACCGTGCGCCTTGTTGACGAACTGGACCCCCTCGGCAGCCATCAAGTCGATTCGTCGCTGCACAGTGCGCTTGTCGAGCTTCATGTTCGGAATGCCGTACATGAGGAGACCACCGAAGCGATCCTGGCGTTCGTAGACGGTGACGAGGTGGCCGGCCTTATTGAGCTGGTCGGCAGCGGCGAGACCGGCGGGGCCTGAGCCGATGATGGCGACGCGCTTGCCGGTGCGGACGGCGGGAGGAGCAGGAACCATCCACTGTGCGAGCGAGAGGGTGAGCGGAGAGTCAGAAAAGGAGGGGGAGAAACGGAACGCACGCCCATCTCGAAGCCCTTGTCGATGATGGCGCACTCGATCGACTTGATACCGACGGGCTGCTCGTTGATGCCGAGGACGCAGGCGCCCTCGCACGGTGCGGGGCAGACACGACCGGTGAACTCGGGGAAGTTGTTGGTCATGAGGAGGCGGTTCAGCGCGTCTCGCCATTGCCCCTTGAAGACGAGGTCGTTCCACTTGGGGATGATGTTGCCGATAGGGCAGCCCGTGTCGGACTGGCAGAACGGAACGCCGCAGTCCATGCACCGCGCCGTCTGCACCTTACACTCGTCGTCGCTGAGGCGGCTCGAGAGCTCGGCCCAGTCCTTGACACGCTTGCGCGGGTTGCGGTACGGCTCGGTCAGGCGCTTGTACTTCATGAAGCCCTTGACCTTGTCGAGCGTCTCGATGCGCTTCTTGGCGGTCGCCTCGTCGACCATCGAGTCCTCGAGGTCGACGACGGCGGGTTCGGCGGCCTTCGAGCCGTTCTCGATCGGGACGGCGGCCGCCTTGGACGCATCGACGATGGGCGTCGGCTTGGCGGGGGCAAACTTGCGCTTCTTCTCGGCGGCGGCGCGCGCAGCCTCGGCCTCGAGGACCGCCTTGTAGTCGAGCGGCATGACGCGGACGAAGCGCGGGAGGACCTGGTTGAACGAGCGGAGGATCGACGAGGCGAGTTCGGAGCCAGTGTAATGCTTGTGGTCCTCGATCATGCCGCGAAGCTCCGCAATCTCGTGCGGGTCGTTGACCGTGTCGAGCTCAACCATCTCCATGTTGACCTTGGCGCGGAAGTCCTTCTGCGCGTCAAAGACGTAGGCGATGCCGCCCGACATGCCGGCAGCGAAGTTCCGGCCGACTGAGCCGAGGACGACGACGCGGCCGCCGGTCATGTACTCGCAGCCGTGGTCGCCGCATCCCTCGACGACGGCAGTCGCGCCCGAGTTGCGGACGGCGAAACGCTCGGCGGCGATACCGCGGATGTACGCCTGGCCGCTCGTCGCGCCGTAGAGGCAGGTGTTGCCGCAGATGATGTTCTCCTCCGACTTGAACGCCGAGCCGGGCTGAGTGAGGACCTCGGGCGGGTACAGGATCAACCTGCCGCCGGAAAGGCCCTTGCCGAGGTAGTCGTTCGTGTCGCCCTCGAGCTCGATCGTGATGCCGGGCGCGAGGAAGGCGCCGAGGGACTGGCCAGCAGACCCCTTGGCGTAGACGTGGATCGTGTCCTTCGGGAGACCCTCCTCGCCGTAGCGCTTCGAGACGTGGTTCGAGAGCGTCGTGCCGAGCGCGCGGTCGGTGTTGACGACGTTGCACTCGATGCGAGTCGGGAGACCCTTGGTGAGGGAGAGCTCGGCCTCGTCGACGAGCTTGTTGTCGAGGCGGAGGTAGAGCTTGTGCTCCTGCGCGCGGCACTTGTAGGTCGCGACGCCGGGACGCATCTGCCATGCGGGTTTGAGGAGCGCCGACAGATCGAGGTTGGCCGTCTTCGGGTTCCGCAGCGACTCGTCGACCTTGAGCATGTCGGACCGGCCGACCATCTCGTTGATCGTGCGGAAGCCGAGCTTGGCCATGATGCCGCGAAGCTCCTCTGCGACGTAGAAGAAGAAGTTGATGACGTGCTCAGGCGTGCCCGTGAACTTCTTGCGGAGCTCGGGCTCCTGCGTGGCGATGCCGACGGGGCAAGTGTTGAGGTGGCATTCTGTGGGAGGGTGCGGAGGTCAGCAGAGGCGTGTAAGAGGCAAGCAGGCGCAACCCACTTCGCATCATGACGCAGCCCATCGCGATGAGCGGCGTGGTAGCAAAGCCCCATTCCTGCGCAAAGGAGAACAACGAGACTTAGCGGCCGGTCAAGCGGAGGACGCATCTCGCCTCGAAAGAACGCACCTCGGCACCGAGCAAGCAAGCGATGGCGACGTCGCGACCCGTGCGGATCTGCCCGTCCGTCTGAAGCGTGACGCGGCCGCGCAAGTCGTTGAGGACGAGCGTCTGGTGAGTCTCGGCGAGACCGAGCTCCCAAGGCAAGCCTGCGTACTTGATACCGGTCCATCGCGAGGCACCCGTACCGCCGTCGTGACCCGAGACGAGGATGTGGTCGGCGCGAGCCTTGGCGACACCCGAAGCGACGACACCGACGCCGACCTCCGAGACGAGCTTGACCGAGACGCGAGCGCGAGGACTGCGGGCGGCAAGCGAGATCAGCAATGAGATTGAGCGCTATGCGAGAAGCGTGCGACTCACTTCGCGCACTTGAGGTCGTAGATGAGCTGCGAGGCGAAGCAAAGGGAAAAGTCAGCTCGAAGGTCCCGCTCGTCTCGGATTGAGCAAATTCGCACGCACCTCCTTCAAGTCCTCGATCGAGTAGATGTCGTGGTGCGGGGGCGGAGAGATGAGGCCGACGCCGGCGGTCGAGTGACGGGTGCGGGCGATCGACTTGGAGACCTTGTGGCCGGGGAGCTCTCCTCCCTCTCCAGGCTTGGCACCCTGCGCCATCTTGATCTGGAGCTCGTCGGCGTCGGCGAGGTAGTTGGACGTGACGCCGAAGCGACCGGACGCGATCTGCTTGATGGCGGAGCGCATCGTGTCGCCGTTCGGGAGGTAGTCGCTCCGCTCGGCGTCCTCGCCTCCCTCGCCCGTGTTCGACTTGCCGCCGATGCGGTTCATGGCGATGGCGAGCGTCGAGTGCGCCTCCATCGAGATTGAACCGTACGACATGGCGCCCGTGACGAAGCGCTTGACAATCTCGTGCCACGGCTCGACCTGCTCGATCGGGATCGCCTGGCCCTTGGAGAACTCAAAGTCGAGCAGACCGCGGAGGGTGACGGCGCGAACCTGTCGGAGGGCGTTGGCGGCGTAGGCGTCGTACGAGGCCTGGTTCTTCTCGCGGACGGCGTCCTGGAGGGAAGCGAGGCCGGCAGGGTCGTTGATGTGCGCCTCGCCGCCGTCGCGCCAGTGGTACTCGCCCGTCTCGGGAAGACCAGGCGGGAGGACCGTCTCGCGCGAGGGGTAGCCTCGCTCGTGCGTCTCGAGCGCGTCGAGAGCCAACATCTCAAAGGTGGCGCCCTGGATGCGCGACGCCGTACCGGTAAAGCATCGCTCGACGACCTCCTCGGCGAGACCGAGGGCTTCGAAGACCTGCGCGCCCTTGTAGCTCGAGAGGACCGAGATGCCCATCTTGGACATGACCTTGAGGATGCCGTTGTCGACGGCGTGCTTGTAGTTGTCGACGACCTGCTGCTCGGTCAAGTCGCCCTTGAGGAGGCCCTCACGGCGGAGCTTGAGCATCGCCTCGAGGCAGAGGTACGGGTTGACGGCGTCTGCGCCGTATCCGACGAGGACGCAGACGTGGTGGACCTCGCGCGCCTCGGCCGACTCGACGACGAGTGCGACCTTGTTGCGCTGCTTATTGCGGACAAGGTGGTGGTGCACGCCGCCGGTCGCGACGGCCGACGAGATGGCGACGCGCGAAGGGCCGACGTTGCGGTCCGAGAGGATGACGACGCGGATGTCGTCGGCGATGGCCTGCGTGACCTCGGCGCAGACGCGGTCGAGGCAGCGGACGTAGCCCTGGACGCCCTCGGCCTTGTCAAAGGTGATGTCGATCGTGCGCGACTGCCAGTCCGAGTAGACAATGCTGAGGCGCTTGAGGGCGTTGGTCTCCTCGATCGTGAGGACGGGCGAAGGGAGGAGGAGGCGACCGCACTGCTTGGCGTTCATCTCGAGGACGTTCGGTCCGGCGCCGACAGTCGACTCGAGCGACATGACGAGTGCCTCGCGGATGGGGTCGATGGGCGGGTTCGTGACCTGCGCAAAGAGCTGTCGGAAGTAGTCGTAGAGGATGCGCGGGGCGGTGGCCATGCACGCGAGCGGGGCGTCGTTGCCCATCGACCCGAGGGCCTCCTTTCCGTCGTTGACGAGCGGGCGGAGGAGCAAGTCGAGCTGCTCGAACGAGTATCCGGCAGCGAGCAGGCGCGGGTCGGTCGAGACGGTCGAGTCGTCCAACTCGACGCTCAACTCGGCGCCCTTGGCCTTCTCCTTGGCCATGATCTCGGGGAGGCGGAGGAGCTCCCTCGCGATCCAGTTGGCGAACGGCTGTCGCTTGGCCGAGTTGTGCTTGAGCTCCTTGTCGTCGACGATGCGTCCCTCGACCGTGTCGACAAGGAGCATCTTGCCCGGCTGGAGGCGACCCTTGCGGGTGACCTTCTCCGGCTCGATGGTGATGGCTCCGACCTCGGACGCGCAGACCATGATGTCCTCGTTCGTGGTGACCCACCTGCACGGGCGGAGACCGTTCCTGTCGAGGTTGGCGCCGCAGTACCTCCCGTCGGAGAAGGTGAAGAGCGCCGGTCCGTCCCAGGGCTCCATGATGCACGCGGCCCACTCGTAGAACGCCCGCTTGTCCGCCTCCATGTCGGGGTTGTTCTGGAACGACTCGGGGACCATGACCATGACGGCCTCGGGGAGGGAGAGGACGCCGTTGACGACGAGCAACTCGAGGACGTTGTCGAACGCGGCCGAGTCGGACCCGCCCGCCTCGACGATCGGGTACAGCAGCTCGAGCTCGTCGCCAAACGTCGAAGACTTCATGTTGCCCTCCTTTGCGCGCATCCACGCCTTGTTCCCGCGCACCGTGTTGATCTCGCCGTTGTGCGCAGCCCAGCGCATCGGCTGCGCGCGGTCCCACGACGGAAAGGTGTTGGTCGAGAAGCGCGAGTGGACGAGGCAGAAGTGCGACGCAAAGAGGACGTGGTTCAGGTCGTGGTAGTAGTTGTAGACCTGCGGCGGCGAGAGCTGTCCCTTGTAGACGATGTTCTTGGGCGAGAGCGAGCAGATGTAGAACCCGCTCTCGAGCTTGAGCGTGTGCGTCGCCTGCTTGCGGAGGACGTACAGCTGGCGCTCAAAATACTTCTCGTCGAACGTCGTGCCCTGCGCCGGCTTCGTCTCGGTGCCGTAGTGGCTCTTGAGGACGACGAAAGGCTGGAGGATGAGCGGCTCGCGCGAGAGGGCGGCCGGACCGAGGATCGTTCCGTCGGTCGGGACGAGTCGCCATCCAAGGACGCGCAAGTCGAGCGAGTCGGCAATGTCGGCGAACTTCTTCTGCTGCTCGCGGAGGGTCTGGTCGTTGTGCCAGTCGGGCGACGAGGGCTTGCGGAAAAAGACGTTGCCGACCGCGTACTCGCCCTGGCCGGGCAACTTGTGGCCAATCTCGCGCTCGCCCTCGCGGACCATGAAGGCGTGAGGGAGGCCGACCATGACGCCTGCGCCGTCGCCGTCGCGCGAGTCGGCACCAGTGGCTCCGCGGTGGGTCATGTTGCCTGCACGGATTCAGGAGCCGGTCAGCGGGCGGTTTCCGGGTCGTCTGGGACAGACAGCGCCTCTCTACATACAGAGGAGGTGCTTGGCATCGCTGACAATCTGTGAGGGCGAGACGAAGGCGGATTAGCCGAGACTGCGACGAAAAGCGAGCCGATCTCGACGGCGGAGCTCACCTTGTGGCTGGGCTTGCCCTTGATGTGGCAGACGAATCCGACGCTGTTGGCGAGTGCATCGAGCGAGGCCGTCAGCGCTGTGGCGGGAGCGAAAAGCGCCCGCACGTGCAAACTCACCCGCACGAGTCCTTCTCCTCCTCGGGGTCGTACAGGCCCTGCTTGGCTGGCAGCGATCCATACGCATCCCTGACGACGTCGACTGCGTGGTCCTCTTCCTCGACGAGCGCGTCGTCGAGGGTGGCGCCGCTGCCGGACGATTCGGGCCCGCTCAGGCGGGCGAGGGCATCGTCGTCGAACGAGACGTGCTTCTTCTGGTGGTTGACGAGGTGGGCGGAGCGCAGGAGGGTCGGGGCCATGTATGATGGCTCTCGGGGTGCGCTCTGGCTGTGTGTGTGAGCGAGGGAGAGACGGGCGGGTGTTTGTGGGTGGGGGTAGGCGAGACGGCGATTCGAGCTGGCGCGGCGTGCGGGAGATGCGTGCGTGTTCCGAGCGTGGTCAGAGCGAGTTCGAGCGAGTCACGCAGCACAGGCGAGCCGAGTCGAGCGCGGTGAGAGGACGACGGCGGAGGGAAGGAGGGACGACGAGGGTCGATAAGGACAAGAGTCAGCTCTCCCGCTTCGCCCTCTCGCTCCGGGGCACTGGCGACGACGCTGCTGCACTCACAGTGACACTGGCTGTCTGCTCAGCTGCTCTGGCGGGCCGCACAACGATGACGAGGCGACGTCGCAACTTTTCCTCAGAGGACGGGGCAACGCAACAGCGGGGCGGGAACCAACGGCGGGCGAGCAGTGCGTATGCGTGTGAACTCTCGGATACTCGCGGGAAAGCACAACAGCGCAAGAACGACGCTCGTGACAGGCAGCGGCGAAGTTCGCCTCCTCCTCTCGTCGCCCCTCTCGCGCATGTCGGGAAAGGAATTCGGGCGAGGCGGACGAGTCGACGCAGCCAATCACCGCGCGAGGAAACACCGGCCAAGTGCAGCGAGTGGAGGCCGGGTGCTGCCGACAACTCCGCCGCTTGCCTCCGGAGAGCGAGCGTACGTGCGCTCACTCGCTCACTCGCTACGATCCTGGCGTGAGCGGGTGTCCGACTCCGAGCAGACCTCGCTCGGGGACGCTGGAGCTCACCCGGCGCTCGCAGCGACGCCACCTCGTTCCGCCTATCGCCGTATCTCACAATCGGGACACTCGCCTCGTGCTCTCGCTTGCGCAGTCTATCGCTCGCTCAAAGTGTCGCTGCGGCGTCCAGGCGGAAGGGGCACTGTGTACGTAGACGGATACATCTAGGAGGAAGAGCTGGGCGAGGGAGGGAGGCCGGAGGGGGACGAGGAATACTTTTCCCTGGCACTTCACCTTTCGCTCAGCCTGTGCTCTGTGGGCTGTTCCTTTGCTCGTCGGCCACGCTGCACCTCGAACAATACTTGCTTGAGGGCAACGCAGTTGCAGCGCTGCTGCACGACGAAGCGAAGGCCTCCTCGACCTCGTGCTCTCGCTTTCCCCCCTTCGCCCCATACACGCTCGTCGTTCGCCGTTCTCCTTCGGCGTTGACTGCTTCCAGCGAACCAGCTCGACAAATACTGGCTGCGAATGAGCCGCGCCCAGCCCTGCGTTGACCGGCAACTCCCCCTCTCCTCTCCTTGACCTTCGCAACCTCTCTTCACTCTCCGCTCTCGCCGTTCCGTCTTTCGTCTTCCGTTGCCTGCTTGCTGCGGAATCCCCGTTGGTGCCGAGCCAACCTGACCCCGGAAAATCCACGGACTGCGTCGCTCAGCTCGCTCAGGAGGTTCGACGCCCACTCGCTCGCTCGTCACTTTGCCTCGCCTGTTCGGCTCGAGGCTTGCTTCTACGTCGTTTGCTTGAGGATGGACGACTCCGCTATTCGTCAAACCTCGAGACGCGAGTTGGATGCGTTCCCTCCCTCTTCCTCGTCCTCACGCTCGACCTACCCTCATCGCCCGCCTACGTCCTCCAGGTCCTCTCACTCTGCCTTCGACTCCGACTCGGATTCGCCTTCCTCCGCACTCCACTCAATCGCCCCCTCCCGCTCTCGCCGCCGCCCCCGTCCCACATCCATCAATACCCACTTCTCGAAAACCCTCTCCCGTTTCCCACCTACCCCTCGTAACCAGGCAAGACGCGACTCGCCTCATGAGCATGGGCAGGAGGCGGGAGTCGATTTCGCGTCCCCACCGGTTTATCGCCATCACGAGGAGTACCCGACTCTCGCGAGTCCTATGAGTCCCGATGAATGGGAGGAGGAGAGTCGGATGCTGGAGGGGTTAGGATCTCCACGCGAAAGGCAGAGGGAGACGGAGGAGCACCCCTCTACGCCTCTGAACGCCTTTGACATCCGCCGCCAGAACGCGCGAAGGGCGCACGAAGAGCCGGGACCGATGAGTCCTGACGAAGTGGCGGAAGAGCGGGCGGTTTTGGGCAGGGTGGAGAAGCGGAGGGGAGGGCCGGAGACTAGGAGGGAGAGGAAGGTGCGGTATCGCCAAGCTCGCCAGCAAGGCGCAGGAGCGGAGCATGAGAGGGGGGAGGAGCCGATGGATGAAGACTGGCGAGCGGCTGTCGAGGGGGAATACTCGCCGTCGCCTGAAGAGGGAGACTCGGTTCCGGAGGAGGAGGAGGAGGAGCGCAAAGGCGGGGAGAGACGCACCCGAGCGCTTCCTCATGCCTCGGCGCAGGCGAAATGGATCAGTGGGGTGATGAACTCCGAGGTGAACAAGCCGCAGCGGTCGCCGCGCATGAAAGGGAAGGGGAAGAGGAGGAGGCGGGTTGAGCCCAAGTCGCGTTACTTGGGCAGAGTGCAGGAGGAGGACGAGGGCCCGGAGGAGCGAGGAGAGGGGCGGGAGGGGAGGCACGTCGAGTCCAGCCCGGAGGAGTCGCCGGCGGAGGACGAGCATCGACCGCTCAATCAGCACCGCGACGACGAAGGACGGCGTGCTCCCTCTCCCGAGCCGGCGCGGAAGCCCTCAAAGCGACGAAAAGAGCGCGGGTGGGACGAGGAGAAGTACGGACCTGCACACCTTTCTCACCGGCCGGACCAGGAGAAGAAGACGAAGGGGTGGAGCTGGACGGCGATTCAGCACGACGGGAGCAAGCAGTGTGTTGTGGCGGGGTGTATCGTGCTGGTGCGTTCCCTTTCACCCGTTCGCAAGTCTCCAAGCTGAGCCCTGGCTCGACAATCTCGCGCAGGCCATCGCGTTGCTGGCGGTGGCAGGCTGGGCGATCTGGTTTTTCGGGACGCAGTACCACAAGCAGGGATCGTAGCACGTCTTGTAAGCGGTCTGGCACCGTTCAACCTGGCACTGCGTCCGTGAGAGGGCTGAGAGGGAACCGCGAGAGTACCGGGTCGTGGAGACGAGCAATCGCGGTGAGAGCTGTTGCGCGCGTGCCAGCGTGGTCCAAGTAGCGTTTGAAGCCTCACACCGGCGTCACTCAGCTTTCAAAGCGAGTTGTAGCGGTTGCCAGGAAAGTCGAGGAGCGCAAGAGGAGCGACGCGTCTTTGGTTGCGCACCTCGACTGCCTTTCGCTGCTGTTTGACTGTCAGAGATGCAGAACCAGGCTATCGTGGTCAACGGTGCGCACCACGCCGTCCCCTCACCGCACGAGCGACACGAGCTGACCTCCTCGCTCGCTCACACCCGCAACCCTCGACAATGGCTCGACGCACACGCCTGGGACCGCTTGCATGGAGGACAGTCGGACCGGAGAGGCAGCAGGGACGCAAGTCGCAGCAGCAGAACATTCAGGCGGCAAAGGTGCGTCCGCTTTTGCTCCTCGTCGTCCGCGAGCGAAGGAGGGCACTGTGCGGCCAACTCAGCTCGTGCAAGGATAAGACCTTGGCAGAGCGGATGCTAATCACTTTATGAACGCTCGTAGACCGTGGCAGATGTCATCCGAACGTGTTTGGGTGAGTTGGCACCTTCTCGTCCTTGTCGAGCGATGAACTCGCTGTCGCGACAGACCGCTCGTAGACGCTCGCGAGAGACTCCGCTGACGTCTATGACGCTCTGCAGGCCCCCGAGCTATGCTCAAGATGATTCTCGACCGTATGTCGCCTGATCCTCCTCGAGGTTTAGGTCGGGGAGGCTGAGATAGGGCGAAGTTCGCTGACAAGCTGATCTTTCGTGCCTGTTCGCAGCCATGGGCGGCATCCTGTGAGCTCCTCCCTGCAGCCCTTCCGCAAACTCCCGAGCTGACTTCTCGCTCTCGCAGCCTCACGAACGACGGCAACGCTATCCTCCGCGAGATTGAGGTTGCGCACCCGGCGGCGAAGAGCATGATCGAGCTGTCGCGGACACAGGACGAGGAGGTCGGAGACGGCACGACGAGCGTCATCATCCTGGGTGCGTTCTCTTGCTTTCCAGGCGAAAGCTTGTGCTGACCTCGCTTTTGGGCAGCCGGTGAGATCCTCGCGCAAGCGATGCCCCACCTCGAGCGCAACATTCACCCCGTCGTCATCATCTCGGCCTTCAAGCGCGCCCTCGAAGAAGCGCTGACCATCATCGAGTCGATCTCGATCCCCGTCGACCCTTCGAACGAAGACGAGATGCTCAAGCTGATCAAGACGTCGATCGGTACCAAGTTCGTCTCGCGGTGGAGTGACATGATGTGCAAGCTCGCGCTCAAGGCAGTCCGTACGGTCGCCAAGGAGGAGAACGGGAACAAGACGGTCGACATCAAGCGCTACGCCAAGGTCGAGAAGGTCCCTGGCGGCGAGATTGAAGACTCGTGCGTCCTCGACGGCGTCATGCTCAACAAGGACGTCACCCACCCCAAGATGAGGCGGCGGATCGAGAACCCTCGTGTTGTTCTGTTGGATTGCCCTCTTGAGTACAAGAAGGGCGAATCCCAGACCAACATTGAGGTGGCGAAGGAGGAAGACTGGAACCGCATCCTCGAGATCGAGGAGGAGCAAGTCAAGCAGATGGCCGAGAAGATTATCGAGTTCAAGCCGGACATCGTCTTTACCGAGAAGGGCATCTCGGGTGGGTGCCGCGCCGCAGCAACTACTGCTCTCTCTCTCCTCGGCACCACGACTCGACGCTGACCCGCACATCGAGCAGACCTCGCCCAGCACTACCTCGTCAAGAACAACATCACCGCCATCCGCCGCGTCCGCAAGTCGGACAACAACCGCATCGCGCGCGCGACCGGCGCCACCATCGTCAACCGTGTCGACGACCTGCGCGAGAGTGACGTCGGCACCAAGTGCGGGCTGTTCCACGTCGAGAAGCTGGGAGACGAGTGCGTTTGGACTTCCTTCCTTCCCTTGCTCTTCCTCTTTCTCTTCCCGTGGGCTGACACCGCCTCCCACAGGTACTTCACCTTCCTGACCAAGTGCCAGGACCCGAAGGCCTGCACGATTCTCCTCCGCGGCCCGTCGAAGGATGTCTTGCACGAGGTCGACCGGAACCTGGCGGATGCGATGGCCGTCGCACGCAACGTCGTCTTCGACCCGCGTCTCGCACCGGGAGGAGGAGCGACTGAGATGGCTATCAGCGTTGGGTTGGCGAAGAAGGCGCGAGCTATCGAGGGCGTTCAGGGCTGGCCGATGCGTGCCGTCAGCGATGCCATGGAAGTTATTCCGCGCACGCTGGTGCAGAATTGTGGCGGTAACGCAATCCGCACTCTGACGACTCTGCGGGTACGCTCACTTTCCGCCTCCTCCTCCTCCTCCCTTTCACCTCCTCTCTCTTTCGCCTCACTCTTCCGCCTCTCGGCTCGTAACGCGAGTCTCCTACATGGAGTCCTCTCGCGCAGAGGAACCACGCAGCTGGTCGAATCGAAGCGCTGACACTTCCCTTCGAACCAGGCGAAGCACGCTGCGGGCGAGTCGTCGTTCGGCGTCGACGGCGAGACGGGCAAGGTCGTCGACATGAAGGAGTACGGACTGTACGAGTCGGCGGCCGTCAAGGTGCAGACGCTGAAGACGGCTATCGAGGTGAGCGGACCTCTCTCTTCGTTCCCCTCCGACCTTTGCGCTGACTGACAACTCGCTCCTCTTCTTCCAGTCTGCATGCTTGCTGCTCCGCGTCGACGAGTGCGTTCTCGTTGCCAGTCGCACCGTCGCGAGACCCTCTACTGACGTCTCCTCTCCCTCAGCATCGTCTCGGCGAAGCGTCCGCAAGGAGAAGGAGGACCCGGTCCCATGCCTCAGCAGGGAGGCGGCGAAGAGTAGTTGTGTGACGTTCTGGGCTCCTCGCAAAACCGCATTTCGCAGTCATCGTCGCCGACGGCAGAGTTGACCTCTGCGACGCCTCGCTGTCCGACCGCGTCTTTCCACTCCTGCTGTGTGCGCGATGCTCGCTCACAAGTTGACATTCAGACGTGTCAGGCTCAGCGCTCTCCGGCCCTCTGCTTCGCTCACCCTTACGCCTGGCTTGAGACGAGGGACGCCGTCCTCATCATCGCCTCGCAGATCGCGACTTGCGCCGGCCAACTCCTCCTTCCGTCGCCCGAGGGCGCCATTCGGGCGTCGCCCGCATATTCTTGTTCTTGTCTTCCGCTCTGCGCGACTTGCCGGCCAGCACTGTACCCTGATGGTGCGTGAGCTACCTCTCTCTTCTCTACGTCTCCTCCCTTGCCTCCTCTCCATCCTTTCTTCTGTTTCCGCCTCCCTCCTCTCAAGGCGAAAGTCGCCTGCTTGAACGCAAGAGCAACGTGGGGACCGTGTGTGGGCGGATGCACGTCAAGAAGCCGAGAGACGAGTGCGTCTCGAACTTCCTTCGCTCCTCCTTTTCTCTTTCTCGCGACTTCGGATTCTCGACAAGCTCAGAGTGATGCTAACACCTCTCCTCGCAGGGACTCCACCTTCCTCACCAAGTGCCAGGACCCGAAGGCCTGCACGATTCTCCTCCGCGGCCCGTCGAAGGATGTCCTGCACGAGGTCGACCGGAACCTGGCGGACGCGATGGCTGTCGCACGCAACGTCGTCTTCGACCCGCGCCTCGCACCGGGAGGAGGAGCGACAGAGATGGCGATCAGCGTTGGGTTGGCGAAGAAGGCGCGGGCCATCGAGGGCGTTCAGGGCTGGCCGATGCGTGCCGTCAGCGATGCCATGGAAGTTATTCCGCGCACGCTGGTGCAGAATTGCGGGGGTAACGCAATCCGCACTCTGACAACTCTGCGAGTACGCTCAATTTCCGCCTCCATTTCCTCCGTCTTCTCCTCCTCCGCCTTCTCCTCCTCCTTCTTTCGCCTCACTCTTCCGCATCTGCTCTAACGCGAATCTCCTACATGGAGTCCTCTCGCGCAGAGGAACCGCGCAGCTGGTCGAAATCAAGCGCTGACACTTCCCCTCGAACCAGGCAAAGCACGCTGCGGGCGAGTCGTCGTTCGGCGTCGACGGCGAGACAGGCAAGGTCGTCGACATGAAGGAGTATGGACTGTACGAGTCGGCGGCCGTCAAGGTGCAGACGCTGAAGACGGCGATCGAGGTGAGCGGAGACCTCTCTTCGTGCGGCTCCGACCTTTGCGCTGACCGAGAACTCGCTCCTCTTTCTTCCAGTCTGCGTGCTTGCTGCTCCGCGTCGATGAGTACGCTCTCGAGTCGCATCGTCGCAAAGCCGTTTACTGACGTTGCTTCCCCCTCAGCATCGTCTCGGCGAAGCGTCCGCAGGGAGAAGGAGGACCCGGTCCCATGCCTCAGCAGGGAGGCGGCGAGGAGTAGTTGTGTGACGTTCTTGGGCTCCTCGCAAAACCGCATTTCGCAGTCACCGTCGCCGAACGGACGAGAGATGCGCCAATCCTCCGCGCTTGGATTTGGATGCTGCTCAGGCTTCGCAAGTCATTGTCTCGGCTGAGCCTCGCTGCTCCCTCGTCCATATTGTGTCGACAATTCTTGCGGCAAGCAACGGTGAGCTCGGCAAACCCGTAGTCGCGTTGCATATTGCACGAGGATCGAAGCAAGGGCTGCAGCTACGGTCAGGGGTCGTCGTCGTCGGACAGGTTCATCATTACGTGCAGTTGGTGTCCTGGCCCCGACGCAAAACTGACGAGATCGCCACGGATCTCTGGGGGGACGTCGACCTGGCGAGCGGCGGCTTCGATCTTTTCGGCTGCGCGCTCCATCGACGGGAGCATTGAGTAGTCTGGTGAAGGGGACAGTGGTGCAAACTTGAGGTAGAGGATCTCGTAGAGCAGGTACAGCTGGAGGAAGGGGTTGAGTCGCTCGAGCAGGTCGTTCGGAAGTTTGAGGCCGATGAAGCGGTGTCGCTCGCTACAGTGTTGGAGGAAGACGCTGTACTCGTGCGCAACTCCATCCCAAGCGTCGCTAGCCTTGTGGAAGGTGTGCGTGAACCCGTAGCGGATCGTTGCGATGGTGTTGGAGCGCGCAGGTTCAGGAATCAAGCATTCGCCGGCTGGACGGTTGAGCTGATCGAGTAGGAAGTTCTGCCAGCGCAAGACAGGCGTCAGCACGGACACATGGCAACTGTGTAAAATCGGCCAGCAGGAGCAGCGGGCTGCCCTTGAACCCGTCGCGAGGAGAGAAGAGAGCTCACTCGGTCGTCTCCCTTGAACCATCCCTCAGCCCTGACGTGACGGAACCATTCAGCCTTGACCCCTCGCGCAATGTCCTCGATCTCCATGATTACCGTCGAACTTCGCAAGCTGTGAGCGACATCCTTCGAGAGCGGCGGCCAGGAGAAGGCGGTTGCAGGCGTCGAGCGGCGGCAGAAATGCTTGTGGTAGGGCCAGGTCTGTTCACGGATGGTCAGTGTACCGCCAGCATGCCACATCGATCCGCTTGAGAGGCGCACCAGCTCTTGACAGGCTCGCGAGCAAAAGGAAGGACCGCGGCAACCTGAGCAGCGCTGCGTGGCTGCGGCGCCGCATACGAAGCACTCGGTGATAGGCGAGGGTGGAGTCATGGCTCAGCAGGTCAACGATGGCAGGGAACTGACGAAGTGGTGAAGAAGAGGAGCAGGAGGGCAAGGAGGAGATGCAGGACCGTAGCTCTTCGCGAGGATAAGCTGGCTGTACAGAACGGAAGCGCGAGTTAAATCATCTCGCAAATGCAGGCGAACTAGCAAAGGCGGGACACCTCGCGAGACGAGTAGGTCCTCCTCACAGGAAGCTCAAGACTCAAGTCGTCAAAGGCCAAGCCAGCGCAGATGCGTAAAACCGACAACATGGTTGCAGCAGACTGATTTGCGCTTTGCGACGGGGTCCTGTACAAGAAGAGAGCGGAGGGAATAGGCGAGATCTGCGAGAGCAAGCTGGTGAGCGGTGAAGAGTCTCGTCGAGCAGAGAACGACTCACAATGTGCAGGCGGAGATAGAGAGACGACGGTGGTCACGCCCAGGCGGTGAACAGACGCGCCGCTTCCGCCTGGTCGAGGTCGATGGGCTGCGCGGGCGACGAGCCGTTCTCGGCGGTCGGCGACGCGGCCTGCTGCGCCTCGGCAATGCGCTTCTTGAGGAGCTTGATTTGCTGGAGACGCTTGCGCCAGTTCGACGAGTACTCGATGCGGTGGGTCATGCCGCTCGCTCCGGCAGGCCTGCCCGTCTCGAAGCCGACCGAGGCGAGGAAGATCTGAGCAAAGATGTTGCTGTGCAGGGCGAGCTGGCGGATGACGTGAGGGAGCGACGAGCCAGTGACCATCTTGAACGTGCCGAGCGGACCGACTTCGGGCATGCCGGGGCGGAGCTGCATCGAGACCTTGAAGAACTCGGTGTTGTTGCTCATGCCCGGCCCGATCCAGGGGTTGCCGGCGGGCGTGTGCGGCTGGATGACGATGTTGACAAAGTTGAAGTCGCCTGGAAGCGTGTCGAACGCAAAGTCGCCGCCCGAGTCGTTCCAGATGACCTTGATGAAGTCGTTCCCTATGTGGCGCTTCTTGAGCGTGCACTGCGGGTCCGTCTCGCGGTTCGTCGGCATGAGGGTCGCGACGTGGAAGACCATCTGCGAGATGTCGTCGTCCCAGCAGTAGGTCCACTTGCCGTCAATGTCCGTCTCCTGGTCAAGGCCGCCGATGTAGATGTTGAGGTCGCGGCTGCCCTTTGTCCGCACGAGCGTGCCGAGTCCCGAGACAAACTCGGTGTAGGCCTTTGAGCCGTGGGTGTTGGCGAGGATGTCGAGCTCGTTCGTCTGCCCTTGACCGGCGTAGAGGACGCCAACCTTGTGAAAGTCGACGATGGGGATCGTGTCGAGCATTGTCACGGCTCGCTGCGACGCAGGGTCGTTCGGGACAAGCAAAGGACGCATGCGGGCGTCGACGTGCGGGAAGGACGAAAGCTGGACGGTGAAGAAGCTTGGATCGGCGGTGAGGACGCCCGACTCGATCGTGACCTGGCGGACGTCGCGTGCTGCCGCATTCGCTGCGTCGACGACGGCATTCTCCTCGATGCGTTGCGCGAGCGGGATTTGCGAGGCGGACGTGCCTGAGAACGACGCCGACCTTGCGCGAGTTCCGACGTGCAGAGGCGGGCAGGCGTTGGGCACCATGGCGAGAGCGTCGCGAATGACCGAAGGGATGCCGTGCATGAGGCCGGCGGTCTCGCGATGGCGGAGAAGCGCGGCGATCAGATCGCTCTCCGGCGCCGACGAGGTCATGCTGATGTTCTGCAGCTCCCAGAGCATGCGAACGACGCCTGACGCCCTCCGCACCGTCACCTCGACCCAAGCCGGCGCGTGAAGCTTGCGAACCGTGATGGTCGCGTTGCCGACAAGCCACGTCTTTGGCGGCGGGACCGGAGCCTGAGTCGGCGTCGCGATGAGATTGTCGAAGCTGGACGCGCGAGGACGAGGGTCGGCGTTCGAGTAGGCGTAACGAGCGATCATGTCGAGGCAGACCTCGGTTGCCTCGTCGACCTCCGTCTTGCCCTCGTTCGCTTGGACGAGGCGGCGCGTCAGGAAGGCAACAAACTTGGGTCGCTCCGACAGTCGCAAGGCGAGGTACCAGACGGCGATGTTGTAATAGGCGAGGAGGAGCACGTATTGCGAAAAGGCGTACTCGATGCCTTCCTCGACGTCGTTCGGGTTGTCCGCGAGCCGCTCGTTGTGCGCCTGGATGTACTTGAGGGCGATGCCAAAGACAGTCTGGAAATCGGCGTCGGTAAAGTTGGCGTAGAGCGCGGGCTCCTGACCGACGCCTGCGATGAACTCGAGGATGTGGACGCCTAGGGGCGCCGTCGAGATGATCTTCTGCAGCTGGCGGACCGTTTCGGCGAGATGCTTCGTGACGGAGGGGCGCAACTCGAAAGCTGCGATCGTCAAGGCGTGGATGCAGGGCTTGGCCGTGTCGCGAGGGTTGCCGAGTCCGAGCATGAACGTGCTGACGATGTCGTCCTGCTGCTGCTTCGAGAAGAGGCTGCGGTACGCGATGAGGGCGGTCAGGCAGTGGAAGGCGACTGCGTGAATCTCGGCGCGCTTGATGCCGGCCGGGAGCGTGCGAGGGAAGATGCGATCGCCTCGGTCGCCGGCGCGGAGGCCGTCACACAACGCCTTGCGCAGGACGTGGATCTGCTGGGCGCAGCGAGGACCGCAGGCAAAGTGCTTGTTGCTGAGCTGCTCGGGCAGGTGGCACAAGATGTAGGAGACGAGCTCCCACTCTTGCTCGACCTGTAGGATATGGTTGACGGCCCGCAGGTACTCCGAGACCGGCAGGACGACAAGCCATTCCGACGGCGGCAGCGTCTCCTCGGCCTCGACGACCTTCATCTGGCCGGTACCCGGGTCTTCCTCCTCGGTCCAGTCCCTCATCCGGTTGTGATCGAACGACGAGAGAGCCTTGCCGCCGATCGCCGACGTAGCCGAGCCGAAGTCGAACGGCAGCTTCTCCGGGACAGTCCAGAGGACAGGCGTTGCGGCGATGGGCGGAGCAGCGGCAGCGCGTCGCAGCGAGTTGGTGCGACTCGGACTGCGCTCCTCGTTGAGCTGCCGCCGGAGACGACTCGCACTCCTCGATCTTCCGGCAGAGTCCGCAGGTAAGGTCATCGAAACCTGCCTGCTCGATCGGCCGCGCGCCTCGCCATGCCCGTCTTCGGATGCCGCTGGGCTCAGCGGCGCTCCTGCGTCTGGTGGCGAAGAGTCGCCGTTCGAAGAGGCGAGTCGACCGAGGAGCTTGGCCGGACCGGTGATGTCAACGTCGCTCATCCAGTTGATGCGGTGCGAGGCGTCTGCTCGCAGGCGGACGAGCCACTGGAGGATGAGGAGGCGGGTACGGAGCGGGACGACGGCGGGTTCAGGCGTGACGTCGGGAGGCGAGAGGTAGCCAGGGGCAAAGAGGTGTAGGAGGTCGCGGAAAACGACGACCGCCTTCTCCGATGCCGCCGGCGTGGAGTGCTCGAGGCAAACGTGGAAGATTGACATGAGCCCCATCACGGCGACGGAGGACAGCTCGGGAGGATCGGCCATGTCGAGGGCGGCGGGCGATGAAGAAGCGCCTCGTTGTGCCGCCGGCGAGCCCGAGTTGCCATAGCGCGAGAGCGGCGCAAAGGCGCCGACGCGACGAGTTGCAGGCGTAGTAGGCGTGGAGGTCGGTTGCCGATCGAGCGTGCGTTTCGACGACTTCGCCATCTTGATGAGGAGCAGCCGCAGCTTGTCAAACATGCCGAGCGGCCCCTCGCCCTCGCCTTCCGTCTCGTCCAGCACGTCGCGCCCAAGCTCCGTCACCAAGGCGACCATCGAGCTCGCGACCTGAACGTCCGTCTCCGCCTCGAGGCTCGTCTCGAGAAGCGGCATGATGACCGTGTCGACGAGCTGGCGACGAGGCCCTGGCAAGTAGCGGACGTGCGAGTGAATCGTTGTGACCGACTGCATGATGCGGCTGCGTACGACGGGCGTGACGCTCCGTCGCATCGACCGAGTACCACCGTTTGCGCGCGAGGGCGGGACGTAAAACGCCTTGACAAGCTCTTGCGTGAGTTCGAGCCACTCGGGATGCGACGGTAGGCAGAGGGCGCCGGATCGGCACTGGTCGAGCGTGAGGCGAGCGTAGTGGTCGGAGAGGTGCGGGGCGAGCGAGACGAGGAGGCTGAAGACGGCGTGGGCGGGACCGGTGAAGTCGTCCGAGCACCAAGCCCGCACGACTCGTCGCAAAAGCGAGGTGAACGCGACGAGGACGCCTGGTCGCTGAGTGAACTGGTCGGGCGAGCCTTGCTCGAGGTCGTCCTCCTCGTCCGAGTCTGCGGATCGGACCGTCAGCAGAGAACAGACTCCCAACACGGTCAGCGAGCGCACCGAGGTCCTGCGGCCGCAGCGGAGCTCGCTCGTGAACGGGCGAAGAGGCGGTCGTTTCGTCTGTGAGAGCAGGAGGTCAGCGGTCGAACAGCTAGGGACCGAATGGCCAACGAGCGCACCGTCATCCGACAAGATCCACTGCCGCAGATTCTGCTGCTCCCACAGCGCGATGTGCGCCTTCGCCTTATCGAGCACCTCGACCGCCATCGACCACTCTTCGTACGAGACGCCCTTGGGGATGTCCTCGAGCTCCTTGTTCGCCGGTGTCGGTCCCGCAAGGGTTGCACCAGCTGCAGCCGAGCTCTCCTTCGCCTTGGCGGCCATCCGGTCCGCCACCTCGAGCCTTTCCTCCACGAGCCTGAGGACTTCCGCATCGACCGGCCCATTCTCCCACTGCATGACGCGCTTGATGCCGTTCCAGAGGAAAGGCAACCCGAGCGAGAGCATCGACGGCCAGCGCGACTCGCCAGTTGGGCCTGTCAAGGCTGAACCGGCAGATTCGCCGATGGCGGCTTCGAGTTCGGTCGTGTGCTCTGCCATGGCTTTGCGGAGAGAGCGGAGCGCGCCGACGAGGAGGAGGACGGGAGTGCGAGGGCGGGTACCGTCGGGTGAAGGAGGCGGAGGAGCGACGAGGGTGGTGCGGAGCGACTTGGTAGCCTGATTCGCGGGCGAGCGGATCAAGTCGCGCATGAGGTCGAGCGCGAGCGAAGGGAGGTTCGACGTCTTGACAGCCGACGAAGAAGGCGAGGTGTCGATGTCGCGGAGAGACTGACCCTCCTTGATCTCGACGACGCTGACCAGTCCTTCGCAGCCGATCAAGCGCGCGACAGTCGAGACGACTTCGCGGAGGATCTCATCTCCCTCGACTATACTCGCTTCGATCGAGCCGTCGTGCCCGTCCTCTCCGCGATGCAGCATCGCCCGCTTGCGCGCCGCCTTCCCACCCGTGACTTCTCCGAACCGCACGACCGCGCCAAGAAAGTCCAGCACGCCGTCTTTTCCGCCGATATCCTGCTCTTCGCGGAGCTTGGCAACCTCGAGAGCGGCTCGAAGCGCCATGTGCGTCGAGGCGGTGTAAATGTGCGGGGCGGAGAACTTGTGTAGGGCGGTAAGGAGGGCGAGCGCGCTGGCGTGTGGAGAGGGCTTGTGGGGGACGGTGCGAATGAAGGGCGTAGAGACGTTCGGGTCGAAGAGCGGAGAAGGAGGTCGAGGGAAAGGGAGCGATTCGGTAACGAAGGTGCAGAGAAGGGCGACAAGACCGGGCACGTCGGACAAGTCCCGACCGCCGCGAGTCATCGCCGAGAGGACAGAGACGAGCGCTTCGCGATCCGCATCCGGCAGAACCCACCGCTTCCCGCCTTGCCCATCGTCCACCTGTACTCGCGCCTCATCGGCCCACCGCCTCGCTTCGTCCCAAAAGATCGCCTTCTCCGACTCGCGCATCCCGCCCGTCGACTCGAGCGATGCGTGGATGCACGCGTCCATGAGGCCGAGGACGGCGCTGCGAAGCGCGGGAGGCGATTCAGCGACGAGGTGATGCGATTGCGAGACGTAGATTTGGGCTGGCGAGGGAGTCGGAAGGGTAGGCGTGGCGCTCTTGGGCGTTCCAGCGGGTGTCGGCTGGTTCGCAAGCATTTTGGAGAGGTTCGAGGCGGCGAGTGCAGGCGGCGGAAAGGGGAAGAGGCCGACGCTACGGGTCAAGAGTCGAATGAGCGGAACGTAGGCTTCAGGTGCAGGTCGGTGAGCAGAAAGATCGGATAGTCGTGCGAGGACGCTCGAGGGAGGGAGGACTGAATCGGGCGGGGTAACGGCGTCTTCCTGCGGAGAATGCAGGACTTCCACCGTGACCGTGCGGTCTAGCGAAGGGCGGGCCGGGTCTGCTGGGCGGGCGGACGATCCCGCTGGCGGTGGAAGCGAGAGAGGCGGCAGGTCGGCGAGGGAAGTCGGGACGCCCGTGGTCGTCGCGACAGTCGGGACAGCCTTGGCGTGCGTCTGAACGATGAAGCCGCCTCGCGAAGGTCCCGCAACGCCGTACGACGTCCCCGAGCCAGGGAGGGGAGGCGACGTCCCCGTCACGTCCTGCGACTGCGCAGCGCGTTTACTGACCGCACTCTGCGCGAGCGGCAGTTCCGCCGAAGTCACGCTCCGCTTCACCGCGACTCCCGCTCCTCGACTCGACGAGCCCGTCGGCCCTCGCGCCTTCTCCTTCCCAGGCGTGCCAGACGGCGAATGGTGGTTGTCGTGGTGCGTCGGCTCGGTAACGTTCGAAGCGGCCTTGACGAGCTTCTTGAAGGCCTTGAAGAGACCTTGCTGCTGATGATGCGGTTGCGGGGGCGGCGAAGGACCGTGGTTGTGGTCGTCGATGCTGGGGTGTGTCGACGAGGTTTCGGAGGGAGCGTAGATGGATGGGCTACGCTGATTCGAGAGACTGACGCCGGAGGGGCTCATACGAGGGTGGTGGCTGCCGAGGCTGGATCTGCAAGTGGGGACCACCGACCAGCTCTGTCAACCCTCTGCAAGCGAGGTAGAACAAGCAGCGTTTGCTCGCCAACGCACCTTCTCGTCCTCGAACCTGGAGTCGCCGTCCCTCCCGCAAAGTCTCCCGCCTCGTCGCTCGTCACGGGTGCGGCCGGTCCGCCATGGCTGGCAGGGACATATACCAGACCCCTGCCGACCCTCGCTGTTTGTATCGAAGCGAAAGGGAGAGGGAGGAAATCAGCTCGTCAGTTCGAGGGAGATAAGCGAGTCCTCGACACGGCGTCTGGGGAGAGCAAGGGCAGGGCAGACGCACTGCGAGTCCACTGTTGATCCAGCGTAGGCCGTCGTCGCGCTCAAGAGCCGTGTACAGCCGTCTGCGTCGCCTACGAGTCCTCGTCTTCGCTCGCAACTGATGAGGACATCAAGCGTCAGCACGGTCTCGTAGTTGATCGTGACCAGCCCAGCAGCACTCTCACGCACCTCCCGTAGCCCGGGTAGTCTGCACCGGTCCCTGCGCGGGCGGGAAAGCGTCGCGGTGACCTGGATCGCCTCGAGTCTGCGGGCAGTCGGGGCCAAGGCGAGCGAGCGTGTTCTGTGCGGGGCCTGTCGAGCTAGGGGAACTGGCTGTGTCCGGCTGAAGAGCAGTAGAGCGTCGCGTGAGATGGTTGCGCGCTGGCGGAGCGAGGCGAGGTGAAGCGGACGGAGACAAGAACCTCTTCTCGGTCGAGGCGGACCGTCAAGTTGTCAACTTCTCGGATTCGCTGACAGGCGGGATGTTCTGCGCAGCGAACGCAGTGACAGAACACTGCTGACCAAGCGAGAAACGGGACGGAAGCGAACGAACGCGGACGAGCACTCGAGAGCGGGACCTTCTCATCCTCTCTTCCTCTTGCAGCGTGTCAAGTATCGTGGAACGATGTAGTATTAGGCAGCCCGATGATGGGAGCGACGCTAGTAGTGCGCAGGGACGAAGAACGAAGGGAAGTCTAGTGGGTGTTGCGCGGAGAGAGGGAAGAGGGAGGGTCGCCGGGGGGTTAGGGGCGGGCAATGCGACGGTATGTACAGTGTCGAAGGGTGCAGGAAGGAGGTGGTTGCAAGCAGGGCGAAGTTCCGTTTACTCGCCGAGAACGGTGCGACGCCTGTGCTGCTTCTTCCCGACGGTGATCTCGACGACAAAGAGGATGAACCAGATCGTAAAGAGCGAGAACAGCGTCCACGCGAGCGCCTCGGCGCCGACGTAGTACTTGCACTGCCCGGTGAAGCGACTCCAGATGGCGCTGCTGGTTCCGCACGATCCGGCCTCGAAGGGGGTGGCGACGGTGAAGATGATGCCGACTGTAAGCCAAAAGGCCCAGCAGGAGAAGAGGAGGAAGGCGAAGAAGTAGAGGGGCATGGCGTAGGCTCCGAGGCAGACGAGGAGCTGTTTTGCGAGGCCGAGGGTCAGTTCCTCGGTCTTCGACAACGAAGGCGAGTGAGGCAGCAACGCACGGTGTAGATGCCAGAGAAGAGCGTCAAGCCGATGTTGTGCTTGATGATCTTGCTCGGGTAGTCATTGCGGAAGATGTTGCCGTACTTTTGGAGGAAGCTGCAGGGGTTCGGCGCGGAGAGCGCGCATGTCAGCCACCGACTTCCACTTCGAAGGACAGCGTCAAATGAGCGTACTAGGACGAGATGCCAATCTCTCCTGCGGCGAGGCCGAAGCAGAGGAAGGCGAAGGTGAGGTACAGAAGCGGTCGGGCCCCATCACGAAACGCTTTGGCTGGTGGTCCATCGCCGCCACCTTTTCCTCAAAGTTGTCGTGCGAGTGTTCGTGCTCAGACATTGTAGGGACGCGGTTGGAAGATGTAGCGTGCGTGAGAACGAAGTAAGTGAGGAGGAGGAGGAAAAGAGAGCGAAGCGCAAAGCGTCGCCTGATGACGACCGACCCCGAGGCCGCTAGGCAATAATGCTCTGTGCACGCGCGGCACTCGCTTAGCTCAGCGAGGCAACACCACTTCCGCGAGGCCAAACGTCAAGGCCGACTCCGCGCAACCTCGGCGCCTCCGCACGAAGCAGAGCTGCTCGAGAGGGCAACTCTTGCCCCGTAAGCAGCGTAAGCCAGCTTACACCGACAGGCTATTGGCAGAAACCATGCACCAGCTAACTTACTCCGTCCTCGGGGTCGTCCGTCCGCCCCCAGCATCGGCTCTCCATGCGACTCCTCGCCAACCGCGCGCTTTTTCTCCTGCGCCCGCAACGTCGTTCTTCTCGCTTGCGACGACTCGGGCGTGTCAAGTGTGTCCGGGTCTACCGCTGCCAAGTCGAGGCGCCCCGAAAGGAGAGGAGTGGCGACCAGCAAGTCCTCCTAAAACCAGCTGAAAACCCGCTGAGCCTCGGCATCCAGCTACGGGCGCTCCGCGGGCGGAGAGAGGTTCGGCGCGGCATGCGATCGCATAGTGAAGCGTCGAGAAGGGTCGCTGGCGCGTTCGGAAGCAAAGCGCGGGGACGTGGGAGGGGCCAGAGGGTGCGCAGATGAGCGGGCTGCGAAGGTTGAGGAGGAGGGGACTGTCTGCAACGTCTGTGCCGCGTGCGTAGCCCTGCGAACCACTCTGACTGTTCAGCTTTGGGACTAGCGAGACCCGGCGAGTAGAGAAGCGAGCGGCTCGAGAGGTCCGAGGACAAGGCGGTCGTGCAAGACGAGGCGCGACTGGTACGACGCGAGTCCCATTGGCGACGTGGCAAGTTTAATGCGAGTTTCTGCACAATGCAAGCAAGGCTCCTCCATCTCCGAACGTCGCCCGACCGCCTGTCCCGCCCGCATCAATCGCGCCTTATCAATCCACCTCGACCTCGACCTCCTCCTCCTCCTCCTCGTACTCCTCAAATCCCTCTCCATCTACATCCCCATGCACATGCGCATGCCCGTTCGCGCCCTGACCCGCCGGCGAATTCGGCGCAGAGACGGCGGCGGAAGAGGCGAGACGGTCTGCGATGGCTGCGTGGTGGTGGATTTGTTCCTGTCCGCCAGAAAGCACTCTAAGAATCAGCTTGATGTCCTAGTGTGGAGAGTGGCTGAGGTAGGAAGTGCCAGACGGACCTTGAGAACCCTCAATCGCTCGCGGTACTCGTCCGCCCTGCGATCCAGCATCGAAACCGAGTGCAGCGCGTTCAACAAATCCGAGTCGTCTCCTCCTGCTCCTTCGCGCTGTTTCGGCGCGGGTGGCGCAGGGACAGCCGGAGGGAGAGGGGGAGGAGGAGGAGGGGCTGGGGCGACCTTTTTCTTCTTCTTCCTGTTCTTGCCCTTCTTCTTCGCCGCCTCTGCTTCTCCATCACCCACCGCCCCCACATTCGCCGCCGAAGCACCGACCACGGCCCCCCTCATCCGCCTCTGCAACCTCCTCGCCTCGCTCGCCTCCAAACTCAATCGCGCGACGCACTGCTCCAACTCGGCGATGGCGCTCATCAAGCTTGGGAGGGAGGCGGGTGAGAGAGCCGAGTCGGAGAGGATGCCGTCTGCGGGGATTTGGGAGGGTGAGAGGTGGGTTTGAGGCGGTTGAGAGGAGGAGGACGAGAGGGGGAGGGCGGAGGAGAGGGCTGTCAAGTCCGAGAGGGAGAGGGGGATCGAGGTCGTGAAGGATGTCGAGGACGAGGAAGAGGCGTTCCGCTGTTGTTGTTGCTGGACGGCGGAGAGGACGCCCAGGAAGGCTGCGTCGGCCGCTTGCGAGGGCGAGTCGATCACCTCGTAGGCGGCGTCGTCGTGCTCGGACGGCGACGACGCGTGGTCCTCCGACTCGACCCAGTCTGGCCCGTTGAAGAGGCATTCGGCGGCGAAGACGACGGCCGGGTCGTCCGAGGCTGTCGAGGCAAGTGGCTGTAAGCAAGCGCGGCAGAAGAGGCAGAACGCTGCGACGCACTCCTAGGATCCCACGGCTGCGCATCCGGATCCTCCCCGCGCTGCTGGCGCCTCGCCCGCTCCCGCTCGTACTCCGCCATGACCGTCAACCCCTGGCAGAGCAGGCGGTACTGCTCGACCAGGGCCCAGTCCTCGCTCGTCTGTGGGAAAGGTTGGACGGGACATCCTGGCGGCAATGGAAGCGAGTACAGCCAGTCGAGCGTGAGAGGGGAGGGCCGAAAGTGCTCCGTCGAGATGCTGGCGAGCGAGACGAGGGGCTGGGTGAGCGACGGCGGGCGGATCCCTGCGCCTGTGTTGTCCATCCCTGCAGTGCACTCTGTTGCTCGTATCATGTCCCACTCCCTTGTATCCCTCGAGTCGGTCGACTCTTCCCTGGCGAGTCCAAGCGGAGGAGGTGGTCGTCGCCTGACCCGCTCGGAGTGCGCCGCTCGACTTGGCCCTGGGAGAACAAGCCTGTGTGAGTCTGTCTAGCCTGTCAGCGAATGCGCCAGACGAGTGCAAGCGGGTGAGCGAGGTCGACCCTGCTCGTCACTCGCTCGTCGGGTGCGGCCGCATCGTTGAACTTGCACTTCTCACTCGCACTCGCTCTGGTACAGCTACAGTCACTCGCTTACTACTCTGCAGGTTCACAGCAACTCACCCGTCCAACTCCCACCCTCCCCCGTGCAGCCCACCATGCCCGCATCCCTCTCCAACAAGCTGTCGATCCGCGACCTCGACTTGAAGGGCAAGCGCGTCGTTATGCGGTCCGTGCACTCTCTCACACTGTCTCTACCGGACGCGAGCTGACCGAAGAGCGGGCGGGCGATGCAGCGTCGACTTTAACGTCCCGTTCGACGGACAGGGCAACATCACCAACAACCAGGTGCGCTTCGACGGTCTCCTTTGCTCTCGATTGGTTCGCTTCCGGTGCTTCCAGTCCGTACGGATGGCTCGGCGGGCTTGCAGGACAGATGAACGACGAGGGCGTGAGGACGAGATTATCGATGGATTGCGAGAGGTGGGGCCCTCGAGGTGTGCGCGCTTGCGGGCCAAATGTGAAGGAGTGGGAGAGCCATGCGAAGACGTGACAAGTCGATGCGATGATGCGAGGCGGGCGAAGCCGAAGCGAGGCGGATAACCGCGTCTGAAGCCAACTCTGGACAACGAAACGCTGACCTTTTCACTCCCTGCTCGTAGCGCATCACGGCTGCTCTCCCGACCGTCCAGTATGCCATTGACCAGGGCGCCAAGTCGATCGTGCTCATGTCGCACCTCGGCCGTCCCAACGGCTCGGTCGTGTCCAAGTACTCGCTCAAGCCCGTCGCAGCCGAACTCGAGCGCCTCCTCCCCGGCAAGACGATCACCTTCCTCCCCGAGTGCGTCGGCGCCGAGACGGAGAAGCGCGTCGCCGAGGCCAAGGACGGCGAGATCTTCCTCCTCGAGAACCTGCGTTTCCACATCGAGGAGGAGGGCTCGAGCAAGGACAAGGAGGGCAACAAGACCAAGGCCGACGCGGAGAAGGTCAAGGCGTTCCGTGCATCGCTCACCAAGCTCGGAGACGTCTTTGTCAACGACGCATTCGGCACGGCCCACCGCGCCCACTCCTCCATGGTTGGCGTCGACCTCCCCCAGAAAGCCGCCGGCTTGCTCATGACCAAGGAGCTCGAGTACTTTGCCAAGGTCCTCGAGAAGCCCGAGCGCCCCTTCCTCGCCATCCTCGGCGGCGCAAAGGTCTCGGACAAGATCCAGCTCATCGAGAACCTCCTCGACAAGGTCGACTCGCTCATCGTCTGCGGCGGCATGGCCTTCACCTTCAAGAAGACGCTCGACGGCGTCTCGATCGGCAACTCGCTCTTTGACGAGCCCGGATCGCAGAAGGTCAAGGCGCTCGTCGAGAAGGCCAAGCAGAAGGGCGTCGAGCTCGTGTTCCCCGTCGACTACATCACCGCCGACAAGTTTGACAAGGACGCCAACACCTCGACTGCGACTGACAGCGAGGGCATCCCCGATGGTTGGATGGGCCTCGACGCCGGCGAGGAGAGCAGGAAGAAGTTTGCCGAGACCATCAAGAAGGCCAAGACGGTTCTCTGGAACGGCCCTGCTGGCGTCTTCGAGTTCGACAAGTTCGCTGGCGGATCCAAGGCGACCCTCGACGCTTGCATCGCCGCCAAGGAGGCCGGCGCGACCGTCATCGTTGGTGGTGGTGCGTTTGCAGAACCTCGCTCTACTGACTGACCGGGACTGACCGATGGCGCGTGCGTGCAGGCGATACGGCGACCGTCTGCGCCAAGTACGGCGCCGAGGACAAGCTCTCGCACGTCTCGACTGGCGGCGGTGCTTCGCTCGAGCTCCTCGAGGGCAAGGTGCGTTTCGGCTGATCTTTTCGCCCATCACTGCGACTGGTGCTGCTGGAGTGGCGCCCAGTCGTCGCTCGTCATGGAAGAGGCAGAGCTGACATCCCTTCGCGCATGCAGGACCTCCCCGGTGTCTCCGCCCTTTCGGAGAAGCAGTAAATGCCCCTCCCTCTCCCTCTCCCTCTCCCTTTCGCTCTCTCGCATCCCTCGTCTCTCTCCGTACATCTGTGTAGCGCCGGCTGGCCAAACCCGACAAAAGGAAATGGAAGTCTAGAAAGGACGTTTGAAGTCGGTCGTCTTCCCGCTTCACGTGAGGGACAGCTCGAGGAAGGATACGAGATGCACTGCATGCGGTCCAACAAGGTAGTACTGACAATCCGACTCTAGGGGCGCGCGAGAGGAGAGAGAGGGTCGATCAGGCGTAGCGGAGGACGTCTTCGGCGGACGGACCGAGGGGGATATCGGTGCTTGCGAGGTTGTTCTGCCAGCTGCGTCCCATCGAGAGCGTCAGCGATGCCTGACTGGGAGGGAGAAGGCGGAGGACGTACAAGGCGCGAACCTCGTCCGGCTGGAGAGAGGGAAAAGGAGGAGCAAAGCCGAGAAAGTCAGCGTACGCTCGCTCGAAGACCGCCAGATATGGATGCACCTGAAACGCTCCCGTGATCGAGTGCAGCACGCCCCGGTTGTGGAACAGCGCGAGCGTCTTGGGCTTCCAGTCGACGACGTAGACCAACTCGGGCGCGATACCCGGCCGCTGCATCTTGTACATCAGATCTCGCACCTCCTTGAGGTCAGTCAAGTGGGCGCCGTCGGGGCAGAGAGTCGAGGGCGAGCGGGCGGTGGTAGAAGGGAGAGGGTCAATAATCTGCGCGAGGTTGGGAAGGTCAGTCTCGTTTCGAGTTCGAGGGAAGCGTATGAGGGACGCACGATCTCCTTGATGCCGCTAGGGTGCACTTGGAGATGCAGATTGCCGGTGACAGGGTTCTTCCAGCAGACGGGGAAGGTCTTGACGTGCTTCTCCTCCCAAGGCGGCAGCTCGTCGAGCGGGACCTCCAGGCCGTCCTGTACAATCAGGAAGACTCGTCAGCTCCGAGTACGTTAGAAGCAGCAGCCGCACAAGCGGAAGAATTGGGGACCGATTACGAGGAGGAAAAGGCGAAGCAACGCACGGTCTCCATCCCAAGCCCAGTCGAGCGACTCTTCGCCGTTCCGATCGCGACGTAGGGGTGCGGGAAGTACTTGACGAGGGCTCGGACGGCGAGCGACTTGTACTCGGCGGGGAGGATGTCGAACATGACTTTGCCGGAGACGACTGCGGGCGTGCGCGCGAGGGGGTCAGTTCAGCGCCTCGCCAACCTACCCAAGCTCGTTCACTGTCGGAGGAGATGGAAAAAGACGCACAGGCTGTACCACCGAGCGGGACCTCCAGCTCGTCACCCGTACCGTCGTCGTAGCGGACGATGTTGCCCTTTCCGAGCGGCATCTGCAGGCCGTAAAGCGTCGTGACCTTCGGTGGGTCGCGTTCGTACCTGCGACGTACAGCAGGATTAGCGGAGTCGCATTTGAGGGGATGACCTCGTGCAGATCGCCAAAAGAGTTCAGGAGAATGAGACGCACAAGGCTGCGTCGATGTGCCAGCGGTAGAAGCGTGTGTAGCCCTTCTCCGACTCTTCGGCCGAGAGCTGCGTCTTGTGGAACGTCTCGTGCGACGGGCTGAGCGGAACAAGGAGTTGCGGTCAGGGACAGTCTCGCTCGCTGCGCCAATTGCGACCGTTGAGCGCGCCGAGACTCACTGCTTGAGCTGCGTCGGGCTCTTCAAGCCTTGAAGGACGTGCTCATCCGTCACCAAGCCGTTCCCGATGAGCTGGACAGGCGTGCCGGGAATGGTTCGCAAGTCGGGGTGCAAGATGCTCTGCGGCGGTCATCGCGGGTCAGCTACTGTTTGGATCGCCCTCAAAAGGGGCATTGCGGCGAGCGCACCTTGTTGTCGGGACGACCCTTCGCTCCGTGCCCGTACTCGTGAGCTTGCGGGTCGAACTGGCGCGTGAGGCGGAACTGGCCGTCGGGGTTCAGGTCGACGTTCTCAAAGACGACGACGCTGTGCTTGTAGAGTAGTTCTTCAATGCTGCGAGACGCGATGGGTCAGCACGGCAGACGAGGGACAGTCGGCAGATTCTGTCGAGGCTGGCCGCCGCACAGGGACCGACGATGCGAGATCGAGTCAACTCACGTCGCAAACTCCTCGTCCGTCAAGTTGTTGATGTCCTTGATGCCTGAGACGGCGACCCCGAATTGCTCCTGGCGCAGTCGCTTGCCGACCGAAGGCGCGTAGTCGACGGGCTGGACGGTCAATCCAGCAGGCTGGGCGGGTGTGAGCGGGACAGTCATGTCGATAGAGCTTCGTATCGTGAAGACGAAGGATGAGGAAGAAGAAGAACGAGAGGCGATAGAGGCGCCGGAAGAGAAGGCCAAGTCGGCCGAACAAGCCCCGATGTGGTCCGCATCGCATCCTCCGAAGCCGACGCCCAGCTTGTCCGTGCGAGGTGTCCGCGTACGAGAGTCTCGGAAGGAGCTTGGCGGAAGCGCAGCATCGCCTTGCGACGTGCGAGGGAAGCAAGCGAGGCGAAGGCGCGCGATAGATAAGGCGGTCGGGAAGGGAATCGTCCGCCTCGTCCGATGTCGACCCGGAAACGCCAGTGTTTCAGCAGACTGTGCGCCCATCGGTTGCGGCGATTATGAGTAAAACGGCTGCCACGCCAGCCAGGCAGCGCTTGACTTCCTCTTCTTCCTCGCAGTCCTTGACGACCCAATCCTCCATACGCAGCGCCGCCAAGTTGAGCAATTCCTGCCGGTCTTTGCCTTGATAGTTTATGCCAATCGTATTGAAGATGAGGTCCTGGTGGAAGAACGGCGCGAGGCGGGTCAAGAGGTCGTTCGGCAGGGCCATTCCCTTGGATCGAAAGTGTGGGCGAAGTCGGTCAAGGATACGGGTGAGATCGCGGCTGCAGAGATCCCATGCATCGGAGTCGAGTTCGATGCGTTGCTCGAAGTGCTGGCCTTTGAGCGCGATCAGGATGAATGTTCGTGCTGGTTCAGGCGTTTCGGCGGATCCTGCCGGCTTCTGCAGGTCGTCAAGGATCCATCTCTGTACACAGCGGTCATCAGCCAGCTGTTGGAAGACGAGATCCACGGAGAGAACGACGCACTGCATCTTCTGGACCGCGATAGGTGACCCAGCCGGCCTTGACGAAGGACTTGTACCACGGCACCATCTCGAACGGCGGTTCCGGCTCTCGGCCGTGAAGCACATGTCCATCCGGGTGCAGTCGATAGATCTCGGCTTCTTCAGGCTTGAGGGGCGGGAGGGTGAAGGCAGGAAGGGAGCGTGAAGGTGGGGAGGTTCGGCAGAAGTACTTGTGTGTCGGCCAGAGCTGCGGAAGGTGCCTGTAAGCTGCTTGACTGGCGCTCAGGAGGGAAAGACGGGACTGACGACGGCCTGATGAGCGCGAGAGCAAACGAACAACCACCCACAGCCCGAGCACGCCTTAGCGGACGTGTTGTCGCACACGAAGCACCGACCCGGAGGCGCAGCCATGACCAGTAGAACAGATCGAGACCAGGTTGTGGGCGAGTCGAGGAGGCGAAGAGGAGGATCCGCCGCGAACGAGCCTCTTCCACCGACCTCGGTCCTCGTGAGGCTGGCTGACCGTGTGCGCGCGTTGCCACAGCTGTCCAGTCTTGCGCTACGTCCTCGACACCGCCTGCAGGGCGCCCCTTCACCTCCCTCGACGCTTCATCAGTTTGGGGGCGAGCAGGTTGTGTTAGGCGAGTGACGGCAGGGGCAGCAGCCACAGACGGCGGGTATCAAGATTGGTACTCGTAGCGAGGCAGCAGCCGGAGCCAGAGCTCTCAGGGCTGTCCAGATGGCGAACTGCAGAAGGACGAGGACGTTCTCTGGGTCGTCGAGGGAGGCTTCACTGCGTAGCCTCAGCTGGCTGTGGAACGACAGGCGCCGTACATCTGTAGCATCGTGCTGCCGAGGCAAGCGTAGAGCGCCCCGCGAACGCTCATTCTCGCTCCGCGCGCAGCAACGAGTCTGTTCGCTGCCGTCGAACGACGACTGCCACTTCATGCAAACTGGCACTGCTGACCGTTCGCGCGTGCCGCATCGCAGACGGCGTTCGCACGCGCCGTACGGATACACTTCTCCGTCATGTCCCTCAAGCACGCCTTGTACTGCTCGTCCTCGTCGAGGTTCTCGACTCAGTCGACCATGCGCCTGACCGCCAGCTGGTCCTGCACGTGTCCCTCTGGCTTCAAGCCGAGCGTGTAGAAGATGAGGCTTTGCTGGAAGACGGGCGCAAGGCGGTCGAGGATGTCGGACGGGAGGTCCTGTCCCTTGCGGTAGTAGTACGTCTTGAGGAGGCGGATGACGGGCGCGACGTCGGCTGCGCAGAACTGCCAGGGGCAGCCTTCGATGTTGATGTCGTACTGGGTATGGAAGCCGTACAGTCCTTTGAGGAGCAGGAGACACTGCGTGCGAGCTGGCTCAGCGATCGAGCAGTCGGAGCGCGGCTTCTGCAGCTCCTTCCGAATGAGCTCCTGGATACGGTCAAGGGTGAGCGAGCGCGACCTCGGCGACAAGGAGAGCACCGCAACGCACCTGGTCGCCGCGAGTGTCTCGCGAATACCAGCCGCTCTTGACGAGGTAGGTCAACCACGGGATCTTCTCGTTCGTCTCCCAGTCCTGCGTGTAGCGCGCCTCGAATTTCGGAGCGCTGGGGACGAAGAAAGCGGCTTCCTCGGCGGTCAAAGGCGGGAAGACGAAGGGAAGGGGACCGTCCGGTTCGCGCTTGATGCGGCAGAGGTAGCTGTGCGTCTCCCAGATCTACAGGGCCATTGTCAGCCGGGCGCACGGTGCAGCGAGCAAGCGATCTGGACGAACGTCTTTCTGGCACTGTTTCCCACAGAACCGCGCCCAGAGGCAGCGCGAGCACCGCTGAATGCGCGTAGAGCTGTCACACACGAAGCACTGGTCTGGCGGACCGGACATCTCGAGCTAGCGAGGGTGAGGAAGCGAGAGAAGTGAGCGGGAGAAGGCGAAGAAGGGGAGCGTGCGCGACCGACGTCGCCTGGGACGAGGAGGAGGCGTTCTGGCAGTTTGTGTACACGCTGAGCTACGAGTGCAAGCACGGGAACCTCGACAGACGCGCAGAACGATGACCAGGCGAGCCTTTCGCCGAAGATGAACAAGCCAGCGAGAACAACCAGAGAGCGCGCGTGAGTTGTCTGCTGTCGAGCAGAGAACTGGTATGACGGAGCGCACGGGCGAGGAGGAGAGCTCGCTGCGCAAGGGGACGCGGACGGCTGGAGTCCTCGAACGAATGCTGGGTGTACGAGTTCTCCTGCACAAGCATGTTGGCCTTCTGACCTGTCCCGCGTTTTCCTCCTCCACGCTGCGCCGACTACGACGAGCCGCTCGGCCGATGCCCGTTGCTGCCGCCTCCGTGCATTGGACTCGCTGAACCTTGCACTTGAGCGACCCTTGACGGCGTAGCGGCTGTGCCCACGCCGGCCGACGGCTGGCGTGTCTGCGATTGGGCAGGACTCGTCTGGCGCGAGACCGTCGATCCGTCGATGCCGTTGGCGGGAACGTCGAGGCGGAAGTCGTCGGGGAAGCCAATCTCCTGAGGAGTCGGGAACCTGCCGCGTATCTGGCCTCGACGAAGGTATGCGGCGATGTGGGAGGCGAGAGGAAGATAGCTGCAAGAGAGAGAGGGACGATCAGTCAGAGGAGCTGGCAAGGGAAGGAAATCGAGGCTTGCTCTGCGCACGCTTCCGACACCTCAGACACGTCGACGAACTTCTTGTCCGAAGTCTGGCGATACTCGGCTAGCTCGCTGCGCAACTCCTTGATGCGCTCCTTGTGCGAGCCGAGCCCGGCGTCCCAGCCTCGCAGACCGGTCTCGAGCCTGTTCGCCAACTCTTCGCTCGAGAGGTCGGGCTGGCCGGCGGCAGCGAAGTGGGCGAGGGACGCGACGAGAGGAACGTGTTCGGGCGGAACGGTCTGCTGCGCGGAAGAATTGTGAGCACGGCGAAGGAAAGACGTGAACGAGGGAAAGCGCACCTTCCGGCTCGACACCTTCTCCACATCGTCCTTGACCGCAGCGACCTACGCGAGACATACGACGGTGAGTAAACGTCGCTGACAATAAGGAGCGGCGAAGAGCAGCGCACTTCCTTGACCCACTCGTCCCGAACCTCCTCGAGTCGCTTCTCCAGCACCGACAGCTTCTCGCCTGAGCCTGAGTCGTCGTCGATCTCCATGTCGTCCGCGTCCCTCTTCTTCATGACGTCCTGGGCGACCTCGTCAACCTTGAGCTGAACGTCCGCAACCTTCTTCTCCAGCTCATCCACGACTCCGACCCGTGCTTCGAGCTGCCCGACTCGTCCTTTGACCTCGTCCACGGCCTTTTGCATATCGACGGTCTTCTGCTGGTCGACATGCGAAGGTCCCGGTGGCGGCTGAGGAGTGGGAAACGCAGCGGCGGCAGATGTCGGACGTCGACGAGGGTCGGTCGTCTGCGAAGCCTGCTTCTCCAGTGCTTCGACACGCGACTCGGTCGTAGCGATACGCGGCTCCGTAAGTGACAGCTTGCCAAGCTTTTCCTGATTGGCGGCGACCTGCGACTTGACGGCCTTCAGGTGCGCCTGACATTCGCCCATGTCCTTCTCGAGCTTGTCGATGCGGGCTCGATGGACGATCCCGCTGGCGACGACAGATTGGCTGGAAGACGCGAGGCTGATGGGCCAGTCGGTGGTGCCGCACGAGCCTGCGTTTGCTGTTTGAGAACGTCGACGTCGGTTGCGAGCTGGTCGAGTTTGCTCGTCAAGTCCTGGACAGCGGCCGCCGTCTGCTTCATGTCCTGTACGTGCGGTCCGAGAGCGCGCGCGACGTAGCTCTCCATGACCTCCTGCAACGTCTGCGCGATGTTCCCATACGCTTGGTTGATCGTTTCCTGCCGCTCCAGGCTTCTCTTCCTCCTCGCCCCGTCAAACTTGTTCCTCAGCTCGTCCGCTTCGTCCTCCGCCAGGTCCGGAAAGGTGAAGGCGGCCGCCTCGTCTGCCTGCTCGCGCAAGACGTTCGAGACACCGCAGAACGTCTCGACGGCTTGGTCGATGCGAGGGCGGAGAGGATCGCCGGCGTCCGCTTGAGCTGGCAGAGGGGAGCCGCCGCGAAGAGCCGTTCCAGCCAGTCGCGAGTTGACAGGACCGGAGGCGGCACGAGGTCGAAAGCCGTTTGCGAGCTGGCCGGGATGATTGGCGGTCTCGTTCTGCGGAGACGGCGCGCCGAACGATGGAGAGTGCGAAATGGGACTGTGCGAGCCGCCATTCGCGAATCCTGGCGGGGGAGAGTGCTGGAGAGGACGCGCGGGAGCCTGGTAGGAGCGAGCGGCGCCCGTCACGCTCGAACCAGCGCGACCGGCGACTGGTCGAGAGCCCATGAAAAGGTGCGAGTCCTTCGCCGTTGGATGCCCGCCTCGTCCACCTGGGTTCATGCTGATGTTGGCGTTCGAGAGCTGTCCCACAAGGCGAGGTGTAGTCTGTCAGCTCGCCCTCATGAAGTACGCGTGAGCTACAGCGAAGACTCACAGATCCTGTCGGAGCCCTCAACCAGTTAAAAGCGCCCGTCGAGCCCTGTGAGCTACGTCGCCGCGTCGAGCGATGAAGTCGGGGTCGAGGTCAAGAACTTGTCGCACGCGTCGTGAGAGGGCAAGTGCGCGCTGACTGGGGTACTGAGAGGCGTCGAGTCCAGTCAAGCTGCCTTTGCAGGCCAACGAGCGGGCGAAGCGAGATGTCAACCGCTGACCTTGATTTCTCTCGAGAGAAGCCGCTCAGCTAGACGGGCGGGACGCTCTACGATAGCTGCGGCATGATGCTGCCATTCCAACAAGTCTACAACAATAGCTGCGAGTGTGCTTGATGCGAAATGCGAGTTGCGAGTTGCGATTGCGAAACGATACGTTCACCTTCTAGGACTGCTGGGCGAAGGGTTGACCGGTAGGCGGGCTCCAGGGTGGTATGGCGAGAGGTGAAGGTGAGAATGCTTCTGGCGAGACGGCGTCGTCCTTGCTGAACGTGGTCGGCTCGTCTGCCTCGTCCGGCGCATCCTGCTCCTCGTCCTTCTGCCACGTCTTTGCCATCCAGCGCGCCTCGATCCGCTCCGCCTCGAAGCGAGCGGCCCTCATCTCCCTCACCTCGGCTGCGACGTGCGCGTCGTCCCACATGACCTCGGTCCACCTGCCCTTGCGACCGCGTTGTCGGATGATCTGGGGCCACTTGGCCTCGAGCGCGACGAGACCCCTCCACCACTTCTCCTGCACCATCTTGGCGTCCTCGAAGCGTTCCTCAGAGGCGAGAAGGCGAACGAGCTTGGCGGTCTGGTGGCCGCGAACGCCTTGTCCCCGCTCACACGCCGCAGAGAACGTCCGCAAGGCCGCCTCGAGCGTCAGGGTGCGCCTGTCGCGGCCGAATCTTGGCGAATCGGCGACGCGGAGGAAGCCGTGCACGAGGAGGGAGAAGGTTTCGCGGTCTGGCTCGAGCCGGGCGGCAGATTGTCGGTCCTGACCCTTCCCAACCTCCCTCCAGGCTACGACGAGCTCGTTGTAGGCTACTCCAGCAGCGTCGAGGTCCTGCGTGCGAAAGAAGCCGGGTCGCCAGACGTGTGCGGCGATGAGGGCGTTGTAGGATCGGGCGTCGGGCGTGTGGCCATCCTGGATCATCTGTCGCCAGACTGACTGCATGTCGTCACGACGGTCGCGAAAGGAGCGCGAGAGGGAGCGGAGGACGGCGTTGTAGCCGGCGACGGGAATGAGGAGGTAAGGCTGGAGTTGGACGAGTTTCGGGGACGGACGAGATCGCGGAGAAGGGGCGTAGCGCGACCTGAAGTAATCGAGCAGTCGCAAGGGCGAGGAGATCTGCCGCTCGTCGGCTGCTGCGGCCTCGAGGACAAGCTGCATGATCCGGCCCTCGATCTTCCCTCGCCCGGTCTCCTCCCAGTCGTGAATGACGCGCTTCAGCTCGGAAATGCTGCCTCTCCGGCCGAGCGCGCGCCACAGCTCGTTCCAGAGGCTGACGGGGAAGTAGAGGCCCGAGGCGGTCCAGCTGAGGTAAAGTCGGATCGGGATGGACGGGTCGCGAGCGGCTGCGGAGGAGAAGAAGAGGGCGACAAAGGTATCCCGTAGGTCTGGAGACCATGCGAAGGGCGGATGTTGGTTCGAGTCGGCAGGTGGGATGGTCGAAGAGAGCTCGGGCGGGACGGAGAGGCGGTCGAAGAGGGAGAGTGCGATGAGAGGTGCGGTCGAGGAGACGGTCAAGGCGCGGAGCAGTCGGCCAGAGTGCTTGACGAGAACATGATGGATCATGCAGCGCCGCGCAATGTCTGCCGCTGTGACGAGACAGTGCGAGGGCATGCGAGGCTTGCGGCGATCCTGCCTCGTCCAGCCGCTCGCCCTGGCTGCCTCGACCTCCAACCTGCACGCCTCGACGACGAGCGACGAAAGGAGCTTGGCGGGCGGACTGTCCGCGTTCGTCAATGCCGGCAGGTCCCATTCGTCCTTCCCTTTGATTTGCGACGTTTCCCACAAGCGCAAGGCGACGTCCAGTCCCGCCTGCCGCTCCTCAACCGGCAACGCCTCCTTTCCCTCGACCGCGCGACCGCGCTCGATGCCGAGCCACCGTACAAAGTAAGGCAGCGGAGCCTTCTCGATCGCCGTCGACCGCTCAACCGTCTTCAGCCGCTCCTCCTGCAACTTCGCAAGCGCCTCGTGCGGACCGTTGCCTTTCCGCCCGAAGAAGGGCATCTTGTCCGCCGCGCACGCCTGGTCGAGCAGCTCGCGCGCCCGAGCGTACGCAGCTTCTTCGGCTGCTGCGCCTCGTAACGGCGCAGACTGGGGCCCTTCACCCGCGAAGTGGTCCGAGAGGATGTCCTTCAGGTCTCTCATGCGAGGTAGGTGGCCCTTGTCGGCCATGGCGCGGAGCTGGGCGAGTGCGGCGGATGGGTCGAGGCGAAAGAGGAAGGGTAAGAGTTCGGAAAAGGCGGCATTGGTATCGGGATGCAGTAAGGGTGTCGAGAGCGACAAAGCGCGGAGGGCAAAGGTATGTGATCGTCGTATCGTGGGTTCAGAGTCGAGAGATTGAGGTATCCGGCGGGCGAGGCGATGCGAGTACTGGGCGAGGAGGTCGGCGTCGTCGGCGTGCGAGGCGAGCTGATCAGGCGTGAGAGCGTCCTCCCGAGGGGGAAGGCGTGCCGACAGCAGCGCCCAGTACTCGTCGAAACAGCGATCGAGGTACCGCTGCCGTTGCCGCATCAATCCTTCCCTCGAGTTCGGCTTTGCGCTCTGCCTGCGCGCACTCGAACCGGACTTGGCCTCCCTCACTCTCGCCTCTCCCTCCTCTTGCCTCAGCCGGGCCCGCGCAACTTCCCGCACTTGCTCGAACGACAGCTCCCATCTCTGCCGCTTGATCGCAAAGTCGCGCAACCGCTTCAGGACGGGATTGGCGGCATCCGCTTCGAGCTCGACGACCTGGGCGAAGAGCGAGTCAAATGTGTCGCGTTCTAGAGAGATAGGAGGGTGTGCTGAAGGTGGACCGGAGTCAGGGATGTAAGAAGCGATCAGGCGGCAGATGTCGTCGCGGGCGGCGAGGCGGGCTGCAGGCGATTCCAAGGTGATGAAGCCGGCGAGTCGTCGCTCGAGCAGTCGTGCTGTGTATCGTGACGGTTCTTCTGGCGCGATAGGAGGAGGTAGGGGGACGGCGGTGGAGAGCGAGCGAGAGGGTGAATATGGTATCTTCGAGGTAGAGGGCTGCGCGCACAGAACATTGTCAGCTCCGAGCTCGATGAACACACCGCCAATGCACTACGCACCTGGCTCCAGTCTGTCACAACTGCTCGAGGTCGGACGACCTGGGACAGAGTGAGGCGGCGTTAGTGAGCCTCACGACAACAGCCGGGGGCGCCTGAACACGCAGAAAGGCAGTTCAGCGCACCTGATTGGCTCTGAGCTGCGTCGGAACCCGCTGCACTCCCGCTGTGGCGCAGAAAGTGCAAGTTCGCTTCGTCTGGGGGCGGTCGAGCTGTGAGAGGGGTGGAGCCGAGCGGACAGCGTTGCGCGCATGTCTCGCGCTGTGTAGCATGCAGAACCAGCCACAGCGACGGTCTCAGCCTGCACAAGCACCCCTTTGAGCGAGCTGGGTGCGGCGGACGCGGGCGAGATGTTTCCCGCAAGAGGTTCGCCCATTACGCTTCGTGGCTACAGCTGATTCCGGGCCTGGACGGGTCGCTATCCCGCCAGAAAGTGTCTACGATGGCGTCTGAGCAGTCGGCGCTTCGCCCGCTCACGTTGCCGTCGCTGCCGCCCGACTTCGCTCATCTCTCGAACCTCAAGCTACAGCTCTCGCAAACGCAGCAGGCTGTCGAGGGATACGCGCAGCTGAGGAAGAAGCTCGAGACATTCACGGACGAGCCAGCCTGGGAGGCCTACGTGCGTTGCCTCTCTTCCTCCTCCCTCGGGCGCCAGATTGACATCCGCTTCAACTCGTTCTACAGATCCCGTTCGGCCCTCTCGCCTACTTCCCTGGACAGCTCGTTCACACCAACGACATTACGCAAACGATTGCGCCGGAAGCGGAGGCAGGACCGGGTATCGAGGGAGGAAAAGCGGGAGGTCAGGACGCAGGTCAGGGCCGACGGGTTCTGCGAAGCGCAAAGCAGGCAAGAGAAGAGGCAGAGAGGCTGCAGAAAGGTGAGTCGTCCGTTTCTCGGTTGACGGCGGTATCCCAATCTCGCTGACTCGGTTCTCTCGGTGCATCCTGCCAGACCTTGAGGCAAAGGCTACTGCTCTACAGCAGGAGATCTCTGCGAAGGAGGAGGAGCTGAGCAAGAAGCGCGAGGAGGAGCGCAAGAACGGAGAAGCGGGCTTGGCAGGCGCAGACATGGGCGACGAGGACTGGACGATCAACGAGCGAGGCGAGGTGCGTCGAAACTGCTGTGTCCAGCTACAGTCGGAAGCTGCGTGAGCTGACATTCCTCATCGTAGGTGATCAACGAGGAAGGCTTGCCCATGTTCGACATCCGCGAAGACTTGCCTTCAGAACCCGAGCCCGCAAAGCCTGCCTCTTCCGCCACTCCCGCCGCCTCTGGTGCGACCAGCGCATCCAATGCGCCTCAGAAGATGCGGTACCTCGTCAAGAAGGGTGGAAAGACAGTTGTTCGTGCGCACCAGTCCTTCTCTAGCCGGGTTCTTCCGTCACTCACTGGCTCTTCACCCAGGTACTGTCAACGCACGCCCTCCCTCCAAGCCGGCTCAAGCACCTACCTCAGCCACCCCTTCCCCCTCGCCAGCAGCCTCATCACCGTCCGCTCCTTCCGCATCGCCGACTGTTCCAGCAGAAGACAACAATCCGTTCCCCGTCCGACCGAAGCTCGACATCAAGGCTATCCTCGACGAGCTCGAAGCCGAGGAGAAGGCCGAAGCGGAGGCGAGTCGTGCAGCATCGGGCGGGGCCGGGGTGCAGGCCGATCCTGCTGTCGACGAGTTGACGTCGACGGCGAATTCATCTGAGGCTGCGGCTGCTTCGACCACAACGCTCACTCCGAAGCCTGCGCCTGCGTCGAGCGCGTTCGGCGGCTTCGCTGCCGGCTTCCTCTCGAAGGGAAAGCACAAGCGGCCGTCCAACTCGCTTCCGACGCCTTCGCCCGCCTCAACCGCCTCAGCTTCCGCCGTCGCCACATCTCCTGCGCCAATACCCGCTCTCAAATCCTCCCTCTCGCGACCTTCCTCTCCTTCTCGTTCCGGCACGCCTGCCTCCGACAAGAAGCGCGTCGCGTTCGACCTTCCCCCTCCCTCTCCCTCCGAAGACGCCCCAAAGGCCAAGAAGGCTCCCATCATCCTCGGAATGGGCGATGCTGAGCCGCCCCGCCGTCCCGAACCTCCTGCAACCGAGTCGAAGAAACCTGAAGAACCGTTCGTCCGCCCGATCAAGGACGTTGTGGTGGAAAAGCCGATGAAGAAGCCTGTTCCGCCCGGAGGGGTCGTGGGACCGGGTGGGATTGTGAGGCAGAAACGGTTGTCGAAGTTTAGGCAGATGAAGGAGGAGGCGGTCGAGGCGAAGCCTGAGAAAGCGGCAGCTTCGTCACCCGAGGCGCTATCGCATCCGGAGACGTCGCCTCCTGTCGTTTCCGCTGCCGTACAGAAAGATGTCAAGGGCAAGGGCAAGGCGGATGACCAAGCCGGTCAACCCCCCTCAATTCCCGCCCCCGTCCACACGATCTCGCTCTCGACACGACCAAGCGAGCCATCGAAGGAGGCTGACGGCACAATCTCGTACGCCGATATCCCCTTCGACTCGGACGAAGACGTCGACGAGGAGGATCCGTACTCGGATGAGGAGGGCTTTGACTGGTCCGACGACGACGACGAGATTGACGATGACGACCTGGATGTCGATGCGGCGTTGCATGCGCGAGAGGTTGCGCTTGCGTACCATCAGCAGCGGCTGAATGTCGGTGGCGGAAGGGGGACGGGCGCGCTCGGCGGGTATCACGATGTCGGCGAAAGTCCTTTCGCAGGCATCGCTGATTCAGATGCGCAAGGGGTGCGCGTGATTCGTTCCTCGACGTATTGCTGCATGCTGACGTTGCTGCTTGTCGCAGCTCGTCCCGGCCGACGCCACCCTTCAATCGCTCGACCCGTCCCTCGCCGGCCCAGAGTTCGGTACCTACGCTCACGCCGGCTCCGCACAACTCGGCAAGCCCTCCCGCTTTCGCCTCGCCAACCGGAACCTCGAATCTGCGCAGCTCATCATCCCTTCTCTTCTCGCGCAAGATCCCTCACTCGAGACGTCGAGCACGCCGCTCGGTCCCGCCGTCTCTCGAGGTCAGCATGAGGATGCGGACGGACTCGACGACGCGGAGCAGGAGCGGTTTAGGCGGACGTTGGAAGCGCTGGCCGAGGGCCGACCGCTGCCGGAAGACGAGCAGCGCTTGGAGCGGGAGAAGGAGGTTTTGCTGCGGGAAGAGCTGGCGAAGACAAAAGAGGAGCGGGAACGAGCGAGGCTGGAGCAGCTTGAGCAGGACCGGACGGCGGGCAAGCGGCCCCCTGAGCTCGTCCAGAAGATCCCGCGACGAACGGAGGAGGTCCAGCCTGCTGCGTCGAATCAGGCGGTTCCTTCGGCACCTACACCTCTCGGTGGTGTCATCGAACGTGTCGGTCCATTGACTGCAGCGGCAGGACCAGCATCAGCAGCGAGCGAAGGCGGAGAAGCTACGGAGGAGAAACCGAAGCGGATGTCGAGGTGCGTTGCCTCGCTTGGTCGTCCTTCGACCGCGCGCTGACTCGTACGCCTCCAGGTTCCGACAGAAGCAGCTCGGATTGGCAGACTAGCCTGCATCGACGCAAAGTGGCCTGTCGAGCGGATTTGTGGAAGCGAACTTGCGGTCTGAAGCTTCAGGTGGACTGCCGCGTCTCGCAAGCAACATCTATCAGTCTTCTCACGCCTTGGAAGTAACCTGCGTCGCCCAGCAAGCCGTCCATCTCTCCCGCTCCTCCTCCTCGACTCGGAGCTGATGAACACCCAAGGAGAGAAACATCAGCCTTGGGCGAGTCTGCTAGCCACTGTGGTGGCAGCAGACCTGTTATCTGAAGCGCTCGAGCGTCCCAGCCGGCCTCTAGCAGAGTGCGAGGGTGTGTTGTCGAGGACGAACCATTCGAAATCGCTCCTTCCCCTCCTCCTACACCCTCGCTCACGCTGCAGAGTCCTGGACAAGCTTGCTACCGCTTGCGAACAGCTGAACGGTTGCCACGATGACCGGCGACACCGCAACAGAGCTCGAACTCGAGCCGACGAGGACTCGCTCGACCGCCAGGACTCTGCCGGAGAATGGAATTGACACGACGCAGGCGATCAAGGTGGACAACCGAGCACTGTGGTCACTCCTGGCGCAGCATCTGTCGAGCAGTTGGGGCGCGCGGTGCTACGAGTTCGCTTCGTAGTGCGTCTATTCCCTCCTCTCGAACTGACGACGCTAATTTCGTCATCCTGCAGCCTCTTCCTCATCCGGCTGTTCCCGAATACCACCCTCCAACCGTCCATCTTCGGGTTCTTCACGACCGGCGCAGCCATCCTCTTCTCCGGCTCGGTCGGACACCTCGTCGACATCTACCCTCGCCTGCGCTTCGTCCGCGGGTCCATCGTCGCTCAGAAGGCTACTGTCGGCGCCTCTTATGCCATCTTCCTCGCCTGCTTCTTGCGACTCGAAGGAGGACGACATACACCCGCCTTGATTGGTCTCTTCGTGGTTCTTACCCTGCTTTCCATGCTGCTCAACCTCGCGACAGTGAGCGGCCCTCGATTCGCCGAGATAGACCTGCGCTGAGGTGTCCTGCGCCGCAGATTGGCATCTCTGTTGCAGTCGAGCGAGATTGGGTGACCATCATCGCTCGAGGAGACAGCAACCAGCTCACTCGCTTAAATACGTGGGTTGGCGGCTCTTCGTTCTATCACCCAAGATGCTAAGCAGCGTCTCCACAGCTTCCTCCGCCGTATCGACCTTCTCTCGAAACTGCTCGCACCGCTCTTCGTCTCGCTCCTTACGACCGCCGCTTCGTACACTTTCGCTGCGGCGTTCTTGCTCGGCTTTGCGGCTGGATCGATGGTCTTCGAGTTCATCTGTGCGTGCTCTCGAAGCTCCACAAACAGTAGATACTGATGCTGCTCGACTCGCAGGGATAGAAATCGTCTACCGCCGCCTGCCTGTCCTCGCCGGCGCTCCGACCAAGGCTACGATCGCCGCCACAGGAGAAGACATCACCGCACTGCCGAACGACGCCATGCCACCCCGCCCTCTGCTCCGCCTCAAGACCCGCCTCGTCGCCGAAATCCAGAACTGGCTCACCTTCGTCCGCGCACCCATCTTCTTTTCCTCCCTCGCAATATCCCTCCTCTACCTCACCGTCCTCTCATTCGACGGCTCCTTCCTCGCTTGGATCAAGGCGCACCACTACTCGGATGCGTTTATTGCGGGTATGAGGGGGATCGGAGTCGTGACTGGGCTGCTGGGGACGTTGGTCATGCCGCTGCTGGAAAAGAAGATTGGGCTTGTCCGGGCGGGGACGTGGAGCATCTTGTGCGTTGGCGCATCTGCCTCCATCGCAGAATCGTCGCTGACTTTCTGGCTTTGCTCAGTTCCGAGGTCGTTACGCTCATCCCGGCCGTCGTTGCTTTCTTCGTCAAGCCGTCGGCGGAGGGAAAGCGAGGATCGGCACTGACGGATGCGCTGCTGTTCACGGGTGAGTCGCTCACTTTCTCCCAGAGATTCGTTTATAGCCGTGGTGGTCCTTGCAAGGCTGCATTTGCGGTACTGACGGGTTGCTTGTGCAAAAGGCATGGGGCTGAGTCGCATCGGGCTGTGGTCGTTCGACCTGTGCCAGCTAAAGGAGCTCCAGCAGGCCCTGGACACGCACCCGGAGAAGAACGCCTTGTGCGCTTATTTTCCGCTTTCCTCTCCCGCTTACGACAGCTGACGCTCCTTGCTTCGCGGCTTCGCAGGATGGCTCTCCAGTTCTCGCTTCAGAACGTGCTCGACCTCGTCAAGTACGTCGTAACTATCATCCTGCACCGACCTTCGCAGTTCAAGTGTGCGTCTACCCTGCTCCAACCCATCCTCATGCTTCGCACTCACGCATCTCTCGATTCGCAGGGGCCGTGGTGATCTCCTTCGCGTCAGTCACAGCCGGCGCGCTGAGTTACCTCGTTTACGCACGAAAAGAGCGCGGACACCTCGTTCACCTCGAGTGGACGGAGGCGCTGTTGCGCAAGACGCGGTAGCCTGTAACACTGCGTGTAACACTATCGTTCCTGCCAGCATACTAGATCTCGAACGAGCCGATTCGGCTTTACTTGGGAGAACTGGACCGCTCGACCTTCCTCCTCCTCCTC